TCACCGGGGAACCCTTCAGGGGGACTGGGGGAGGACGCGGAAGACTGCGGGTACGGGGCCTGGGACCCTGAATTGGCCAAGGGATGTTCGGGGGACCTCCAGTCCGGATTTAGACCGAAGGAAAGTCCTATAATCAACAGAGTAGAAGGATTTTTCCTCAGGGATAAGGCGTGCAATTAGAGGGGGTGGGAGCGGCGCATGCGCCTCCGAGATGACGACCTCGTCGCCCAGCACTTCGGAGCCAGCCCCCATCTTCCAGCAGCCCTTCGGCCCGACAAGGTCGTACTCCGCAGGGTCCTTTGAGGGGAGGAGAGGGCCGCGGCGGTTAGGGGAGAGGAAGCACGAGCGTGTTCGAAGGCGTGCTCAGGCGAAGCGAGAGGCGTGGAGCTGGTCGCGCGGGAGGCAGGGCGGCGGAAGGCAGGGGCGATGGTGCGCGCGCGCGGCGTGTGTCGGCGGGGCGTGTGTCGGCGAGGCGGCGCTGACGGCCGGGGGCGGCGCTGTGGCGGCTGCGGCGCCTTTCCCTTGTGAAAGTTGAGCCACAGCTTCATGTCGCCAACCTGCAGGGACGTGGGTGGGAGGCGTGGGCGTGGCAAGCAGGGTAGACACGGACTCTCACCGGGCGGTCACCGTGTAATCAGCCTCGATCGGGATCGTCTCGAAGACGCCCTCACCTGCAAGGGACGCCGCGCAACGCCCGCTCACCGCGCTATCCCCACTCGCCCCTCCAGACCGATCCCACCGCCGAGCCGCGCAGGCTCCAAGCCGTCCCGCGCAGCGACGCTGGCTAAGGCGCCTCGACGCACCGCCCTCTCTTCGCGGTGCGCAAACGCCACGCGCGCCAGTTTCGTTCTCCCACCCTCCCGGCAAGGCTGCGGGAAGCGGGGCGCACCATAGAGCATCAGGTAGGCCTGGTCCTCGTCGTGCGTGTAGTGCGCGACAGTCTCGATCCCGGAGACGTCGTCCTTGGAGAGCGGCATCGCGGTCGCAGCCAGCCGATGGGGAGCGCTGAGGTAGGACCACCAGAGAGGTGAGGGCAGATGCAGCGCGAAAGAAACCCGTCGGGGTCCCCCCTGCCTGACTTGCCCCTCCGTGTCGCGATGCGCTCCCCGCTCCCGTTCCCCTGTGTCCCTGATCGTCCTTCCAAGATCCTGCTCGTGCAGGTGGGGACCCTGTCCCTCTCCCACCCCTCGTTTGGCGTGCCCGTTTTATTTATTGGCGATGCGCCCTCCCCCCTCGCTTTTGCAAAATCCTGCAAAGGTGGGGACGTGTCTGTCCTCGACCCAGCCCTAGCTTGGGATGTCCGTTGTATTTATTCCATCTCACAGTAGAGAGGTGTCCGTTTTTATTTATTCACATCTTCTTCGCGTCAAGCTGGCCATCCTCCGTAAATGCCACCTCCTGGTTGCACCACGTGGGACAGGCAAGCCCCTTGTGCCGCTCCTCGCGCCGCTTGTTGTTCTTGGTCGACTCGTGAGAGATCATCACGCCCGGCTTCTGGTCCGGGTCGTCGTCGGTCGGAGCAAGCTTGCGCACGTTTTTCCGATCGAGAAGGAAGTAGTCGTGCGCCCGATCGCCATGGACAGTGCCCCCCTCTAGGTACAGCCCCGCTGACATCTCGCGTTGCGACGTCGGGTCGATGTGCTTGATCATCTCGTTGAAGACGCCAGTCGTCAGCGCCGGCGGCAGCCGCTTCTCCACACGCGCTACGGGCAGCTCACTCTGCACGTACTTCATCACAGCCGCAGTCCACCCGTCGTACATCGGATTGGCCACGTTCACGCCTGGCCAGCGTCGCAGCTCCTCCTTGACCCAAATGCGCAATGCCGTCGCGTACTGCTGGATGCTCTGCAGCTTGAAGGGATCGTCTTTGTATGGCCCCCACCCAAACTTCCCCTTCTTCTCGAGCGGCATCTGGACCTCCGCCTGCGAGCGGCCATGGAGCGCCGTGGCGTACAGCTCCGTGTTAGCTCGCAGCTCCCTGCATCCGCCCTTCTCCACATCGCCGGTCATCATGCCGATGCAGAACTCAATCCACGCCTCCACCGCAAACACACGCGGAAGCCCGGTGACCGCATCAACGATGATCTCCAGCTTGGCGAGGCCGTTTTCCATCACCACCTTGCAGAAGGACGGATACCCCTGCTTTTGAAGCCACGCATCGAAGCCCAGCACCCGCTTCTCGTACTGCGCGCTCACCCGCTGCTGCCGCTCCTATAAAGACAACCACACGTGTGAGCCTAAGGGAGCGGCGTGCTCTGCCCGCACCGCCGCACCATCACGCGCCTTGCCTTGGAAGCTGCCTGCCTGGAGCCACACCTGGAACTTGCCGTGGTGCTCGGCGTCATTTGCTTAGTCCTTGCGTTGCGGCATCGATGCGACCGACAAAGAGCCCGCTGGGGTCTCCCTTGCGATTGCCTCGGTGCCCCGCCAGCGTGCTTTTGTCATCATGCTGTCGTGCCTCTCCGCAGCCGCCGCGCTACCGCGGCCTCCGCCGCGGAAGGTGGCCCGCGCCTTCGCGAATCCCGTCTTGCGGCTTTTGCCGGATGCCCACCGCTTGGCCTCATTGCGGGGGCGGCCACCGGGCCGTGCCGTGGCCGCCCCCGTAGCTCGCGAAGCTGCGAACCGGGCTGCGTCCACTGCGCCGCGCCGGCGCGCCGCGACCGTCGGCCCCCGGACTCGGTTTTTCGCGGCCTGCGCCGGAGAGTTGGCGGTCGTGTGCTGGGTGGTGATCGTCATCTGTCTGCTCTGCTGTGCTTCTCGCTCGTGCGTCCTTGGAAGTTGTGCTGACCTCCTTTCACCTCCTGCTCTCCTATGCCACGTGGCTGTGTGTGTTTGGGTTTCTATGTTTGCGATTTGGATTTTGGATTTTCCATTGCACTTTGTTTATTTATTTTATTGCGCCGAAAGCCACACTCCTCTCCTTAAAATCCCTGTGTGGTGGCGGCGTGCCGTTCTCCCATCCCTCCCTTGGGTTGTCCCTTTTCTTTCTTTCTTTCTTTGCGCCGAAAGGCGGGAGAAGCCGCGAGAGCAAGGGATCGGCAGGCGGCGGCGGCGTCGCAGGACGAGGCAGACGAGAGCGACGCGACAGAGGAGGAAGCGACAGGAGGGAGAACGACGTCGACGAGAGTGGGACGACCGCGAGGTGGCATGAAGCTTGAAGGTTGCAGCGAGAATCGGCGAGGGACTGCGAAGGGAGATAGAAAGAGGCAGACGACCAAGGGTTAGGGTGGGCGACGGCTAGCACCACACTCCTCTCCTTAAAATCCCTGTGTGGTGGCGGCGTGCCGTCCTGGACCTGGTCCTCCCTGCTCCCATCCCTCCCAGAGCCGCCCAGCTTGCGTTTAATCGCGATACAACACGAACCGTCAACCCACACAACGCTCAACGGCTGATTTTTTCCACCGGCTGTGCCTAAGAAAGGGTGCCGCCTAGCTAGGCCTAGGAGCAAGGCCAAGGGAGGCTGGAGAGAGCGGTCGGCGCCCGTGACCCTGAGATTGCAGAGTGCAATGCAGAGTTCATCGGGGCCGATCATCGTTGCTTCCGCCCCGCGCCGAGCAGCCGCAGGTACTTGGCCTGCCGCTCCGAGCCGCCGTCCAACTCTTGCGCGCGGGAAGCTGCCGACCAGTCGTCCGACCAGCCAGGGCCTTCCGAGGCGCGAGCGGCGGCGCGGGCGCGATGCGCCGCGAGGAGTGGAGGCTGGCCGGATGCACGGCCGGCGTGACTGGTGGCCGCCGCAGTACCCGGCCCGTGGCTTGCGCTCCCGCCGCCGCCGCCGCCGCCACTGCTGCTGCTGCGGTCGGAGCTGCCGCCACTACCAGGATAATCGCTGCCACCGCAGCCGCCACCGCAGCTGCTGCCACCACCGCGGCTGCTGCCACCACCACAGCTATCGCCGCTCGCACCGCTGCTGCCGCCGCTGCCGCCGATGCCGCCGCTGCCGCCGCTGCCGCCGATGCCGTGTGTCTCGCCCCTGCCGCCGTGTTGCTCATGCGCCGAACGCTGCAGTGCCGTCGGATCCTGCGGTGTTGCCGTCTCCTCCGTGGGACGATCCCATGAGACTGCGTTCGTTCGAGTATTCCAGTAGTACGTGCTCCCAGTTTGCGCGTCCACGACCTCCTCCCAGTCGGAGCGCAACCTGCTGCGCTTCATGCCAGGATGTTTTCGCCGGGGAGATGGACGGCCCTTGCGCGAGCGGGGTTCTCTGTTGGCAGTCGACAGGGCCGCGGCGCGGTAATTCTCTTTTCCAGTATAGTGCAAGTACCTACCTACCTACCTGCAAGTGCGCGCCAGTCCCGGTCCCAAGCAGGTGCGAAGTTAAATCTTGTTTTCTCGATTCGGATATATGTGTATATGTTCTACTCGCCTCTCTTGGCCTGCCGCAAGCTTCTTTTTCTCGCGATGTCCACCCACCGCGCCGCCGCTCGCCCCGCCTCGCCTCCGCCGCCACCGCCGCTCCCTCGCCAAACACGCCGCCGCCCGTCCGCCTCCTCGACCTCCCCACGGAGCTCCTCCTGCGCGCCCGCTCCCGCTGCGACCCCGCCGACATGTGGCAAGTTGGGCCACGGCGACCAGCAGGACCAGCTGCTGCCCAAGGAGGTCGAGGCCTTTGCTTGCCGGCGCGTCGTCGCTACGTTGTTGGGAGGCGCGCACAGCATCGCCCTCACCGCGGACGGCGCCGTCTTCACCTGGGGCAAGGGCGAACACGGCTGCCTAGGCCACGGAGAAGACCTGTCGAACCCGCTGCTGCCAAAGAAAATCGAGGCGCGTACCCTCTCCGATATGGGATTCGTTTTGGTTTATTTTGGAAGGGACCTGGAGCAGAAGCCGCGGCGTAAAAGCTGCGGGCCCAGACCGGCCGGTGGGTGCAATGCTGTGCGACGAGGCCACACTGCTCACAGACCTCCCTGACTGTGTCCTCGGCCGCATTCTCGCCGCTCTCGACGGCGCTTCGCTCTCGAGAGCCGGCGGAACTTGCCGCGGCCTCGCCAGCATCGACAGCTCGCAGGCTTGGGAGCGGCTCTGTGAGCAGGCCGGCGCGCCAAATTCGGGCGCAGCTCCGGCAGAGCGCTATCGCAAGCACGCGGCGACGCTCTGCCGCGAGTGCCGCCGGCCGACGCCATATGTGTTCGCTCCGCTGCGAGTGAGGCTCTGCGAGAGGTGCGAGCGCTCCAACCCTCACAAGTTCGCCCTCGCGACGCGGGCGATGCTGCTCGGCGACGCCCGCTTCCGCCTACTCCTCGGGCGGCGGCCGATCGACTCCCTCCTCGCAAACGTCCCTTCTCACCGTTGCAACGGCTTTATCTTTTATGTGCGGCCGGTAGCGGCGGCGGCGGCGCAGTCTGGGCAGGAGGCTGAAGCAGCGAAGGAGGGGGAGGAGGCGGAGGCGGCGGAGCGGGCGGCGGCGGCGGAGCCCCCTTCCGAGATTGGGGTCTGTCCGAGCGAGGAGGAGCAGGATGAGGCCGTCGGAGTCGAGGCTGCTGCGGCTGCGTGGGACGCGGCGGGAGAGGAGCACTCGCGGCTCCGCTCGGCCAAGAACGCGGCGCGGGCGGCGCGGCGGCTCGAGCAGAAGGAGCACCGGAGGAAGGTCAAGCAGGAGGCGCGCGCCAAGCGGCACGGCGGCGGTGAGCCGGCGGCGGGCAGCGCTACCGCCGTCGCCCCTTGGGGAGGGGCGAGGAGGGGCGACCGGCCGAAGCGAGCCCACCCAAAGATGGCACCAAAGTCGGCCCACGTCCTCTCGCGCGGCGATGACGAGTTGCTCGCAGAGGTGAGGCTGCTCGAGGAGACGTTTGGAGACGCGCTGGCAGGGCTATCCGGACTGACTCTCGCCAGCTCATGAAGCGCCCTCATGTTTGGATTTGTCTGGGAGCTACGCGTACGGCACAGTCGGCACCGGTTACGCGGGACCCCGACCCGTGTGTGTGACGTCGTGTCGCCACACGCCAGGCCGGACGGTGTTTGTTTGACTTTGAGAGAGTGAGAGCAGACGTCGACGACGAGCGAGGAGAGACACAGAGATACTTATGGAGATCAGATGGGAGAGAGCAGAGAGGCGGAACGGACAATCATGCACGAGACGAGGCTCGTGGGGGCCTGATTTGCAGTACTCTCGTGAGGCTGTGAAAGCACGCCCAACCTAGCGGATTTGGGTACTTGCCCCCGAAGGCAAGTGCGTCTGTTCACAGCTCGCGAGAGTAGATTTGCAGCCTCAGAGAGTCGAGCGAGAGCCAGAGTGGTGTTTCGACACCTCGATGGTTCAAAGCTCGTTGCTCTTCGATAGGGAAGAGAATAACGACGATACGTATCCCTCTACGGCTTTAGAGGCTAGAGCTCGGGTGTCCGCGAGGATCTGTAACGTTTAGTTTCCCCATGGCGGCCGTCGAGCCGCCACTCGCGTCCGCCTCGAAGGTAGCAGCCGCCGGCGACGCATCCCTCGCATCTGCTTCAAAGTCGCTCGGCGCCGCTTCCCGCATGCCGGGCTCCTCCTACCCTTCCAACCTCGGTCTTCCCCAGCGGCCAGTCGGGCTCTACTCAAACAAGGCAACCGCGCTGCGCGACCTCCAGCACGCGCACCGGAAGCACGTGGAGCGGCTACGGACCATGAAGCACACCATTGACCTCACCCCTGTCAAGCCCGTCAAGATGAGCGCTGGCAAGAAGCTTCAGAACATGGCAGAGAGGAACGCGACAATTGAGGCAGCCCGTGTTTTCGCTATTTGCACCCTATCCCTCCTGTCGCGTTTTAGGGTTGCCATCACGATCTCCAGCATATCGTAATCTCACTCCGCTCTCTGACTGCCCCTTCAGCGCGACAACAAGCTCCTTCTCTCCAAAATGTACCAGATCATGAACGCCGATAACCCGTACCTGAAGGCGCCGCCTCGACCATCACGACGACGAGGAGAGGCGGTACCTCGAGAGTCGCGACGGCGCGTCCGAGCTTAGCAATCGTCTCGTCGGCAATGCCCTTGCCGTCGATCAGCACCGCTCCAGCCCGCTGCGGGTTCTCAGGCATGGGGCGACGGTCTCGTCAGTTTGACCGGGGAGGGTACGTGGATCGGTTGGCGGGCGCTTTTTGTCCGGAAGACAAGGATGAATCCCGGCGGCTATGAGAAGTTGATGGGAGACGGACGAGTCCCACCTGTGCACAAGCAGGAAGGAAGGATTGGAAGGAAGGAAGGACGATCAGAGAGAGGGCTTCAGGTCGATACAACTGTAAAAAAAACGTGCCGGCAGGCATCTCTTTTGGTGCTGCGCCCCCTCCCCCGGGCCGGCTTGAAGCCGCCCAGGCAGGCGCAGACTACTCGTCGACGCTGAAGCCGCTGGCCAGACAGCACACATGGGCCAGACAGCCTCGCATGAGCCGCCGACGCAGTCGGAGCTCCTCGCTCGCTTCAGCAGCGTCGAGCAGCGCATGCTGCTTCGCAACGCCTCCCTCCTCGCTGCTCAGGACCCGAGCCAGCCCGCAGTCTTCGGCGCGGCAGAGTGGGCTGGCGTGCACGCTTCGATGGAGCCGCGGCTGGCCGGCGCGCTCTTCTGCGGCTTTGCACGTGGCGAGGCGGCGCTCGACTCGGCCACCGTGGTTCAAGGTCTTGTCGCACTTCGTGAGCAGCCGGAATCTCGCCTGCTCTTCCTGGTTGCAGCCGCAGACGCCATCGGCACAAGCGGAGAAGAGGATCGGCTGCGCGTGCTGGTGCAGCTGCTTGGCAGCGCGGGCAGCGCGTGGCTCAAGGCGACCGTCCCGGGCAGCAAATGGGAGGCAGCCGCCGCACCGCTCCTCGGCGGAGATCTCGCAGCGCTTCCGCCGCCGCCGCCCGCCGGCTCACGTGGCGCTGCGGAGCTTTCTGCGTGGGCTGCGGGTGCTCCGGCGGCGGCGGCGGCGGCGGCGGCGGCGGCGGCGGCGGCGCTAGCGCAGCTGGCGGAGGCCGCGTGGCTGTCCGATCACCGCCAGCTTCAGCCGCTGCCGGAGCTGGCCGAGCTGCCCGGTGGCTCGCTGCTGCTCAGCGCTGCAGAGCTGAGGCGTCCCTCTCCGCCACAGCGCCGCGGGTGCGGTGTGCGCCCCCCCGCTTCCGACCGTCGCCCGACGCCTGTAGGCCCCTCGCCGCGGCGCTGCCTCCCGAGCATCGCCGGCGCTGGCGCTGCCTCTTCTCGTCGGCTCGCGACGGCAGCTCGTTCACGCGCCTCTGCGCGATGACGCTGGCGCGCGCGCCGTGCCTCCTCGTGATTCGCGACGGCGCGGGGGCGAGGTTCGGAGGGTACAGCTCCGCGCCGCTGCAGCTGGGCCCGAGGTGGTTCGGGGGCAGCAACTCCTTCCTCTTCCGCGCCGACGGGGCGGGAGGCGTCCTCCTCCACCGAGCCACCGGCGCCGCTCGAGAGTAGCCGAGAGTAGCCGAGAGTAGCCGAGAGTAGCCGAGAGTAGCCGAGAGTAGCCGAGATTGGCCGAGAGTGGCCGAGGGTAGGAGGTGAGGCGCGTGTGCCGCGCCTGCCGCCTGCTCTGCGCGGCGCTGCCTCCTGGCAGAAGAGGACACGCGGCAGGCTGACGCGAGCCTCCCGACGAGCACAGGCGCCAACGCGAACTTTGTGTACATGAACGCGCACAGGGAGATGCTGCCCAACGGCATCGCCTTTGGAGGCGACCTCGACTCGCGCCACTTCGGTGTGCGGCCGTAGCCGAGATCAGCCGAGATCAGCCGAGATCAGCCGAGATCAGGCGCCGGACGGAGGTGGTGCGCGTCGGGCGAGCTGCCGGCAAGAGTGAAAGGCAGAGGTCTCTGCTCGAGTGCACTGCATCGCACCTCCAGCCTCCCCGGCGACAGGCCTCTGGCTCGAGGACAGCCTGGACACGGGCCGCGCGGAGGAGACCTGCTCCACGTACGACCTATCGCACAGCCTCGCCTCCTCGGCCGGCTTCGCCGTCGACCACGTCGAGGTGTGGGCCGTCTGCGAGGGCGCGCGCAACCCGTGGCTGGCGGCCGGCGGGGAGGAGGAGGGCGGCGGCGCCACTTCCGACGCGCACAAGGTGACGCGCCGCCAGAGAGCGCGCGGGCAGGTCTCCCCGGGCGGTGCCGGTGAGACGTCCACTGCTCGCCACCGTAGGAGACACGCGAGTTCCTGGCGCTCGCGGGGCGCGAGGTGAACCGCGCTCAGGCGCTCGAGCCATTCCGCGAGGAGGAGGAGGAGGGGCGGCCAAGGGCGCCGGAGAAGTGGATCTCGCCGGACCAGTGACCGCGCGGCAAACGGCAGCGGGCTGCGCGATACACACTTTGATTGATACTCTTTAGGTGCCAGCAGATTACACTATACTCTACTTTTTTGGGATTGGCAGAGACCAGAGTATGAGTAAATTGACCCGCCGCCCGCGGCTCGGGCGCCTCGGAGCTCTCGTCTGAAAGTTGTTTTAATGGATAATGGTTAATGCGCACACTTTTCACACATCTAACCAATACCATGCATCTGACGGATTATAAGACCAAACTCTCCAAAAAGGGGCTCTCACCTCGCTATACGCTAAGCCTAAGTGGGTTGCGCATGCGGTCGTGTTCAGTACTCCTGCGCAACGAGCGTGTGCAGTCCCAGCAAGAACTCGTCCACGGTGTCATGCTCGGCGCAGAGCTGCTCGACCTGGGCGGGAGTAAAGACGTTTGGGGTGAACATCATGCCCAGTTTCAAACGCTGCGACTCGCTCATGTCGCCAAAGTAGTGCTCCACCATCTTCTCCGCCTCGGGCAGCAGCAGGTAGCCGAGCAGCATCTTCTTGTTGATGCGGCCGGGCCGGATGAGCGCCGGGTCGAGCTTTTCCGGATGGTTGGTCGTCATGATGACGATGCGGTTGGGGCTGTCCACCACGCCGTCGAGCACGTTAAGCAGCCCGGCGAGGTCGAGCCTGGCAGGCGAGGGCGGCTGGTCAGGGCGGTGGAGCGCGCGTTTCACCGCGCCTGCAGACCCCACGCGGCCGCGCATCCGAAGCCCCGCGAGTGTGGATACCGTGGCCATGCTTCCGCGTGTTCGCGCACGGCGGTCTGAAGGGCGTGATGAGCGACGCGTTCTCTGTCTAGGAAGGTCGCGCGCCGGTCCTCCTCCTCCAGCAGCGACTTGAGTCGGTCCTCCTTCTTGGGCGGCCCCTCCTCCATCACCGTCACCACCTCCTCCACCTCCTCCACCGCGCCGGTCTCCGCGCTCTCCACGGCCTCGGCGCCGTCCGCGCCGTCCGCCTCCTTCTCCGCCTCCTTCTCCGCCTCCCTCCTCCCGCTCGGCTGCCTCGACAGCCCGCGCGCGGGGAGCAGCGGCGCGAGCCACTGCGGGGCCCCCGCCTCCAACGGCGAGGCCGCTCCAGGCGACGCCACCGCCGTCGCCTGCCTGCTCGGCATCGTCCCCGCCGCGGTTGATGCGTTGGTCGCATTGCGCACGACCGTCCGGGTGACCGTCCGAGTGGCCGCTGCGGCAGGCGCCCGCCGGTGCACCACCTTGCTCGCGGCGTCCACGTCCTCCATCACAAAGATCACCTTTGCAAACTCGAGCGATTGCGGAAAGTCGGCCGAGTCGTCGTCGCCGCTCTTTGCGGTGTTGACGACGTTGGCGGCTTGGTCAAACATGATGTCGGTCAGCTCTTGGTTCGTCTTGATCTTGGAGAGCGGCACGCTCACAATGTGCCGCCCTGAGGATGGGGCGAGAGGAGAGTGGCGAGGAGCGGAGAGGGGAGTGGGCGACAGGCGAGGAGGGGGCGAGGAGAGAGGAGCGGAGGGTGCGCCGCGAGGGGCGCACCCGTGTAGTGCGCGATCGCTTTGATGAGCGAGGTCTTGCCCGTGCCGGGCGGGCCGTACAGGAGCAGGCCGAGCTTGTGCGGGAAGCCGGGAACGGCGAACTTGCCCGTCTTCTTCATGAAGTGGTCGAGCAGATCTTGCGGCGGCCGGACAAGGCGCGCGGTGAGCGTGATGGCGGCGGCGGCTGTGATGGTGGCAGTGGCGGCGGCTGTGATGGTGGCAGTGGCGGCGGCTGTGATGGTGGCAGTGGCGGCGGCTGTGATGGTGGCAGTGGCGGCGGCTGTGATGGTGGCGGTGGGGGTGGCTGTGATGGTTGGGTGGCGGTGGCTGTAGGCGTCGGTGGCGGTGTCAGTGGCGGTGGCGGCGGTATCCCGTCGGGCACGCGCACAGAGAAGGTTCGGCTTCTCCGGGAAGAACAGACTTGAGAACGTCTTTTCGTCCGAGAGGGCGTAGCGCTTGTACAGACGCTTCGTGGCGCCGGGCGGAGGTTCGCCGTCGCCGCCGGCAGCCTTAGGGCGCACCATGATGAAGAAGTACCGCGTCTCGTCCTTTTTCTGCTCCACGTTGACGCGGTACCACTCAAAAGCGCGGCTAATAAATGCGTTGATCGCCTCCTCCGCCCGAGGGCCCGAGGCGGAGAGGATGATGGTGGACGTCTCCGTCGTGCAGCTCTTCTCGCCGCCGCCGTCCACCTGCAGCTGCTTGAGCAGCTTGACTCCACCACCGACCTCGACCTCGACGTCCTCGGGCGGCAGCGTGGACGGCTCGAGCCGCTTGAGGCTCTCGCCGCCGTAGTCGGAGCAGTCCGAGTCGTCGTCCGAGTCGCCGGCGCGCCTCCCGCCCGTCTCCTTGAGGTTGGCCAGCGTGACGATCGCCTTCTTGTGCTTTCCCGGGTCGTGCTTGGACAGGTAGAGCATTATCGCCTTCTGGAGGAGGTGATCGCTCGTCTGCGCGCCAAAGCTGTAGCCCCAGTTGTTGACGCGGCGCTTGTGCTCGATGACGCGCTCGACCCGATCGCGGTGACGCCAGTCGTGCTGCAGCCTGCGACCGAGCGGAGGACGTCACGCCAAGAGAGCGCGGCGTGAGCGGGCAGTAGAGGGAAGGCTGCGCCTGCGGACGAGCGGGAGCGTCTCGCGAAACACACTTCCAATGCCACCGAATATAATAGGCACGATCATGCAGAGAATCATGTCGAGGACAATGTTGCCCGTTCGGAGAGCATTCATAAAGCCAACTTGCGTCGTCATCGCGTCAAGAGGTCCGTCGTCCGCCATACCTCCAGCAGCGAGGGGGGTCCGGTCCCGGACACACGCGGTTTTTCTTTTCCACTAAGAGCGAGGAAACTTCCTGTTGTCTGTTGTTTGTTGTGCCCTTGTTTGTTCTTCTGGTGCCTTGGAGTGCTGGGGGGGGCGACAGGGAGGATGTGGCCCTGAGTTATGTGTACGCCTACTCAGGGTGTGTGGCAGCCAGCTGGCTGTGTGTCTTGTGAGCCTGTTTGTGTCTGTGTGTCGCTCGTGCGTGTCGTCATCATCTGTCTAGCGTCCACCCATACCGCGTTGGTGTCCAGTCCGAGCCTGGCTGTTCTTCACCTTTCTACCTACCTACCTACGAGGAAAGAGAGAGAGAGAGAGAGAGAGAGAGAGAGAGAGAGAGACAGCGACAGAGAGAGAGAGAGAGAGAGAGATGAGAGAGAGCCGCGTGCGCGTGCCGCGATCGAGGCCCAGGCTGCCCCAGGCGCCAGAGCCCAGAGAGAGCGCAGCTGAGGGTTGAGAGACAGAGAGAGAGTTGTGGCTGGTGCGGCTTTTTGTGGGCACGGACTGTATTAGTATGCACGCGGGTGTTAGAATAGTAGTGTCAATCCCCGGGAGGCTGGCGGGAGGCTGGGGCTAACCTCCTCCCCCCCGCTGCTCTCTCCTCTGTGCGCGAGTAGCCCGCGCCAGCCGTCGCGCACTATCAACGACAAGCTCCGCCCGGGCTTGCCGCTCTTGCCAGATCCGCATCCGCTCGCCCTGCCGCATTTGCCGACCCAGCGCCCCATGCCGTCGCGCGAACTCGCCTGCGACGTCGCGCTTGGCGAGCCTCGCCCCCCGCTGCGCCCGCTCCTCTCTTATGCGCTCCCACCGCCGCCGAGTCTCCTCCTCCTCCTCCTGGCGCTGCACCGCGCACGCAAGAGCGAGGTGGCGTCGCTCCGACCTGCGCTGAACCATCAACTCCTCGCGCACGGCCAGGGCATCCTCACCACGCCTCTCCAGGGCCCGCCTTTCGGCCGCACGCGTCTCCGCCGTCCGCTGCCTCTGCTGCTCAAGGTGATCGTTGCGCACGATTTGCAGCGCCACAGCCTGCGCCTCTGAGGGCTGAATCTGCGCTGGCTTACGCTGGAGCGCACGCAGCGCATGAACCACTGCTCGGTTCGCCGCGGCGTCGCGAGCCCTAGCGTTGTGCGCGCTCCGCAGAGCCTGCTCCTCGTCTGCCCGCTGCTGCGCCGCCGCGCGCTGTGCCCAGAGGATCTCCTCCCGCTGCTGCTGCGCTTGCATCGTCTTTTGATGACACGCATCGGGCACCTCTATGCTCACTGCCGGGGGCAAGCCGCAGACGCCGAGCGCCTGCTCCTGCATCAGCATCGCCAACGCCATCTGCTCGACGGCGAGGTTCAGCGGCGGCTGCTGCGGCGGGGCAGAAGGCAGCAACAGCGCCGCCGTGGGCACCATCGTAGACGCGTCGCGAGCCCTGCCGATGGCGAGCTGCAACGCCTGCAAGTGGCTATTCGGCTCTTCGCCCCTCGCGTCGGCTGTTCTTCGCTTCTCGCGTAGTGCGAGCCTGTTGCGCCATCCGGCTGCGATAAGTGATGCGGCCATGTCCCATGCGCGCTCTGTGGCCAGCCCATCGTCTGGAGGCGTGAGCACAGGCGCAAGCATGGGCTCTGCTCTCTCGATGCATGCATCGCTGGCCAGTGCCATCGCCATACCCAGCGGGACTGGCGACACCGGAGCTTCAACCTCCTCGCGCCGTCCTCGCGTGTCCTCGCCTCCGCATGCCGCTCTCTTGGCGGAGCGCAGAGGGTGGACCAGAGCGATGGCAGTGCGGCGGCGGACGTGGCCCTGAACAGTGAGCACCGGCGATGAGCGTGCGTGAGAGCCCGCTAGACTGGCGAGCTCGGCGATGAGAGCCCTCTCGAAAACCGCCACCAGTTCCTCCGACTGCACTTGGGGCTCCTCCATGACCGGAAAGTGAAGCCTGGGCGAGCCTCGCCAAAAGCGCGACTCGGGCCCAAAGCTCACGCCCTCGATGATCTCGTCGTCGGCGACGATACGCTCGTCGAGGCAGCGCAGGGCGATCGTATTCACAAGAAAGTGCCGGTACGCCGGGTGCGAGCACAGCGGGTTGTCAAAGAGTGTGAGCCGCTCGATGGCTGGCAGGGCGGCGAGGGCTTGACATGCCTTGAGCGAGGCGAGCTGGTTGCTGTGCAGATAGAGCACGCGGAGGTTGGCGAGCGCAGCCCATTCAGAGCGGCCCGGGAGGACTCTCAGGGCGTTGTGGGAGAGATCGAGCTTCACCAGCCGCGTACAGCCGAGCAGCCCAGGAGGCTCAAGTCGTGAGAGGATGTTTCCACTCAACACCGCGTGCCGCAAGGCTGGGCAGGCGCGGAGGAGACTGACATCCTGCAGCGCCCGCCCGCGTAGGTCAATCGCGCCTGCCGCTGCAAGCTCCTCCCCACCCGTTCCCTCAAGCGCGGTGAAGGTGTCGAGTTCGCGCATTCTCTTGCGAAACGTCGGAGTTGGGGACGTCCGTGTCACAATAACTTGGCGCCGGCACGGAGGCAGCCTCCGAGAGTGGCTCTCACTTCGGCAACTCGATCTCGACCGCCGCCACACTGGGAGCACCCACAGTATGCTACTCATCTGGGCTACGTTCGCTCGACCCGCGCCTCGCGCCGAGCCCACGCAGCACCCGTCCACGCCCGAGGCCCGGCACGCCTCTCACCTGTTTCGGAGGCGGCCACCGTCACCTCCCAGAGTCAAGCGCCTGGTGGTCGACAAGGTGCCTGGCAGTTTCCCTGCCCCCGCCTTTCTGTACACCTTTGGGTCCGCCCAGTACGTGTGCTACTATGACGCCGCGCACTGGTTGACGGTAGCGAAGCGGACTCTCGACACGCAGGTGGATCTACGCTCGAGCCACAGGTGGATCTACGCTCGACTCCCCACACAAATCGCCTGGGACTCGCACAACAGCATCACTCTGGCGGTGGACCGGAACGGCCACGTTCACCTCTCTGGCAATATGCACTGCGTGATGCTGATCTACTTCCGCAGCCGCGAGCCAGGGAACATCAGCACCTTTGAGCGTCTGCCCATGACTGGTAAAGAGGAGAGCGTCGTCAGCTACCCAAACTTCATGAAGGGACGCGATGGGGCGCTCCTGTTCAACTACCGCCATGGGCACCCAGGAAGGGGCATCATCGTCGTAAACAGGTACCACTCGAGGACGCGGACTTGGTCGCGGATGATGGCGCGGCCCTTACTCGATGGTGAAGGCAGACGCAGCGCCTACAATTCACAACCCCGGCGCGGGCCTGACGGTCGCTTCCACATGGTATGGCTGTGGAGGGATCGGGCAAGCTGCGACACCAACCACGACCTCTCGTACGCGCGCAGCCCGGACCTGGTGCACTGGGAGACCGCCACCGGCGAGTCCGTCTCGCTCCCCCTGCGCCTGTCCAACCGCTCGCTCGTCGTCGATCCGGTCCCCACGCGGTCTGGCCTGATCAACGGCGGCACACCGCTCAGTTTCGACACGTACGGTCGGCCTGTGATTGCCTACCACAAGCATGATGCCAACAGGAGCATGCAGATCTACGTTGCCCGCTTGGAGGAAGGGATATGGGTGCGCAGGCAACTCACAGGCTGGGACCAGGAGGTGCTCTTCCGGGGAGTCGGCTCAATGGGGTTTGTCGGCATTGCAATCTCGAAACTTACGAGGGTCGCGCCCGGGGTCCTGGCCTTGAGCTATCGCCACAAGCACTACGGGTCAGGGCGGATCACGCTCGACGAGCGGACGCTCGCGCCCCTCCCAAATGACCGCGTGAGCTTCCCGTGCCTCCCAAGGCAGCTGGACACGATCCGAAGCGACTTTGTAGGGGCAAATCACGCAGCATACAAGGGCATGTCGAAGCGCTGGACGGTGGACCGTGGCGAGCCAAATCCTGCGGCGCGCGTGCAGTACGTCCTACAGCACGAGACGCTCGGCACCAACAAGGACAAGCAGCCCGCGAAGCTGGCGCCAGATAGCGAACTAGAGCTGCTCGAGCTGCGCGGCGTGCCGGTGCAGTTCGATGGCGAAGCCGAGTTTGCCGTATGGGGCCTGCCCGAAAGCGGAAGGATTGACAACTGCACCGTGTGCGGCTCCTGTGACGCTGCCACACCCACGGTGGTCCGGGGCGAGGCCGAGGGAGGGAGAGGCGGAGGACGACGAGGTGGGGTGTTGGCGTTGGGCAGCAAACGTCGTTAGGACTAGCGCCGGCGTCGGAAGTTTTTTGTGGGAGGCATACGTGTTCACTGAGGCCGTTGATTTACCTAAACGATCTGCCGGCGGTTTGGCGCCCGCCGGTCCTCATCTAATCATAGCGCCACCCAGTCTCGTGTGCCCATCACGATGGCAATGGCTGCGCGTCTCCTCGAGCCCAAGAACCTGACCGAGGCCGACATCCACGCCCGGCAGGCCTCCATCCCCTCGACCAAGACGAGGAGCCGCCGCCCCTCATACCTGTCAGCGGAGGACTTGCCGGGAACCGGCGACACGAGCCCAAATCAGGTTTTATACAGCGGGCTCCCGCCAATTCTAGCCACCGCCGACTCACCAGCGCCCGCCGGCTCACCCCGTTGACCTCTTGCCGAGCCCCGTGTCCCCCCTTTCGCAGTACAAGGGCGTGGTCAACATGCTCGCCTCAGAGCACTCAGAGGAGGCGGCGCCAATGCAGGCTCCTTCATCCCTACCACCGTTTCCGCGTCCCCCGCCGCTCCACCGCCCCCCCCCCCCTCCCTATAGGAGCCTCCTGAGCAGCCGCCCCGCCCGCCGAGCGCCGGCGAGGCTGACCCGGACGCGCGCAAGGCCGCATCGGCAAAGGCGAAGCCAATCCGCTGGGAGCCGTACGTCGAGCGCCCCGAGGAGGCGTACCCCGTTTCGGAGCCGGCAACCCCGGCCACCGCGCCAGAGCCGAGGACGGAGGCGGTGGGCGACGCAGTGATCCGCGCAATGCTCGACCAGCTGCGTGAGGAGCGCGAGAGGGTCAAGCGCCTCGAGGCAAAGCTGGCCGACGCCACGGCCAAGGCGCAGGAGATGGAGCTTCGCGCGGTCCGCGCAGAGGCGCGGCTCGAGGCCAATGGCGCCCTCACCCAGTGAGTGACTCGGGAGAGAGTGGCGGGGCGGCATTGACACTCTCAAGCCGGCGCATGAGAGTGCAGCGCTCTAGTTGCACAGCATGAGAAGTGTGGGCCAACTGGCCGACCCCCGCCCGGCCCACGCACAGCATCATGGCACGGCGAACGGGCGCCGGGCCGAGGCTGCCAGCTAGCACCGCATGCCGCCCCTCGCACTGGGTCGTTGGTACTGTTCTTAACTCGCAAACACGGTGTGTGTCGTGGCCCCTTCCTGGTACTACTCTTCGCGCCACCGGGGCGCTCTCTCGATACTCGAATCTCGATTCTCGCTCGAGTTTGTAGTACTTTTCATGGCTTGGCTCAAGCCTCAAGCTTGTACTCAGAGCTTGTAGCCACATGTTCTGGCTACTCCGCTGATCAGCTCGTCTGTGCTGATCTCGTTGTCGTTCGCTCGATCTGCGATTTTTAGTTTTAATATATCTCATTCTCAGCACGTGCCGCACGAGCGCTTCGAACGCACACGTGGATGGGGAGCGGGGAGGCGTGCGGCGGGGGGGCGCTGAAATAAGCGCATACACCCGGCCATCCACTCATAGCTCTCTTCAAGACGAGTCTCCGTCACTTGTGGCGAACCGGCCCGCTCCCCCACGCCGCGTGCCACGGCGGCAGCGCGCAACTCCACGACGACAGCGCGCAAGCGCGAGAATCAGGCCGCCTTCTCCCAGCCTCCCTCGTCCTTGCTCATCGCCTTGCTGAGCGTGTCGACCAGCTGGTCCTCGACGCTCTCGACGGAGCCGTCCGCGCGCGTCTTTGGCGAGAAGGAGAGCTCCCACGCCTTGAGGTCTGGAAACTTCGCAAAAAACTCCTTCCACGCGGCCTCCGCCTCCTTGGGGTTGTACTTTCGGCCGGGGTCGCTGCTCTCGGGCAGCTCCACCTTCTGCACGTGCAGCCGCCGCTCCGCCGTCCGGTACAGCAGGTTGCTCGCCTGCCCTTCCTCGCATGTGTCGGTGCTGATCTCGGAGTCGCCGCGCAGCAAGCAAGGCCACCTGGGCACATCCCCTCAGACGTCAGGGCCGTGGCGAGGCGGTCTCGTGGGGGCTCGTCGTGCCGCGAGTGGCGGCGCGGCGTAGGCGTGCGCGAGCGGAGCCCCCGAGGTGTCACACACAGCGGCGGTGGGTGGGTGCGAGACGGCCTGGCGGGCGACGAGGCGGGGTGTCTCGGACGTGTCTCGGAAGTGTCTCGGAAGTGTCTGCACCACTGTAGCCGGTCGAGCGCGAGCTTCGGCACGCTCACCACGAGGCGGTGGTTATCCTGCAGCTGCCACATCGCCTCGTCGGCGCGCACCCGCGCGTAAAACTCGCCGCTCACCAGCGGCGCCTCGCCGCGCACGCCGCAGCTCACAGTGCCGCTCGTCACGCGGCAGGCGACGTCCCGCTTTGCCGTGCCGGGCGGCAGCTCGAGCGCGAAGGTGAGCTCGCCCAGCTCCTGCGTCCAGCGGTATCGGTCGCACACCGCGCCGTTGCGGATCACCTCCTCCCCCTTTGCCGCCTCCGCCTGCTCTGCCCGCTTGACCGACCGAAGCACGGCGAGCTGCTGCTGCGCTGCGACTATGTGGTGCGCCTCGGCGTCGTCATCGTCAATCTCGACGATCCTCGGCTCCTCCGCCGAGAGCACCTCCTCCTTGTGCCGCCGAAGCGCGTCACGCAGCTTGCCGCGCTCCTCCATGCCCAGGCCCGCCCGCTTCGCAGCCGCCATGGCCGCCGCCTCGCTGCGCACGAGGACGGGCACCGAGAGGGAGGCGTCGAGCAGGCTGCCGAGCGACTCCTGCGTCATGCTGGCGGCGGTGCAGAGCTGACGCAGCTCAAATATCTCGCGCGCATCGAGCATTTCCGGCCCTGCAAAGAGCGCGAGCAGAGAGCTCGCGGATCCGACCACAGAGGCAGCCGACAGGGCAAAAGAATTTAAGCCCAGCCTGCTAGCTCCCGGTCGGCTGCCGGCCGTTGGTGAGTGTGATCTGTGATCTGCGAGGGTCCGCCCCCGCACGACGCATACAAAAAAATGTATCCTGAGGCGGTGCCCGGTGCCGAAAACCTGTCGGACCTTAAGACAGCATTGTAGATCCTGGGCGAGGGTGATGGAGTCTCCGTCGGGTCAGGGCTAGAGGCGGGGGAGACCCAACCCGATCTCTCCGGCGTCCCGGACAGGGGACAGCCACTTCATAACCAGTTCATAACGTACGAGACACCTCACCGTACAGAAAAATCACAATATTCCACGGTCAGCGGAGACTCCTGACTCGCGGAACACAAACAGGGACGTCGACGCGTGTGGGTGTACATTCTCCCCGCGTCACTGACGTCATCGGGGAGCCTGGGGGCACTTCCTCTTGGTGTGGCCCTCCATACGGCAGATGCTGCACTTCCTCTTCTCGGCCGTGCTCGTCCCCGCCGCGCCGCTGCTGCCCCGGCCCGCGCCGCGCCCGCCAGCCCCGCGCCCCTCGCCTCGGCCGCCACGATCCCCCTGCGCCCCGCCTCGCCCCTTGCCACCGCCAGCAGCCGGCCCGCCCCGGCCGCCGCCACCGCCGCCATTCGGCGGAGCGAAGCCCTGGGTGGCCTGCGGACAGTTGCGCGCCCAGTGACCACTCTGCCCGCACCGGAAGCAGTCGCCACCGCCGCCGCCAGAGGGCAACGCGTTGCCACCACCTCCCCCTCCGCCGCCCTTGCCGCCGCCGCCCTTGCCGCCGCCGCCGTGTCCACCGCCGAACCCGCTGCCGTAGCCGCTATTCCCACCACCACCGTAGCCGCCACCGCCACCCCCTCCCCCTCCCCCTCCGCCACCGTAGCCACGGCCATTGCCACCCCCGCCACCGCCACCGCCACCGCCGGCGCCAAAGCCTCGACCGCTGCCGCCGCCGCCGCCGCCCCTTCCCCCGCCGCCTTTCCTCCGCCCGCGGGCGTTATCGACGCCAAGCATCGACTGAAACATCCCCACCGCAGCGGCCGTGTCCGCAGCATCCTCGACGTCGATGCACTGCAAGCTTGCGGGGGCGGTGGAGCTGCCAGCAGAGCCGCCGCCACCGCCACCGCCGCCGCCACCGCCGCCACCGCCACCGCCGCCGCCACCGCCGCCGCCGCCGCCGCCGCCGCCGCCGCCGCCGCCCCGAGGATCACGGGAGCAGAGCAGTGCCACCCTGCGCCGCCCGTCCGCCGTGTCGTTGCAGTCTCGCAGGATCTCTGCCAGGTTTGGCTCGGAGCAAAAGCAGCATGCGTCGTACGGGTGCATGCGAAGCCGCGGCTCGAGTGACGCGCGATTGAAGGTGAAGGAGAGGAGCGAGTGGCTGCAGCCGGCGCACGGCTGGGCAGAGAGGCGCTGGAGGGTGGTCCCGCCGGGCAGGTAGAGCTTCATGTCGCAGCCCTCGCCGGAGTTGGAGCACTCGAGCAACGTCCCGTTCATGGCCTTCGGGGCCTTGAAGAGCAGCTCGCCGCGCTGGCAGCTCGGGCAAGGCCGGAGCACCTTCGAGCCTGAGGCGAGCGGGCAGTCGGCGAGGCAGGCGAAGCAGCGGAGGCCGTCCACGGCCTTGCCGCCCGTCGCCTCTGCGGGCGGGTCCTTGAAGCACTTTGGGCAGATCTGGTGCGTCTTGCCCGTCGCGGTGTTGGTCACGCTCAGGACCTGGAACTGGTCGAGCGGGCAGCGGTGGCCATGCGAGGCGAGGTCGCCGCCAGGCACATCATAGTGCTCGCGGCAGCGCGCGCAGTGCAGCACGCGATACGGCTGCCCCCCCCCGCCTCCGCCTCCGCCTCCGCCGCCGCCCTGCGGCCGCACTCGCAGGTCCATCAGGCCTTGGCACTTGCCACATGAAGGGCGCGAGCCGTCCGACAGCCGCTGCGGCGCCCAGCTCGAGGCGTCAGGCCGCGCCAGGATGGCAGCGGCGGCGGCGTGGAGGCAGCGGCTGTTGACGCTGGCGTGCCGGTAGAGCCCTCTCATCATGTCGACCTGTTCACACCGAGCCGCGTGAAGAGACGCCGACCCAGGGCTGGTGCAGCGCCTCGCTCTTGCGCGCCGTCTTGTCGACGCACTCCTGCCTCGTCATCTGCCCGGAGCAGACCTTTCCCTACGGCATGCGCGGGGGCACGTCATACGCCGCACGCGTCGCGGCCGCGCCGCGCGAGCTCCGCCGAGGCGGCGGGCGCCATGTCGCGCTCCATCTCGGCCCTCAGGTGGGGGACGCCGAGGTCGAAGGCTTGCGGCATCCGCGTGTAGCTGTCGAGCAGGATCCTCGAGAGCGGCAGCGGGTGGAAGGTGTTGTTTGGCACGCGCTTCTCGACGTAGCCGCGGTCGAGCGTCTTCTTGATGTGCTGCGCGATCGTCGCGTCCGTGCCGATGCCCTGCTCGTCCATCATGCCAATGAGCTCCGCCTGCCGCCGTGCGGGGCGCGGCCGGTAAGGCGGGACACGAGGCGGCCAAAGCTTCGCTCCGCCTTGGACGGAGCGCGCGCCTCGGAGAGCGGCGAGGGCGGGGAGGTGTGCCCCTCGTGGAGGTGGAGCGCTGTCGGCTCAAACTGCTCCCCGAGGTAGTAGCTCGGGATCTTCCTCGCGCTCCACCGCTCCCACTTCCACACCTGGAGGCCACGTCGCAGACACGTTGCGGACATGTCGCGGACGTGTCGTGCGTGTGCGACGCACACGGCGGTGCGAGGGGAGTGGGTCTAGAGGAAGTGTCTCGGGAGTGTCTCGGAAAGTGTCGGGCGCTCCTTGAGGTAGTTGAGCTCGCGCACCATCAGGCCGCGCGAGCTGAACTGCTCGCCGGCCATCTCGATGTCGACGGTCGTCTCGAAGCCGAGCGCGTCGCACGCGCAGCAGGCGAGGAAGCGGCGCGTCACCAGCTCGTACACCCGCGCCTCGTCGCCTTGCAGCGGCGCGCCAGACTTGAGCGGATGGATCGGCGGGTGCGCCTGTGCCGGCGGCAGGAAGGGGTAGAGGCTCGGCGTCAGCGCTCTAGGCCGCATTCGAAGGATCGGAGGGAGGAGGAGACGGAGAAGCGGGAGGCGCGGCAAGCCGAGGCGGCGGCCGAGGCGGCGGCCGAGGCGGCAGTCAGGAGGGCGGCGAAGGAGGAGAGGGAGGTCGAAGGGGCGGTGGGCGCGCCTGGTCATCGTGCCCGCCGTCGCGCGGCCACTGGAAGCCTCCCGCCTGCAGCTCGCGCGCGAAGCCTCCCCACTCGGGGTGGCCCGCCTGCTCGTTGATGAGGGCCGCGAGGTCGAACCCATCCTGCGGGCGGCGCGGCTGCCGTGGTGGGAGGGTGGGAGACTGTGCGGCGGCGGCCGTGTCGCCGGCGCGTGGCGGGAGGCGTCGCAGCAGACGCCACGGGTGCGCCGTGAGGAGACACGGGCGGGAAGAGCTTGTTGCCCGGTGGGGCGCGAGGCGCGTGCTACGGTGGTGCCGCGCGCCTTGAACTTGTCCGTCTCCGTCCGCGGGTAGGAGAGGAAGCCCTGCTGGTAGAGCTTCTCGGCAATGTCCATCGTGCGGTCGGAGGAGATGCGGAGGAGGTTGGACGACAGCTGGAGGGTGAGAGGCAGCAGGAAGGAGAGGAGAGGCAGGTGGCGGGATCAGAGGCAGCAGGGGGGAGAGAGAGGCAGGTGGCTGGGTGAGAGGCAGCAGGGGGGAGAGAGAGGCAGGTGGCGGGATGAGAGGCAGCAGGGGGGAGAGAGGGGCAGGTGGCGGGGTGGGAGGCAGCAGGAAGGAGAAGAGAGGCAAGTGGCGGGAGGAGAGGCAGCAGGGAGGAGAGAGAGAGGCAAAAGGGCAGCGTCGCAGAGTCGCTGTTCCTTGTGTCGCGTCCTCTTGAGAGTCCCAAGAGTGTCGGAAGTGTCTCGGAAAGTGCCGCTGCGCCTTTTGCAGCTCGACGGTGTGCAGCGGCGTCGGCCGCCACTTCCTCTTCTCGTGGCCGTCCACCTGTGGGCGGGCGGAGGCGAGCCCCGACACGTCGGGCGGCGGCGGCGACAGGGGCGGTGGCAGGGGGCGGTGGCGAGGACCGGGGTTGGGCAGCGTGTGTGTGTGTGTGTGTGTGTGCGCGCGTGTGTGTGTGTGTGCGTGTGTGCGTGTGCGCGCGCGCGTGCGTACGCGCGGAGGGGGGGCGCACCTTTGTCACTGTCGCGAGGCGCCGCTCGACGCAGATCTCGTAGAGCATCACCTGTGAGTGAGAGGAGGGCGGTGCGGCGCTGGGGAAGCATCTCTCTCTGGACCATCCCTCGGCCATCCCTCGGCCATCTCTCAGCCATCTCTTGCCCATCTCTCAGCCATCTCTCGGCCATCTCTTGACCATCTCTCGGCGAGCACCGCCGCTGGCCGGTCAAAGAGCCGGTTCCGCTTCCACTTGAAGACCGCGGTGACCATCTCGTCGCCCGGCGCGCCGCCCGGCGCCCTGCCCGGCGCCGCGGGCGGCTCGGCCTCGCTCCCCAGCGGCGCGCCGAGCGCCTTGCGGTGCTCCACCTCGATCGCGTAGAAGGCCTCGCGCACAAAAGCGTCGATGCGCGCCTACGGCACGAAGGCGAAAGTATTCGAGAGCATCGCACACGGCCGAATGCGGCCGAATGCGCGCGCCCGCTCGAGAGTGCTAGAGAGTGCTAGCCAGAGGACACACGGGTCGGTGTTCCGCATCTGGGGTGACGCGCCGCGCGCTGCACCACGAACCACATCGTCGGGAACTGGCACGGACCGTAGCTGAGCAAGCCGTCGAGCCCCTCGTACTGGTCCTGACCACGCACGTGGTGCGGCGTGAAGGGAGGGGCGCGAGGAGGAGTCCGGTTGCTCGCCGTGCTGCGCTCCTGCAGCGTGAGCGTCTGGAAGCGCGTGAAGGCTGCGCCGAGCCGCAGGTCGATCTCCGACCGCGCGCTCACCGCGTCCGCGAGGCGCTGGTCGGGAGGGACCAGGTTGGCGAGCGCCTGTGTCGAGGGGGGGGAAGGGGGGAAGGGGGGGGGGGAGTCAGGCGGCTTTGTATCGACGGCCTCCGCCCGGCCCTCAGCGGCGCGGCGACGGCGGCGCGGAAACAAGAGGATGCCAGGGCGAGGCGGTGCACACTGGCTCTCTCGGCTGCATCTCGGCTGCATCTCGGCTGCATCTCGGCTGGGTCTCGGCTGGGTCTCGGCTGGGTCTCGGCTGGGGCGGGGCGGCGCGCGTGGAAGATGTCGCGCGGGATGAGCGCCGAGAAGCGCGCCCGCCGGATCTGCAGGACATGTCGCGGACGTGTCGCGGACGTGTCGTGGTGGGCGTGTGTGTGCGCGAGGGGAGTGCGTCGAGAGGCGGCGAGCCGCAAGGCAGCGAGCTGTAGAGCAAAGCAGTGGGTGCCTCCGTGTGGGTGCCTCCGTGTGGGTGCCTCCGTGTGCCCCGTCGCCAACGCGGACGGACGGACGGACAGAAAGTGATGCTCCTCCGCAGCAGCCGCAAGGCTGGGCGGCAAAGGCCGGCTGTGGCTGGTGAAGCTGGTGTGGCCGGGGTGGCGGACCTGCAGGCGCGGGTTTGCCCTCTTGCACACGTCGACCACCTCGAACCCGATCGCCTGAAGGCACCGCACCGGCGCCGAGGCGTGAGCAGGCGGCGCCTCGCCCTCTCCGCGCCGCGCCGCTCTCCGCAGCGCGCCTCGCCCTCCCGGTCGCAGTCGAGCCACAAGTGCAGCTCGTGGCAGCCGCGTGCAGCCTGTGACGGCGGCGGCGGCGGCGGCGGTAAGGATGGCGGCGAGGGCGGTGGCCGTGAGGGCGGCGGCGAAGGCAGCGGCGGCGACGGCGAGGGCGGCGGCGGTGGCTCCGAGGTCGGCGCCGAGGGTGGCGGCGGTGGCTCCGAGGTCGGCGCCGAGGGTGGCGATGGCGGCGGCCGCGAGGGCGGTGGCGGGCCTGCTCCAAGTTGCGCTCGATGTCGCGCTTGTCGTCGGGGACGCGCTGGCGGATCGGTGCGTCGAAGAGCTCGATAAGGTCGCACCGCTTCCACTTTGCGTGCCTCTCGTCGCAAAACTCGAGCTCCATCAGGTGGCCCGTCACCTGAACAGGGAAGGTGGCGCGCCGCGGTCGGAGAGTCTGCTCTTGCGGCGGCTGCCGAACTGAGCAGCCCACCGACGTGACAATCATCTGGCACTGCGAGCCGCGATAGGGCGTGCTGAACTCGAAAAGCCTGTTGTACTGCGACGGGCCCTGCTGGGTGCGGTAGCTCTGCGCGGGCGAGGGAAGGCAACCGGTGGTTAGTGTGTGCGCCGAAGCAGCGCAGCCGCTGCCTCCGCTGCGGCTGGCGTGCCTGCTGCGAAAGAATGTTGGCGATTTCCTTTGCGACTGAGGGCTTCTCCGCGACAGCGAGGACCTTCATGCACTCGAGGGGTCGGTACGACGGGTCGCCCAGGCGGGGCAACAGGGACAAAGAAACCTAGTCGCGCTTCCCTCGGTGGAACTCGTAACGCACGTCCCTGCCCCGCTACATTCCCCCTTCGTTCGGCATGCCTCCCAGGTCCAGGCGCTCGTCCGCCTTCAAGGCCGAACTCAGCCGCCTGCTCTCCCTCAACGCGTCCCTCGCTGGCCCCAACGCCGCTAGCTTGCACCACTTCCACCCCGGCACGACGGTGAGGCTCATGTTTGACAAGGGCTGCAGCAAGTTTGTCGGCAACCGGCTTCACCAGGACTCGAACCCCGCCCACCGTCCGCAGTGGTTCGACACCGGCGCTGACCCCCCACACTCGCGTCGCAGTTTTTAAACAATGCCGTCTTTGCGCTCGCCAACCGGCTGCCTCTCTCGCGGCTGAGCGATGCGCTGCACTATGGCTGCGAGGGCACGCTGCGGCCGACGGCGAGGCCCTCACCGCCATCATCGCCCTCACTCCCACTCTCGCCCACACCCACAGCCCGCGGGTCGGCTTGCACCACCGCCAAATCTTTGATCCCTCGGGCGCTAACATGCCATCGGCCCGCCTATAGGCGTGGCTGCTTGGCATTCCTGCGGTGCCGCAGGCCTCCGTCGCCGAGGCGCTCACACTCGCAAAGAAGCCGAAATCTGCCCTGCCAGACAGGCCCGTCGCCTACCCCGCTTGTCGCCCGCACGAGCGTAAAAACTGCACCACCTTCAACTTTGAGGGTTGCGTCCTCTCAAACCACGAGGGCTCGGGTTGCACCCGGCTCGACGCGCGGGAGAGGGCCGCTCCGCTCGTGCTGGCCAGCTGCGGTGGCGTGCCCCGTTCCGGGCGGTCCTCCGCGTCGTGTGCGCGCTTCCACTCCCAGGAGGCAGCGGCGATGCGCTTCTCGCCGTCCGCCGACCCGGGGCTCTTTCGTCGCGGTGTCCACTTCCTCTACGGCAAGCTCTTTCGCGCCATGTTTGAGTTTCGCGCACCACGCCACGGGAAGGCGCTGCACCTGCAAAGCTGTGAGTGGGGGAGCGCCGCGCAGGCGCAGGGCGTGCGGGTCTCCGTGCACTTGCGCCACCAGTCGACGGCGATGCTCGGGTCGGAGTACCTCCCCGCGGTCCTGGCCGCTGTGCAGGCGCTCGTGCGCGGGAGAAGGTGCACGGTGCTGCTAGCATCGGATCGGAGGGCCTCTTACGGCGTCTACTCCGCGGCACTGGTCCGGATCGGGTGCGAGACGATGGGCAACCCGAGGCCGTCCGAGCGGCGGGTCCGCACGTACTTTGCGGAGCACGGGCCTGACGACGGCCCCACGGCGTTGAGCGACCTCGAGCTCCTCTCACACGGCCACCACCTTGTCGGACACTTTGGCGCTCCCTCTCACGGCCGGTGGCGGGCTCCGCTCCGCGCGCGACACGCCCCACCGTGCGACCCGTAGGCTCAACTTACTCGCTGATGGTTGGCGCCCTCATCGCCGCGCGCGCCAGCGAGGGCGCCGAGCCGCCCCTCGCGATCTTCTACCTTCCGACACACGCGCCGACACGCGACGCCATCACCGCTCCTCTGCCGCTTGTGACGGGACCGGACAAGGCGTGGCACATGTCAATGCAGCGGTACCCGGTCGCGCGGCTCATCGGCGGGCGGCGGGGCGGCTCGGTGGAGGTGCTGGCAGAGAGCGACGTCGAGAGCTGGCGGACGGGCGCGGAGGTGGAGAGGCAGGTGAGGGCGCAAGGGGGGACCATCTACGACCCGCGAGTGGACAATATGAGCGTGTGCGGTTATTAGGGTGTGGAGGGTGTGGTACTGTGGAGAGTGGACGTACTCCTACGCGCTTGACAACGAATTTCCCGTAAGGCACATGAAGGTTGAAGGGCAAAAGCTGCAGAAAAGAGCCAGAAGTGTCACCTGCGTCATAGTACCGCGGAGCGTCCGGCGCTACCCGGAAACAGTGGTGCGGCAGAAAAATAAATAAGCGTACTAAGGCACTGCGCGTGCGTCCCATCGTATGGACCGTCGCTTGAGCTGCTCGTTGGGCATGCGCTGGGTGGCGCGCGTGGATGAGACTGGCGAAGTGTGCAATCGTCTTGAGGCGGAAACCAAGCAGGCAGTGCACTCGCTGGAATCCCGCGTCCAGGCTTCCATGGATGCGGCGGAAGCCACTGTGCAGGCGCCCAGCAACGCATGTCGGACCTGTCAAAGAGCTCGAGACGCAGAATTCCGAGCTGGTAAATCTGGTGCGACAGCTACAGCTACAGGTGCAGCAGCTGCAGGCGCAGCCCGCAGTCGTCTCCTGTGGTCAGGCTCGTAAGCAAGGCCATCCGTCCTTGAAAGAGATGCGGGCAATGGGGGTCACAATTGCTGAGGCTAAGTGCGGCGGATACGAAAGTGCAGAGGCTGGTGCGGCAGGCTACACAGCGCTGAAGCTGAGCGGTATGACATGCGTAGATGCAAAGGCTGCGGGCTATGTGGATGGGCTCAAGGCTGCGGGGTACTCGCTGCACGAGGCGAGAGTGGCAGGCTATTCGCCAACTGAGCTGCGGCGCGCTGGATATACCTGTGCTGAGTTCAAGGCGGCTGATTTGACGTGCCATGAGGCGGAAGCAGCGGGCTTCTCGTCGCGCGAGGGGGCGGATGCGGGCTATTGTTGCTGCGGCAGTGGAGGTTGCTACTTCCACGAATGGCATAGCACCTTCACTCGCCGTTGTAGAAAAGCGCTGCAGCAGAGCACTGATCCAGCCCCGGCACCGGCCGGAGGCTTTCTCGCGCCGGCAGCTGCAACGCCCGCCTCGGTGAAAGACTCCATCGCGGAGGAGGGGCGCGTGGCGTTCGAGAAGTTATTTAAGAGTGCGAACTTGCACGAGACCGCGACTACTCCTTCGCCGTCTCACCGAGGAAGGCACTGCAGTTGCGAGACAGGTTTGGTGTGCCTGGCCAGAGCCCTAACAATCACCCCTCACCGCTCGGTCCGCCGCCCCATAGCTCACACCCTACTCGACCTGACCCGCTCCCCACAGGCTATAAGCGGCGGCACCTCGCTGAGCAACAACACTGTTAACCAGATGGCCTCAGTGGCTAAGGAGGCCATCAAGGCCAACACCGCGGTGGCTACCTCGTTTTTTAGGGAGGTGGCCTCGGTGACTAAGGTGGCGATCGACGCCAACCGCGAGATCGCATGGAATACTGGTGGGCTTGTGGGCGGCCCGATTTTGTCGCCTCTCACGGATGGGCCGGCCCGCAGCCCGGATACGTTTTGAAGACAGGCTCACACAACCAAAGGCATCCCGGATGCATCTTACCGGTAACCCGCATATCCCCCCACGCGACCCAAGATCATGCACCCCCCACGACAGCCGGCAGGACTCACTGTGAGAGACCGTTATTGTGTGAGGACGAGGAGGGATACTCTAATCACGCACCAGTCTCGACTGCCAGTCAGCCCGTCGCCCTCTCAGTGGTTACGGTGCACACAGCAGCTCACGCAGAGACGTGTACGGCTTTAAATATTAAAACAAGCTTGCAGTTCCAAGACGCAAGAGCTAGCTGTAAGCTGAGTCCTGACTGAGTGTGCTGATATGTGATACGGATATAAGCTGAACAGACAAAACGCTCAAATCGAATGCCCTCAACCCTCATTCCTCAAACACAACAAGAACAACCGCCGCGCGGTTCACAGCTTCAAGCTCAACAAAATGCTCAAAATGCTCTCACAAAATACACAGAAAAGCTTCAGCGCGGCGCTCCGCGCCTGACTGACTCCTCTCACATCTATTGCAGCTTGGCATGAGCAGAGTCCCCCGCGTGAGCGGCGTCGCCCCACCCCACGTGGTGCCCTTCCCTGCGCGACACAGCGAACACCTCGCGAGTGCGCGTATCCCCACCGACCTCTCGCTCTCTAAGTTGGCGCCGGGCGGACAGCGCGTGGAGAGCAAACCTCAGGGGCTGCCTCCCGCCGCCGCCGCCGCCGCCGCCGCCGCCGCCGCCGCCGCCGCGAGCTTTAAGCGCTCAGAGCCGCAGCCTCGGAGCCGCACGGGCCCCGAGAGGCTCAGACCTCGTCCGCCCCCTCAGGCAAGCCGAGTTCGGTGCAGATGGCGTCGATCCGCTCCTCCAGCTTGGTCCCGGGCCCCTTCTCGGTGCCGAGCGCCTCCTCGACAACCTGAGAGCGCGAGGTTCGCGAGAGTTGATGCGAGATTCGCCGAGATTCGTCGAGCTCTTGCCCCCTCGCAGACACCTGCACGTCTTGGTCGAGCGACTCGGACGCCGCCCACGCGATGCCTGGGGGGGGAGAGAGTCCACGGTGAGAGGGGCACACGCCGCCTCGAGCGACTCGAGCGCGGCTCGACGGGTGCGCCGAGCGAGTACATCGCATGGTCGAGCCGCTCGCGGGGCAGGTAGGCGCCTGGAGCGGGAGATAGGGCGGGGTCGGGCCGAGAGTGCAGCCTCGAGAGAGCCGCTCGCGGGGCAGGTAGGCGCCGTCGTACGCCGAGCCGTCCCCCTTCTCCTCGCCGAGATGCACCTCGGGCGCACGTCACACAGACACGAACGGTGAGCTGAAGGAGAGCGCTGGGCGGCCCTCGCTGCCGCGCGAAGCGCACCTCGAACATCGCCTCGAAGAGCCCATCGACACGCGCGAGCAGGCCGATCTCCTACGCCGAGATCTGGTCGAGGTGCAGCCGAGGTACGGAGATCACCCCCCCTTGCGGAGAGAGAGAGGCGGATCTCTCTCCTTGTCGACGACGAGCTCGGCAGCCTACGACAGAGAGCCGAGTGGTGCCTTTGTCTGTATCAGGAGAGAGTGCACCACAGTGAGAGGGGGGCTCAACGTCGGTGGGACTCGGGAGTAGCGAGCACTGAGCGGCATCTCTCGCGACTCTCGATGCGGGGGCGAGCTCGGGTGCTGCTCGGGTGTGTGCGCCTGCTCGACTGCCTCAACCTTGGCGAAGAGCGGCGTCCCCGCAGGCACCTCCATCTCCAGCGCGACGAGCATCCGGTCCAGCTTCTCGCCTGCTCTCGGTGCAGGAGACTCTCAGCAGACCACGGAGGCGAAGCCGCCGCCAGCATGCGGCGCGGCTGCTCGCCCGCGCTCAGCTCTCTACTTGTGCCTTCGAGCCGGCGCGTCCCGACGACCTGCGGCAGATGCCCGCGACTTGTCAGGGACGTGTCGTGGACACCCCTGCACCCGACGCCGCTCCCCACACCGTCGCAGACTCTCCGAATCCGCCCGACGAGTCGAGCAGTGACGCGCCGGAGTCGAGCGTCGGCGGCGAGGCTGCCCGCATCCTCCCCCCCACGTCCGAGCGCGTGGAGGGCTGCGCCTTCCGACTCGCAGCCGCCAGCTTGCGAAGCAGCGCCGCCTGGCACCGGTGCAGGCACCGGTGAGTGGGGGCTGATCAGCGATCGCCGCGGCTACAGCCCGCTCGCTGCAGCGAGAAAGCGCCGCCTTGGAGAGAGTCCCATCGTGCAGCAAGTGCGCCGGGTTGTCGGAGGTCGCCTAAGGAACGGGTGGGGCCAAACTCATTCCAGTGGAGAGAGTGGCGGTGCGAGCACCGCGTCTTCGGAGAGCTGGCGCTACCCCGTCAGCCCCGAGCAGCCTGCGTCCGGAGACGCGCCTCTGAATGACGACGGACTCTCCTGCGGGGAAAGTTCCGAGAAGGTTCCGAGAAGGTTCCGAGACGGTTCCGAGACGGTTCCGAGACGGGGTTGGTGGCAGAGGGGGGCGCAGAGAGGGGTGGGAGGGGGGGCGTGTGCGGGAGCGGACCGGTACCTGCGTCCGACTCCTCCGCCGCACTCAGCCGGTAGCCGCCGCGGCCGGGCAACTCGGGCGAGGGGGCAATGTGGGCCGCGCTCTTGCGGCGGCAATGCTGGCAGCAGCAGATTAGGAGGAGGCACAGGCAGGCGGCGAGGGCGACGGCCCCCGCGGCGAGGAGCGGGGCGAGGACGACTACCGGACCAACCTGAGGGGGGGAGGAGGGGGCGGGGGGGGCAAGGTGGGCGGTAGAGGGCGGCGGCGGTGGGCCAGAAGGTGGGTCGGAGGTGTGTGACGTGCAGTGGGAGGAGGTTCAGGCAGGAGCGGCGTAGGTGGAGGCACAACGGAGGAGCTTGGAGGCGGAGGCAAGGGTGGCGGGAGTGAGGGCGCGTGGAGGCGAGGAGGCGAGAGAGTGGGCGGCGGTGGGTGGCGATGCTGCGGCCTCGAGCTGGTCCGGAAGGGGGACGCCGGCGCTTCGCTGCAACTTGTCGCGCAACAATTTGTCGACCGTGGCGAGCCAGCTGTCCGTCGACGGCGCTGATGGCGCCGGAGCTACGGGCAGCGGAGGGCCGCCGTGCCAAGGCGGCGCCGGAGGCACCGGCTCCGGGAACGGCGGCAGCGGTGGCGGCAGCGGTGGCGGCGGCGGCAGCGGCGGCGGCAGCGGCGGAAGAGTCGGCGCCGGCGAAGGCGGCAGCGAGGGCTTCGGCGACGCGGGTGGCGGCGGCGAAAGATCCACCGGAGAGCACGCAGAACATTCGCTCACGTACTCCTCCGCACCGATTTTGCGGCAGGCCTCGCGCGCTTCGACGCCGCCGTTGTTGATGAGCCATGTGATGCGGCCGCCGCACGTGCTGCTGGGCGGTGTGTACGCGGAGTATGTGCAGCCCGGCGCGAAGGAGGAGCAGGGGTTCATTTGTTTGATCTCTCGTCCTCAGAGCAGCAGTCCAAGGCGCAGCTGTGAGCGCTGTCAGAGCGGTGTTTCGACACCGATAGACTCCCTTCGTCGAGGAGAACGCTGAGTCAAAATCCGCTGTTCACACTTCACAGGTAAGTGTAAGCGGAGCAGCTGAGTAGATAGATACAGCGAATCCTTTGTGTTCACACCTGACAGGGGTGGTGGGTAAGGGGGGGTTTAGTCTCACCTTCAAGGATGTGAGAGGAGAGGGAGTACCCGGAGAATCCCCGGCTGCGGAAACGTAGTGTCGCTTCTCTACAAGAGGTGCGATACTGCGGGGGAGTGTAAGGTGGCTAGAAGGGCTTCCAGTCGGACCTTCAAGACATGCGCTTTTGGCTCTTCGGACAGTAGGGTTGGGGATTTGTTCTACTCTCTCGACCCTCTTAAAAAAAGAAAGAAAACGGCCAACCCAAGGGAGGAATGGGGAGGGACGGCACGCCGCCACCACACAGGGATTTTAAGGAGAGGGGTGAGGTGCACTAGCCGTCGCCCACCCTTGGGCGTCCGCCTCTTCCTATCTCTCTTCGCAGTCTCTCTCCGATTCTCGCTGCGACCTTCGTGCCACCTCGCGGTCGCCCCCTTCTCGTCGTGCTCTCCCTTGTCGCTTCTTCCTCTGTCGCGTCGCTCTCCTCTGTCTCGTTCTGCGACGCCGCCGCCGCCTGCCGGTCCCTTGTTCTCGCGGCTTCTTTCGCCTTTCGGCGCAGCTCCGCCCTCCTAGCTGCATATCCTGGCCCCTCGAGTCTATCGAGCTCTCCTCGCGCAAGGACGAGTCTTCTGACGCCCACTGCGATCATTTGCCACCCAGTCATATCATTGCTCAGGTCCACTCTCTCTTCGAACACTTGTGCCTTCACGGATGAAGCCGGCGCTGGGGTCCCCTTCGGGTGCATCGTGACGGCTGACAACGGTATTTCCACTGGTTCGTCCTCCTCGGAGTCGTCTTCCCCCGTTTCCCTCCGCTCGGCTCTACGTTCGGTACGTTCGGTGTGGCTCACCCTCCATGCCGTGAACAGGCGCTTTATCCACCCTATATTCTTCTCTCGTTCCTCTGCCCGTGCCTTGGTCTTGTCGTTGTTTCGCATCCATGAGAGAGATTTTTAGCAATACCAAACAACTCTAACACTCACACGTAATTTGGGGCCTGGAGCCCTGTTCACGCGCGCGCGAGACGTGCAGACAGGGTTGCCAGGTGAGAGCGAATGGCGCGGTTTTTTCATCCATGTGAGTATGGCGATCGAGGCTGCCTTCCCCACTACCTGTAGTTCACTCGTCACCTCTCCCGCGAGCTCCCTTCTCTTTCTTTCGGGTATGGGGTCCGTGAGTGCGGGCAGCGTGCATGCAATCACGGGCGCTATTTTGTCGTACTCCTCTTCGGCGAGCGCTCCGAATCTAGACCCCATTGCCTTTAAGGAGGCTGCCCTCGCTCGTCTCAGGAATGTGACGGTGTCTTTTGAGTCCGGCGCCTCCCGTTCAACTCTTGCTGTCGCCCTCGCCGTGTTTACCCGAGGAAAAGAGCTGTTCAGTCTTTCCAGCTGTGCTCAGCGTCTGGCTCGTCCGCACGCCGAGCCAACCTGCAGCTCCTCGAAAATGCTGATCACAGTCTCCACGGCGCTGGCCGGTGCCTGCCTGCTCGTCTGCCTCGCCCTGTGTGTGCGCAGCCGTATGGTTCGGGCAGCGCCCGTCCGACCACAGCTGCACGAGGCCGTGCTTGCGGCCATCTGTAAACTCCGCGAGACCGACGAGGGTCCGTACGCGCAGATGGCCGCCGAGGAGGATGCAACGCGGGCCAAGGCGCGCGCGGCGGCGCTGCGAGTGTGGTGGGCTGCTGAGGCTGTTGGTCTCGTAGTTCATGCCCATCTCATATCGTGTCCGGGGAAAATATCAGTATCAGATTCGTTGCCTCCGTGTGCGCGCACTCCGAGACTGCCCGCTCGCCCCCCAACTGGTTCAGGAGCTCGCAAACGCCTCGGAGGATCTCGAGGCGGCTGCAGCGGCAAGGACGGAGACAGAGGCGGTGGCAGCGGAGGAGGCGTCAGTGGCGCGGCTGTCGCTGGCGCGGCTGTCGCTGCGCGACGCTGTGCTGCAGGCAGAAGCAGTTGCTCCCTTAACGGCCACCGCTCGAATCGCCCCTGACTTGGAGGAGCGCGAGTAGGCGGACGACAATGTCGCCGCAGCCGAGGAGCGACTCGCTCAAGCCAGCCTCGAGGAGGGCCCCGGCTCGTGCCGAGCTCGAGGCGAGATTGCCCGAGATCACTCGAGACCGCACGAGATTAGGCGAGCCGGCGAGCCGGCGAGCTTGAGACGGCCACGGCGGAGCACGAGGCGGAGCAGAAGGCGGCGCTTCGCACTGCGATAGAGCGACGGGCGGCGGTCGGGGCGGCGCTAGCTACCAGGGAGCGTGAGGCGGCGGCGGCAGAGGCGGCGGTTGCCGAGGCGGCGAGGGTGGCGGCGGCGGAGGAGGCGGAGCGGGTTAGGACCGGGACGGTGGCCGAGGCGGTGGCGAGGGCGGTGGCGAGGGCGGCGGCAGTGGAGCAGGCATCGTGCAGTGTTGCGGAGGCGGAGGCGGAGGTGGCGGCGGCAGATGCAGCGCGAGCGGCGGATGCCATGGAGGCGGCGAGGGCAGAAGAGGCGGCGGCGAGGGCGGGGCTCGGCATGGCCGAGGGCGAAGGTGATGTGGCCAAGGCGGAGGCGCGTCTCGCAGAGTCGCAGCAGGCCGCCAGCCGGCTGAAGACGTGGTTTCAACTCGCGAGCCAGCGCAAGGCGGCGGCCGGCGAGGACCTGGAGGCGGCGGCCCGCGCTTGCAGCGAGCTCGAGGCGACGGTTGCGGAGGCGGCAGCTGTCAAGGCGGCTGCCACGGCCAGGGCTGCGACAGCAGTGGCGGCGGAGGAGGCTGCACGGACGGCGGCCGATCTGGCCAGAGCCGAGTTGGCAGCAGCTGCAGCGGAGATGGAGGTGGCAGAGGAGGCGCGGGCTAGCCTTGAGGCGAGGGTGGAGGTTGCGGCGGCGGGTGCGGCGGTGGCGAGGGCGGCGCCGCAGGGCGGCATCGCCTACCGGATGGCGCCTCCAGAGGATATCGCAGCCGGGACGCCGCTTCTCGAGAAAGTGCACGCCGCCGACCGGAGCCTGGCCGACGCACAGCGCGATGTGGCTGCAGCGGAGGCGCGCCTCGCCGAGTCGGAGCAAGCCGCCAAGGAGCTGAAGGCGGCGCTCGCGGTTGCGGAGCGCGAGGCGGCTGAGGTGGCTGCTGCCGCCGCCAAGGCGGAAGCGGCGGCAGCCAAGGCGGAAGCCGAGCGTTTGGCAGCTGAAAAGGCGGCGGCAGTGGAGGCGGCGAGAGTGGCGGCGGAGGAGGCGGCGGCGGAGGAGGCGGCAAGAGCGGCGGCGGAGGAGGCTGAGGCGGCAGAGGCAGAGGCGGCGCGGGTGGCTATGGGCCAACGGATGGCGGCTGCTGCGTTGAAGCAAGCTGCAGCTCGCGCTGCGGCTGCGGTGGCAAAGAAGGAGGCCGAAGAGGCGGCCGAGGCAGAGGCGGCGCGGGTGGCTATGGGCCAACGGATGGCGGCTGCTGCGTCGAGGGCGGCTGCGGCGCGAGTGGCGGCTGCAGCGGCAAGGACGGAGACAGAGGCGGAGGAGGAGGCGGAGGAGGAAGCGGAGGCGGAGGCGGAGGCGGAGGCGGAGACGGCGCGGGTGGCGGAGGCGGCGCGGGTGGCGGCTGCTGCGCGGGTGGCGGCTGCTGCGCGGGTGGCGGCGGCGGCGGCGAAGACTGCGGCGGTGGCGGCGGCGGCGAAGACTGCGGCGGAGGCGGAGGCGGAGGCGGAGGCGGAGGCGGAGGCGGTGGTAGAGCGTCTACGACAGCTCGATGGCGAGGCGCCGCCGACGCGCAGACGGCTGAGCGATGTGCTATTGGGGGTGGGTCCGCGGCTGAAGTCTACTCGCACTTCGCTCGGCGCCGATTTAATTGATGCCGGCTCCGCTGCTGCCGCCTCCGCTGCTGCTGGCGAGGTAGTTGTTACCTCGTCGCCACCGCGCGGGGCCAGTTTCGACGTGGAGGGAGTTGCGGCCGAGTGCTACACCCCGTTTGACGCGAAGTCCGAGGCGGCCGCTGTGACGGGGAACGAGGTGGCGCCCCGGCGACGGAGCGGCCCGCGCTCGACAACGACCGCCCGTCGGACCAGCGACGCGCGATCTGGCGACGGCGCTAACGGCGCGGATGTCTCGAGCTTGCGGGACCTGGTGCGGGACGCCAAAGTTGCTGCCAATGTCGGAGGCCGCAGGGCCAGCGTCGGGAGTACTCCTCCCCCAAAGCGCGATCTGGATATGCTGCGAGAGCTGGGGCTGCTGTAGATAATGCCGAGGTTCATGCGGAGAAAGTTAATTAGAGAGTTTAAAGTCCCGCCTCCCCAGCCTCCCGGGCGCAGTCCACACACCACAGACCGGGAGAGACCGCAGAGTTCCAGAGAACGCCGCAGTGTAACAGAGGCCAACACGTGCGTACACATAGACAGACCGCGTAAATCGATCAGTCCGCAAGGAGGGATCATCATGTGCAAGCAGCTCCGCGACCATCCGTTGGCCAGATCTTGGTGCGCTGTACTCCTTCACACGAGGCGCATTTCGAGCATCAACGTTTAAAGGCTTAGCAGGAACGCCGTGCAGCAGCATGCCGTGCACCCAGCCGACGAATGGGAAACAAGTGCTGAGGAGGCATCCCGCTTTTGCGCATGACACGTCCTCCACGTGCTGGCGCTCCATGACCGGGGCCCGAGGAACGGTGCCGACAACTGCCGACGGGACCTGGTAAGCCTCCTCGCACGAGCGCGATGGCTGCTGCTGTGCAGAGTAGGGGAGCTGGCGCTTGCTCGGCTGGGTGTCCATAGCGTGGTGCGAAACGCTTCAAGGACTTCAAGGCGGTCGGATGTTCCGATTAGACGTCCAGGACGCATTCAGGGACGCTAGCGCTACTTTTCTTTTTCGCACTATGTTTGTTTGTTACAAACATTACACCAAGAGTCTTTGAGAGAGAGAGAGAGAGAGATTTAGCAATAGTTGTTGAGCCTTGCTTGTGTGAGCGGTCTTGCTTGCTTGCTTTGCCAACAACAAACCTACTCCCTTGATATGTGGTAAACCAAGTACCGTATTCGGTACTATGAACTGTGCGATTTCGGGCCCGGGGTTGTGCGCTTACCAACTCTGAGAAAGGACGAAAAAAACCGAAACACCGCTCAGATAGCCTGCGAACTCGTCGACCCGTGGCCAAGGAGGAAACGGCCCGATGGCGGAGCGGCCCAAGTCCAGACCGCCACCCAGGGCGTTCATACAGCAGAAGCGCGCGGAGACTGGCTACCACCCAGGCAGCCCGGTGCCGCAGCTCTACGATCCGATCCCCGCATCGAATGACGGCGAACATTCTGCTGCGCGTGACATCGGCGAACATTCTGCTGCGCGTGGCAGCGTTGACCTCGGCTCCATCGAAATCACCGGCCCATGCACCCTGTTGACATCGTTGCTCTCTAAGCTTGCGCCGCCAGGCAATCTCACATATTCTCTCACCTGAGCGCCGAGTGTGGGGATGTCACCTGACCTCACAAATGTAGGCGTCCCGTTTGGCGGCACACTGACCTTTGCTGGAGGAGTCAAGTATGTCGGAGGCGACATGCACCCTATCACCACACGCATTCCCTTTTCTCCTCGAATACCCTTGCTCCTTTCCATAGGCCTCAAGACGAAGCGCTGTTTTGGCAGCCCTGTGCGTGATGGGCCTGGCGTCATGCTCTTTCCGCCACTCGGCTCTGGCGATAAGCTCGAGGGGGAGTGGGTCGACGGGCAGCCTGGTAGCTTTGCGATGGCGGCCAAACTGACGTGGCTGTGGGCGAAGAACGGGCCATCGCTTGCGACGCGCGACGTGGGTGCCGTCGGCCTCGGAGGGGAGGAAGTGCCAGCTAAAGTAAGGTGATTGGGGCCCCCGGAGATTCCGGTAGCAGGCGGTGCCGCGGGGATGCCGGGGTGAGCCCACTGTCGGCGTCACACCTGTGTACGTTAAAGAAACAGAACCTCGATGTCTTCTCTCATTCGTGTGTCGCTCTTCGACAAAGAGCGACACACGAATCTCCGGGGTCCGCTCTCACACCTCAGAGAACTCACGAAACGCGCAAAAACTCGCAAAAAAGCTCGCTACACACACTTCCACAAAACGCTCAATAATCGGAGTGCGTCTGCAGCGCGTTGAGGCGCGCATAGAGGCCGGCCGCCGCAACCAGAGCCTCGTGTGTCCCCCGCTCGACGACGCGGCCGCGCTCGAGCACAACGATCTCGTCGGCCGCTCGCACCGTCGCGAGACGGTGCGCCACCTACTACTCATTACAAACTGCTTCGAGGCATCCCGAGAAGCTCGCCGTCGGACGGCGGTGCGCCACCGTCAGCACCGCGCGGCCGCGCGCGAGCAGGGCGAGCGCGTCATGCACCTGATCGCGGATAACCTCGGGTATTCTCGGGTCGGTCACAACAACAGGTTGGCGGGCGCGTCGCGCACCGCGCGCTCCGACTCCGCGTCGAGGCTCGCCGTCGCCTGAGCGCGAGGTGTAGATCTCGGACCATCTCGGAGAGTCTCCGACTCTGACTCGAGGCGCGCGGGGGGGGGGGGGGGGTGATTAGTCGAGACTCGCCTCGTCGAGCAGCAGCACCGAGGGCGCGCGGAGGTACGCGCGCGCGAGCGCTATGCGCTGCCGCTGCCCGCCCGATAGGCCGCCGCCCCGCTCGCCGATTGCCGCACCGTAGCCGCCCGCCGTTGAGATGAAGCCGTGCGCGTTGGCGGCGACCGCCGCGCGCCGCACCTAATCTCGAGTCATCTCGGCTCACCCCGGCTCGCCTCTGCTCGGCGCGGCCAGTCGCCGCGCCTCGCGCTCGAGTAGCTCGGCGCTCCACTCGCCCTCGGGCGGCGCCCGCCGCGCGCCAAAGGCAATGTTGTCGTGGAAGGTGCCGCGGAAGAGGGTTGGCTCCTAGTGTGGCTCCTAGTGCGTGAGCTTGGTGCATGAGGGTCGGCTCACGGGTGGAGGAATGCCGTCGTGGCGGGGTGCAGCAGAGGGAGGGCCGGGCTCCGGCTCGGCGCGAGGTGGGTGGAGAGGAGGGGAGAGGAGGACGCGGCGGGAGGCAGGTAGGGGAGTGGGGTCGGCTCCTGCGCGACGACGCGAACGCAAGCTCTAACCTCGGGTCATCTCGGGCCGTCTCGGGCCATCTCGGGCGAGGTACGTCTCGGGTAAGCTCCTGCGCGACGACACCCACGTGCTCGCGGAGCCACCTGCGGAGACATTGAGTCACAATTGTCTCCGCTCAGCACTGCAGTGGCACTGCAGTGGCACTACAGTGGAAGCAAGGGCGGGCGGAGCCACGTGCTCGGGTGTATCTCGGCTGTATCTCGGCGATGGCTCAGATCATTCAAGGGTGGGGCAGAGCCAACCGGTTTGGAAGCCGCTCGAGGCGAACGCCGCCGATGGTGATGCAACCGGCGGTTGGCTGGTAGAAGCGCAGCAGCAAGCTCAGCGCGCTGCTCTTGCCTCCGCCGCTTGGCCCGACCAGCGCCGTCATCTTGTCGGCCGCGAGCGAGAGTGTGAGCGAGTCGAGGGCTGGCTGCTTCGCCGCCTGCGGGACGTCTCCGAGACGGCTCAGGGGCGGCTCCAGCAAGACGCGACGACGCGAGCTGCTTCGCCGCCGGGTAGCAGAAGCCAACCACCTCGAGCTCCACGTGCGACGCAGCGGCGCCCTCCGGCGCGGCGCAGCTGCTCCCCGCCTCGGCCGCTGCCTCTGCCGCAGCGCGCGCCTCGCCCTCGTCCAGCAGCGACAGCGCCTACCCTCGGGGAGATCTCGGCTGACCTCGCGCAAACCTCGGGCGCGCCTCGCCCTCGTCCAGCAGCGAGAGCGCGTGCGAGGCGCTCGCGGCACTCGCCGCCGCGCGAGCCCACCCGTTGGCCGCCTGCACACGCGCTCCTTTTCTAGGCGCGTGTATTTCTTTTTCTAGGATGCACCCCACCCGCCGGCCGCCTGCAGCCGAGGTGCAGCCGAGGTGCTGCCGAGGTGCCGCCGAGATCGAGCCGCCGCCCGGTGTCGTGGGCTGCGTCCGAGGCGGCGTAGCCAGTGGCGACGCCGTACACCGCGAAGGAGGAGACGCTTCCCGCGCTGAGGGCGCCGGAGAGGACCTGCCTCGAGATCAGCTTCGATCAGCTTTGTATCTCGTCTCTCGGCTGCATCTCGTCTCTGCGCTGCATCTCATCTGTCGGCTGCATCTCGCCTCTCGGCTGCATCTCGCCTCTCGGCTGCATCTCATCTGTCGGCTGCATCTCATCTTTCGGCCGCCTGCCGGCCGGCTTCCCGCACCACGCCGAGCGTGGCGACGCCGCCGAGGAGGAGGTTGCCTGGTTCACAGCTGGAGGCGTGAAGAGACGCTGTTCACAGCACGAGCGACGCGTGCCGACGCCGCCGAGGAGGCGGTGGAGTCGGTGCGTTGAAGTTGGTGGAGTCGGTGGCGGGGTGGTGGCGGCGGTGGCGGCGGTGGTGGCGGCGGTGGTGGCGGCGGCGGCGGCGGTGGCGGCGGCGGTGGTGGCGGCGGCGGTGGGTGTGGCGGTGGCGGGTGGTGGCGGTGGCGGTGGCGGTGGCGGTGGCGGTGGCGGCGGCGGCGGCGGGTGGTGGCGGTGGCGGTGGCGATGGCGGCGGCGGCGGCGGCGGCGGCGGCGGCGGTGGCGGCGGCGGCGGCGGCGGTGGCGGTGGCGGTGGCGGTGGCGGTGGCGGTGGCGGTGGGTGGCAGAGACGGAGGTGGCGATGGTGGAAGGAGGAGGTTGCGTCCAAGGTAGTGCAGCGCAATCTCGAACCAGCTAACTCTCATACGAGTAGGGTCCTCCCTCGGCTGCCTCCGTTCCATAGCTTGTGCAACGCCATCTCGCGCATCGAGAGCGTGTAGTACGCCTGCACTCTTGCGCCAGCCTCGGGTCACCTCGGGCCCACCTCGGGCACATCTCGGGTCATCGAGAGCGGTACGCTCCTCCGCCTCCGCGGCGTACTTTGCGCCGACCGCAGCCTCACCACCGAACGCCTTGAGCAGGCGACCCGAGATGACCCGAGATGACCCGAGATGACCCGAGATGACCCGAGATGACCCGAGATTACCAAAGACTGGGCGGGGCTGCGCTGTCTAAGCAGTCTCGCCGCCGAGCGCCTTGATGCAGCGAGCAGCAGAGAGCGCCTCGGCCGCCACCGACGTCGCCGCGCTCGCCTGGCGCTGCTGCTCCTGAGCAAGCGCGCGCACCTGGTGCGGCAGGAGCGAGCGCCTCGAGTGCAGTGGTGGTGGTGTGGCAGGGCTGAAGGCGGGGCACACACGCCCGCGTGCCAACCGCCGCCGCGAGGAGCCCGAGCAGCGGCGCGATGCCGAAGGCGAGGAGGGTCAGCCTACACGCGCCGCCTCCGGACCGTCTCCGACGCGTCCTGCGGAGGAGGACGCCATGTCCTGGCGAGGGAGAGTCTGCCGCGGAGAGATGGAGGCCATGTAGACCGAGGCGACCAGGCACGAGGCGACGCTGCGAGCGACCTGCGGTAGGTGGTGCGTGACGCACAGCCGCACCGCGTCCGACCCCGCCGTCAGCGAGGAGAGGAGGTGACCGGTCGGCTGCTCCTCGAGGCTCTGCACGCTGCAGGTCAGCTGGCAGAGGAAGAGGCGCGACCGCACCTCGACCACCGCTCGCTCGCCGGCGCTCTTGAGCAGGTACTCGCCCGCGTGTTTGCACGCCGACATCCCCGCGATCAGACCCATGAGCCGCAGCAGCGCGCGGTCGACTCTGGAGCCAACCTCATCGCCAGCAGCGTTCGTGTAGATATCCAGCAGAGCGCCAGCGACGGAGGGCACACCAAGCTCGGCCAGCGTGGCGAAGAGGAGGAGAAGGCTGCCAGCGAGGATGGTGGGTAGCTGCGGCGCAACGTAGCTGAGCAGGCGTCGCATTATAACACAAAGAGCGAAAAGACGAGAGGGCCGGCTCGCTCGCTTGCGCCGCACCGGGGTAGTGCCCACGGAAAAAGAATTTCGGAGCGCTCCAAGTGCTCCAAGTGCTCCAACGGTGCATTGCGCACGACACTGGGCACGGGACTCTGGCGTATTAAAATCCCTGTGTGGTGGTGGCGTGCCGTCCTCCCATCCCTCCCTTGGCTTGTCTGTTTTCTTTCTTTTTTTTACGGGACTGGCGCGCACTGGCACTATCACAGGAAAAGAAGAAATCAAGCAGGCTTTCTTTCTTTCATTCTGCCTCACGTCAGGATCAACACTCAGTCCACGACCGCGTCTCGACGGATCTCGACGCGATCCAAGACGCATCACAGCCACAGGTCACGGCCCGCCGGCAGCGCCGTCGCGCCGTCGCACGCTCGCACCGCCTTCTCAGAGAGCCTCTTGAGGCGCCCGCAGCGCAGGCGCACCGCGCCACATCGCGCGCTCTTAGCGCCCGTTCGGGAGGACGCAGCTTAGAATGCCAGACACGAGGTCTGAGATCCCGATGGAATCCCCGAGGAAGTCCCCGATCAGCGCAAGGACGCAAGTCGGCATGCCGACCGAGCAAGAGATGATGGCACCCAAGTCCCCAGCATACACCGCGTCGAGGAGGCTCTCGATCCCAGTCGGCACGATGGGCTCCGTCTCACCATAGGGACACTCGCCAACCGGGGCGCCGGGCGGCAAGATAGGGTCGAGGATCGGGCGGTCCACAATGCACAAGCGCAAGTCGCCGATGAAACCCGGGATACCGACGACCGGGCCGGCCTCGAGGTACTTTTGCACCGCGCGCAGGATGCAGGCTGTGAAGCCTTCTTCGCTTGTGGCACCGTTCACGGCGTAGTAGATGATGCACTTGATGTCGAGCGTCCGGACGGCCTCGAGGATGGCCTCGACGGTATCCTCAATCGTGCCAATGGGATGGGGGCAGAGGTCGCTGATGGGTGGCGAGGGGGAGGGAGACGGAGATGGCGAGGGGGTCGGAATGGGAGCGTCGATGCAGTACGGCTGGGCGTATCCGCTGAAGAGGAAGTTGCGGCCCCAGAAGCCGTCTGAGGAGGGGCCCACCTTGTAGGTGAACTCGAAGCCCTCGCTCGCAACAAAGCTGAAGCAGGCGAACTTGGGGACGGTCCTGCACATTGGGTCGGGCGGTGAATACAGGGCATGTCACTCAACGGGGAAAGGGTATTTGGCTCGGCCCTCACCAACGGTATGGCTGGCCCTGCAGCCTCTCTGGAAACGCGGTGTCGGGGTACACGCCCGCAGCAGGGGCTGTTGAGCCGCCAGCGCAGGTGCTCGTGTCCTGGACTCCGATCGGGGGGCGGTCCTGCTTGTCTGGGGCGGGGGACAGCCCGTTGGCTGGGCATTGGTCGTACAGGGAGCAGTCGATCAATACGCTCGAGATGTTCTTGGGGTTGTCGACCCCCGTGCCCTCCATCTTTGCCTTGATCTCAATACAGTGCCGGTCTGGATTCGTTGGGTCAGCGGCGTCCGATGCGACGTCGAGGTAGTTTTCCGTGTCGATGTTGGGGCACAAGCCCTGCAGCATCGCCCGTCCCTCCAACGCCCGTGGCGACTTGCCGTGGGCGAACCAGTCAACGATGCCGCAAGCGTGGAACTCCTCCTTGAGCGTCTCATCCACTCCATTGTCAAAGTCAAAGACGCATACGTTGCCCTCGCCGCCGAGAGGTTGGGGAGTGTTGGTGCCCAGCCTGTGGAGACAGCACGGCTGTCACGCGCACGCCAATGTCGTGTGGAGGGGACCCGCGGCGAGAATACAGCGTATCCGCGCATGCCAGGCGCTGAGCTGCATATCTACTGCGCCTGGCCTGTACGCGTGCAGCGCAAAGGTTGTCTCTGTGTTTGCAGCCATGCTGACGCTCGCGAAGCCGTGTCCCTGTGGTGAATCACGGAGGGGCTGGCGTCGGTTATAGGGTGTTGATTCTTTTCGCCGAGTCGCTTGCTACTACTACGGGGGACTGGTGAGCGGCAGGGATGACAAAACGAAAGGTGAGGGGCGTGTCCATGCCGTTGGGTCGCGGCCGCGGCCGTTGGAGTCCGAGGCCCACGGCTTGTACGAGGAGGAGTTGGTGAGAGCGACGTCAAAAGGAGTGCCCTGCATTCCTTCGATGGTGCCGTCAAAGAAAAGGCCGCCGCCCTGGAAGCGAATCTCTGGCGACGGTGCTCCGAAGCCGTACGGCCCCGCTGTGTAAGCTGCGGTCTCACGACAATCGCATCCGCAGCCGCAAGGCCTCTCCGCCGCAGAGTTGCCACAAGTCGACGAGGCGGAGTCCGAGTGCGGCCCAACGGTGCACTTCACGTCGGGGCCCCCGGGGTAGCCTCCGAGGTTGTTATAGCCGACGTCTGCGCTTGAAAAGTTGAAGAGCACACCGTAGGGTATCTTACCCGGCGGGCAGTAGGGAGAGCTTGGAGGCGGCGGCGGCTCGACGACCGGGTGCGAAGAAAAACCCTGCGCAGAAACGTGTTGGGAGCGGTTATGCTGTCGCAGAGTGAGCTGCGTCAGGGGCATGCGCGCGGCGCAAGCGATACCAACGCGAGCGCGCCGATCGCGAGCATGATGGGAGTTGGTCCTGGGCCCGTCGCCGGGTCGCAACTTCGGAGTGCCCACGTTTGATCAGAAAACGACGAGTTGGACCAACGGTATTTTGCGCTCAATCTCGGGCGGCCGACCTTTCTTTTCACTCTGCGCACTTCCACTACTCCACACGAAGTATACGGGGGATACCCGATACCCGACGCCACGACACGGCACCACACACGGCACACGGGGGGCACAAAAGGCGGTACCTTAAGGCATATGTACAACATGTGCCACCTTCGTACATACAGACATGTCCGGCGAGCCCAGCAGGCAGGCGCAGGTCAATAGGAGAACAGAAGGGGGGGGGGGGGGGGCATGAGCGCTCAGAGAAGCACCGGCGCCGCGACGAACTTGCTGAGGCGCGGCTCATATGGCCCGCTGAGCCCGCCAAATGGTGGCCGCTGCTCGCCGGGCGACAGCAGCTCGTGCGGCAGCATCTCGCGGCTGACTCGAGACGGGCTGACGGCGGCGGGGCGCGGGAGGAGAGTGAACAGGACCGCGCCGACGACGAGTGCCCCTTCGATCGCCATCACGACCGAGCCGAGGAGGATCCCGTGACCCTGCGGCTTCTCTGGCACAGGCCGCATGTTTCCGGGCTCGACGGTGCTGTCCTTGGCGATGCCAGCCATGTAGTGGTTGATGCGGCCAGCAGAGTCCCAAGCCGCGCCCTGGTCCGGCGGCATCGGGGGCGTCGGGGGCGGCGGCCGTGGCGGCGGCGGCCGGGGTGGCGGCGGATGCGGCGGCGGAGGCGAGGGCGGCGGCGGAGGAGGAGGAGGCGGCGGCGGCGGTGGCGGCGGCGAGGGTGGCGCTGGCGGAGCCGCGGGGTCAAAGTGGGCAAAGGAGGAGAGCGGGTCGACTGCCTGAGACACCAACCCGGTGGTGAAGCCAGTCGTACCCCAGAAGGCACCTCCGGCGACGCCAAAGGCCGAGCCGATGAGTCCCGGCGAGGCGGGCGGCGCGGGTGGTGGCGGCGGAGCCGGTGGCGGCGGCGGCGGAGACGGTGGCGGCGGTCGCGGCGGCGGCGGCGAGGGTGGCGGCGGCGGCGGCGGCGAGGGCGGAGGAGGCGGGGGAGGTGATGGCGGCGGCGGCGGCGGCGGTGGCGGCGGCGGCGGCAAGGGCGGCGTAGGCGGCGATGCCGGGTAGGAGCTGGTGGTGAAGGAGTGGAGCGGGTCGACTGCTCGAGAAACCAACCCGGTGGTGAAGCCGGTCGTGCCCCAGAAGGCTCCGCCGGCGACGCCAAAGGCCGAGCTGATGAGTCCTGGTGCGGCGGGCTCGAGCTGCTGCGGCTCCGCGACCACCTCACGCCCAAGCTTTGTCGAATGGCCAAGGGAGGTGGCCGGGACCGCGGCGACGGTCGGCGCCATGAAGAAAGGAGAGGAAGTAGCGCGGCGCAAGAGCGCGGCAAGGAATATCGTTGGATACGACGCCGATGCAACGCCAAGTGTTTTCTTTTTCTCTTCTTTGTAATGTAGATTGTTTGGGGGGTATGGTCCCATTGGGTTTGTCAGCTGGCGGGGGGTATGGTCTCGAGGTGGGTGGCAACCATACCCCACCCCGCAAAAGTCCGAACCCAGCCACTGGTTGCCAACGCGACAGGTAGGTGGCTACCTGTGCTACACGGACAGCCCGCCAGATCAAGCGACGATGGAGCAGGTCAAGCGGCTGTGTCGCTCGTGGGCGGATTGGGACTGCGAGGAGTCAAAGGAGAACGTGTGCAAACGGCAACGCTCGGATGCGCCAACCAACGACGGAGGGCTTCAGAGTATGAGCGTCTCCCTGCCGGAGCCGCCAGCCGAGGATACGATGGAGGTGCAGCGGCCGCAGGGCTGGCTACCTCCGGCGGTGCGGCATCGATTCGACGCCTGCCTGCGGCAGCTCAGCAGATAGCGGTATGCTCGCGCGCCGTGCGCGTGTTTGATTTATGGCGTTACCTCAGCCTCGTGTGCTGTGCGTCATGCTGCCCGACGCAGCGACGCTGCTTCACCTTTCCCTCCTCCCATTCCGTGCGGATCGGGGTGTATGCGCACAGAATGCTGCCCTGGTGCCGAGGAGATTCCATGCGTGCGCCCAACCGGATCGGGGTGTACTAACTACGTCCTCGAACGTCCCCAGAAGCTCATGTCACCGTATGAGTAAAAAAAAACACGGTATGTACACGGAAGTATTGCTGCGGTTGTGCTGGAGGAGAGAGAGGGGCCGGCCAGCGCGGCCACGCCAGAGGGGTGGGGAATCGCCAGGGGCGCGGCGCGCAGGCCCCCCCCCAGGCTCTGCGGCCCGGCAGGCGCCAGGGGGGTGCGGGTGCGTGGGGTGGCGCTCGAGGCTGAGTCCACGGTCAGGGTGCCGAGCTATTGTGTAAACGCTCCGTAGAGAGCCACCAGCCGGAGAGTGGCTCAGCCGACAGCCCCAGGCCCGGCGGGCCCCAGGTCCCACAACCTCTGAGACCGCCTAAGCACCTAAGCGGCCTAAGCGGGGGGGCGCTTAGGGGGCTTAGGTGCTTAGGTCGCCCTCGCGAGCGTAGCTACGTGCTGACATTATCATACGAGTGATCCTGAGTACCCACATGATGTGCCTGCCTATCGCTAAGCACGGGATTGCGGCCTCACAACGCTCACGATCCGGTTGAGCCCTCGAATATCACACGCATGCACGTGGGGTGCCGGGACGGCTACATTTCAGCGTCGCACGCATCCGCCAGCGCTGCGAACTCCTTGTCCATCTGATTTTTGTACGTTTGCATCGCTGACTTGACCTCCTCCGCATCTACATGGTCCAGGAGATCGCCATCAAAGACCCAAGCTACAGAGTGGAAGCCGCGGTCGTCGGGACCACTGCCAAACCTGCCAGAGACAAGGTACTCCAAGCGCTCGTCGTCTTCATCGACAGGGTTCCTCAGCGCCACCGCAGTCATCTGGCTCGGGTCACAGTAGCGCATGCCGAGCACCTCTTCAATCTCCAGCAAGGCTGCATCCGTTGTGCGTTGACCTGGCAACCTTATCGCTGGCGAGTGGTGGCAGACGGCCGACCGCCCGCATGCACTTGCGTCGATGGCAAGCCTTCTCGGTGTGATCGGAGTTCCAGTTCCACCCGGCAGCACAAGTGGTCTTGCCGCATTTATCGCATCTATCCGCCCGCCGCGGTGCCGGCTTAGAAGGCTGAAGCGAAGCGCGGAACGCCCAAATTTGAGCGTTTCGAGCGGTTGTTCATGGCGCAAGGGGTACGCAAAAAAACTAACTTCTGAGCGTCGAAGTTACTTCGAAAAGTAAGCTGTTACTTCGAGAGAGCTCGCGGAGAGCTTTTACATGGTGTGTTTAACGTCGTGTGGCTCCCAGGGGTTGCCCGTTTACACGGTGGGGGCCCGGGGCTGGCACCCTGACCGTGGACTCAGCCTCGATCACTCGATCGTTTACACATTACACGCCGCCCGCGCGAGCTCTACTCCTCCGCCGCACATCGTGCATACACCAGCAGAAAGTTGTTTGCGGGCATGGCGATCCGCTTGAGCAGCGCGACGCCCGCCTTGTCCGCGAGGGCGCCGAGGTCTCGCTCGATATCCCGGTACCCCCAGGACGGGTCGCGCGCACGCAGCGAGCGGTCAAAGTCGGCGTTGCTCTCGGAGGTGTGCTCGCCTCCGGTGGTGAAGGGCCCGTAGACGCACAAGCGGCCACCGTCTGCCAAGACGCGCGCCGCGCCTACGGGTGTCGTCGATGTGTCAACGCGTCGCGGGCGTGCCCTGAAACCCACCGCGGGCGCCGCGCCAGTAAACAGACCCTCGGTCACCACCCACGGAGAGATGTGGCACATATTGGCGACGATCACCGCATCAAAGCTCTTTGGCTCGAGCTTAGCCCAGTCGCTGACGCTGGCGCAGTCGTGGGCGAACGGCGCCTCCACGTTGTCGAGGCCCTCGGCCCAAGCCGCAACGGAGCCAAACGCATCGGTCGTGAGGTCGGATGGGCAGAAGCGGACGCCGGGCAGCGCCGCGGCGAAGTGGGCGACGTGCTGTCCCGTGCCGCTGGCGACCTCGAGCGCCCGCCCGGAAGAAGGCAGAATCGTCAGATACTCGCTGAGGATCGCGGCCTTGTTTCGATCGCATGAGGGCGACAGCATCTTTGCCGGGTTCTGCGCGTCCACCGCACCCGCGTTTGGGTCCATCGTGCGGCTCGTATAGCCGCCTGGAGGCATGCTCAGCGCGCGAGAAGATCGAGTGAGAGCCAATAAGGTCACGGCCCTCAGCATGCACCCTGTTCCAATAAATAAATAACGCAGAGGCCCTCAGCGGAGCTGGGAAGAGGACCGCCGCAAGCGGCGTGGCATGGAGCGGTTGTGCATCCCTCCGGGGGCCCCTCTGCGCCGGGGAGGCGTTGTTGGAGGCTAGGACGCAAGCGTCCGTCGCCCTTTTCAAACTCGGGGCCCACTCCGGTCTCCGCTACGCTCCGACCCGAATTTGGAGGGCCTGAAAGTTTAAGGTGTTGCTGCGCAAAAGGGGTCGGACACCGGGCGCAGCTCATGCTAAGAGCTAGAAGAGGAGATAGAGAGAACAACCACCCTGTCCCGTTATTGCGTACACCAACACCACAAAACGCTCTCTCTCTCCTGTCCTCACTCAGGGGGGTCACAACTACCAAGTCCCTCGACTAGCTGCCACAGGGCGCCGCTGCCACAGGGCGCAGCTGGAGACGCTCCCCCTCAATCGGCATCCACCCCCACCCGCTCCAGCCCCACTTCTGCTGCCGAGAGAGCTGAATCGAAGCAAGCGAGCCATTGCATCTTGGCGTGCTCCTGGAGCGCGGCTTTCTGCGGCCACGAGCACGGCGGAGTCGGCGTCGTAGCGCGCATCGTTCCCGCTCATCGCCCATTCCTCCCGTGACGTGTGTCGGCCGCGATTCGATGTCGCCACCTTCATCGCCAACGAGGACTCCCTCGACTGCAGGGGGGCTCCGGCGCGGGGAGGGACTCCGCCTGCTGCGCTGGCCGACTGCGCCCTCCTCCTCCATGGGCTCGATCCGATTCCGCAGCGGCGGTGCTGCGCGGGAGGCGGCCGCGGGCACGCTGGGCTCGATCAGCGGCTTTCCCCCCAGGTAGCGCGAAAGCACGGATTTGGCGGATTCTTGGCTTCAATTTTACGAATGTCTTGGCACCAGCTGAAGGCTTGCATCCCACATCGCCCACTTCGTGCACGGTATTCGGATTTCGGCTATTTGCTCGTGTGGGGGTATATTGCAGATTTGTCAATGGTACCGCGTCTGCGACGCGGGCGCCTTGCGGGCAGAGCGGTTACTGGACCGTGTTCAACGACGTTGAACATTGTTCAACGTCGTTGAACACTACTTAGGATTGGCCGTAGCTCCTCTCCACGAGCGATTGAGAAGACGTACCACGTGTCGATTCTGTATAGAATTGCAAGGCGCACACGCTGGTCCAGGCGGGGAGTCGTCGATCCGACTCGTTCCGACGTGAAGTCGCCGTGAAGGATTGGCAAACAGGGCATTTTGCCCAAGATTTGCCCTCCCGCGCGATCTTCTCGCGTCGGCAAGCGCGCGGGCCAGGATGGGCGAGCCGGTCCCGCCACGCTGGGCGGGCCAGCGGCTGGCACGCGCCGGCCACTCCGGCGGCGCGGCGGCCTCATCGCGCTCGTCGTCTGCGAGGCCACCGCTCGGCGTCGCCGCGTCCGACGGCGATGGCGCTTGGCTGTGAGGTGGGATGGCGGCATGGTGCGCGCGGACGTGGGGGTGGTGCGGGATGCGCGTGCCAGCAAGCATAGTTTCACCTCCCCAACCCCGCAGGCGCGCCGACGTGCTGCCCGAGCGCGTTTGGAGGCAGCAGCAGCTCCTCGCGAGGCGCCTTCGGAGGGGTGCCACACCCCTTTCCCAGCCGCGCGCGAGTTGAGCTCCGATTTGCGCTCTTTTTCGCACACGCCCGACGCTAGTAGGTGAGGATCGACCATCCTCCGCAAGCAGGGCTTCGTCGGGCGCGTCTTCGTCGAGCGGTGGTGCATCTCCCATGCTCCCACCAGCGCCCTCCTCGCAGCCCGCCCGCGGCCGACACCGACGCCCTCACGGGCTCACCCTAGTCGTAGGTGCGGGTTTTTTGCGTGCCCTCCGTCGATACGGGGCGCTGGGCGATGGCTGGGCTTGTCGCCGGGCGAGCTGGCCCCTCAGTCGGCCGCGGAGCGGAGATGCGAAATCGAGGCGGCGCGGCCCCTGCGCGCAGCCTATCCGGCCGGCGCGCGCATGGTTCCGTAGCCCGTCTAGTGCCTCACTGACCACTCCAGCGCTACGGTCTACGTGGCCGGTGTGGTACTGGGGCTGGGCAGCCTTGGGGCCGGCGGAGACCGCCGTCTAGCGGTCGCACTAGTCGGATATCGTTGTTCAACCTGTTTGTTCAACGGTTGTTCAACCATACTTTGAGCCTTAATTATTAATTCGGGTTTGGGTCTCTGAGGTCGATACTAGCGTCTATAACTTGCCACAAGCATGCTTTACAAAAGTCAAGCGGAGCTGGACTCGCAGAACGGCCGTCCGCGCGCGCTGTGAACAGCGCCGTGGTTGAACACTGTTCAACGTCGTTGAACACGTGACGGTCCAGTAACCGAGAGCCCTTAGGACACCCTTTATATCTTGCGCGGTCAAAAAAACGGCTTTTGGCCCTGGATGTGCGGTTGATGACTGCACTCCAAGTGCTCCAAGTGCTTTCTGGTAAAAAGGGAAAAGGTCCCCGCCCGTGCGATCTTTGTGCTGAGGGAGGGTGTAGAGGATGTAGAGTGTAGAGCGCTGTAGAGCTGTAGAGATGTAGAGCGCTCTGGAGCGCTGTAGAGCTGTAGAGCTCTACATCCGCCGCGTGACGAGGCGCCTGCGTTGTAGAGCGATGTAGAGGCGCTCTACAACGTGAAATCTCTACAACAAACTCTACATCATAAGCGGCGAACGAGGCACGGTCGCTCTCCGACATGAGGCGCGTTGCACTTGCCAGTGCTGCCCTGGCCTTCTGTCTGCCCGCCCAATGGGTGGCAGGTGCCTCTGCTGCTATGGCATGCCTCACGGCTGCGACTGGCCGGCGCCTCGGCGCGTCAGCTCGGCTCGGCGTAGCGATAGTGGCCAGCGCAACTCGCCTGGACTCAACGCTCAGCCAGGAGCTCCCGCACGCGCTGGCGCGAGTCATGGCGCATGCAACGCGTCTGAATGCTCGCCTCGCCTCGCGCAAATGCGACCGTCCTCGCAGCCGACAGTCCACCGCCTGCTAAAGAAGCACAGCGACGAATGCGGCACCGGCGACACATGGCAGGCTGGTCATGACGCAGTTATAGGGTGTTGTGTGCCGTCAGAGGGACTCTCTGTGTGTCAGGGATAGTCAGGGCTGTCCATCAGAGCTTCACTAAGCTCGGAGACACCCCATTAGCGCGGCTCGACCTCTTTGAGTCACTGCCTTCCCGGCGGTTTGGCTGTAGAGCCTCTACAACAAACTCTACAACAAAATCGCGCTCTACATCGCTCTACAACGCAGGCGCCTCGTCACGCGGCGGATGTAGAGCTCTACAGCTCTACAGCGCTCTACATCTCTACAGCTCTACAGCGCTCTACACTCTACATCCTCTACACCCTCCCTCAGTCTTTGTGCAGGGTTCTTTGTGGGTGTGGTCGGCGGCTAGCCGGGGTCGTCCTCCCGATGGGGGACTAAAGCCGTAGCACTAGCCGCGTCTTCCGCATGGTCCCTCGCGCCTCGGGTCCCTGCTGCTCCTAAACCTAATCTCTTCGTACCCTCCTGCTGATCCAGGCGAGTCAAGTCCGTCGTTTTCTTTTTTCGGAAACGTTAACAAAGCTACCGTCCGAAAGCGCCGCGCGGCGGCCGGTGTCAATGTCAGCCAGTCACGCATGTGTGCGCGATACTTTGTTATGGTCCACCCCGGTCAGAGAGAGGGCAGGCGCCCCGCGCCGCCTCTCTATCTATCTTTTTACCACCACCAAACACACACGGGGGCTGGGGACGTGCACGGGCCAAGCGGCGCGCTGCCAGGCGGCCTCCTAATCCGAGCTGCCGTCCGAGTCGTGCCACAAGATCCCTCTACCACAGGATCGGGGCGACGGCGGCAGCAAGCGGTTCGTCTGCTGCCGCCGCCGCTGCTGCGCGTGCGGCGCCGGCGCCGAGGCCCGCTCCCAACAGTGATAGCAAGCGAGCAGGCAGGCGGCGAGGACGGCGCCGGCGGTGAGGTAGTAGGCATCGGTCGCGGTGAGGTTCGGCGCGGTGAGGTACGGCGCGATGCCGATCACGGCGCTGCTGCCGGCCGCCGACTCGACGGTGCCGGGGCTGCTGCAAGGCCGACCCGGCTCCGGGCGGCAGAAGGTCCCGTGCAAGTACTCTGCCACCGCGCCAAGCTCCCAGCGCCGGCCGCCCGCGGTATACCGCGGCCGGCACTGCGGGCAGGCGGCCGGCGTTGGCCTGGCGGGGCGCAGCCAGGGGGTGTGAGGTGGTGTCGGGGCTAGTACGGACGGGAGGGGACTGGGCGCTCTCCTGCGCGACACTGCTGCGAGCAACTGTCTAGAGGGTGTCTAGGGAAGAAAAAAGGGAGGCGCGCCACTGCTGCTTGGGCAGGCCCAGCCGTAGCACCTGGCTCGAGAGATCGTCAGAGATCCTCCAGATCGCCCGAGATCGCCCGAGATCAACAGAGGCCAGCCGAAGTCAGCCGAGAACGTCCGAGGTCGGCCGAGCTAAGCCGAGATCGTCCGAGATCGCCCGAGATCGGCGAAGTTGGCCGCGGCACCTCGCTCGCCGCCGACGCGTTGAGGCGCGCGTTGAGGCGGTTGTGCGCCTAGTGCATGATTTGAGCGGTGGGGTGGGGGTGTGGTCTCGGGCAGTGCATCGGAGCATCGCGTGAACAACAGGGCTGCGAAGACAACTACACGTGTGTTCTGACTGCAAGGAAGACGAGGCTCCGTGCTCCGCATCTAAGCTATGAGCCCTCCACAGCCAGAGCCGTGCCCCGCTCGCCGTGCGCACGCCATCGAGCGGGTCGGCCTAGAGAATGAACGAAACAAGTAAGGCCTGCTCATGCCAACACCCGCTGAGCGAACCGTTGGGGAATGTCTGCGGGACGTCGCCTGCTGCAGGTGTCTGTGGGCAGTTGTGTCGTGGGCTCGCACCTCGAGGTTGCTCATCGCAAGGAAATGGCGCGCGCAGCCCTGGCAGCCGAAGAAGAAGCGGACGTAGCTTCGGATCGCACGCAGCGCGGCGACCCCCTGCGCGTCTGTGCGCGCCTGCAGTTGGAGAGGAGGGCAAGTCTCGGGTGCTCTCGGGTGCTCTCGGGTGCTCTCGGGTGCTCGGTCCCGCCTGCGCGAGGAGGGTGTGGAAGAGCAACCACAATCCGCACGGGTACCCGCGAGCGTCCGCGCTCGCGCCACGACACGCAGCCCACGCAATCCCCCCAGCGGGCCCGCCTAGACTCAGTCCATCCATGAGGGACGACTTCATCACGCCGCCCACGCGGCCGCTACAGGCGCGGCCACGCCTGTCGGCAGCAGCGGCGCCTCGATCTCGCCGAGCAGCTCCTCCCACCGCTCCGGGCTGATTGCCCTCTCGTGTGCGCACATTGCCTCAAGCCTGCGGTCGGGTCGAGGTCGAGCGGTCAATACACCGAGAGCGTGATCTCGTGCACTCTATCCGGAGCATCCCGCGAGTCCACAGCTGCGACTGCAGTGCCGACTTCACGCTGCGACTGCGTGTGGTCTCTAGCTCCACATAGCAGCCAGGTCTTCTACTCCGCATCTAGGGACTCGAGCCTGCCCATCTGCTGCCTGTTGGGCTCCGCCGGCAGCAGAGCGCTCAGAGTCGCTAGCCACTCGCGCAGCGCGCCTTTGGGGAGGCTCCGAGAGACGCTTCGGAAGGGCGTCGCTGCATGAACACTGGAAGAGACGCTCGGGAGGCGACAGCACAGCCGGGAGTCAGCCTTGCTCGTGTGTCTGTGTGCTCCAGTGTGTGTCGCCTGTGTGCTGCCCGCGTCCCATCCCAAACGCGCTCGTGTCCCGACTCTGTGTGCTTCGCCTCTTCCCCATCTGGCTGTCTACCGCACCTCTCCGCGCCTCGTCCTGCTCGCCGATGGCGACGCCGACCACCTCGCGCTGCAGCCCGTACACAACCGCCGATGTCACGTCCTGCAGCGGCACCGGCCGCGAGAACGCCTCTGGCGGCATAGGAAACGGCTCCTGAGAGGGCGAGGGCGGAGGACTGATCAGTAGTGGCGGCGGCCACTCCGCGAGGCGACGGCGGGCTACCGGACACGTCCAGAACGCACAGCTGTGTGTGGACTGTGTGAGGCTGCGGCGCTGTGTATGTCGGCAGAGCGACTCGGCCGGCGACAATGCGCAGCGTGTGTATGCGCGCGCGCGCGTGCGCGCGTGCGTGCGTCCGTCCGTCCTCGGCGCTACGAGGTGTGTGGGACGGACTATGAGGTGTATGCGACGGACTGACAGAACAAACACCGCCGCTCGCGAGTCGGAGCCGCTCGGCAAACGGACGGTGGCGCAACTGCCGCCGCCGCCGCCGCCGCCGCCGCCGCCGCCGCCGCCGCCGCCGCCCAAGGCGGCGAGATCGCGCGACGCCTTGAGGAGCGCTGCTCCCGAGAGGGGCGTGGCCGGAGGCGCCTTGAGAAGCTGCAGAGAGCCTGAGGGTGTGAAGACTGGGGGTGGGGAAACAGAGCATGTGCGGGGATTCGGCGCATCACGGTAATGCGAGGGCGGCTCAAGCGATGCCCAGGGCGTGCATACGGCGGAATGCAGCTGCGCACGTGCTCGAGCGCTGGTTGGAGTACGCGGATCAGTGTTCAGCATCTGAATGGCGGGCCCGAGGCAGCGGCAGCGCGGGCCGCGGCGGCGTTCGCCGCCGCCAACACGTCATCGAGGACCTCGACGGCGGACTCGCAGCCGTGCCCGCAGGTGGCGAGCTCCTCGCCCGTTGGAGGCGCACCAGCCGTGAAGACGCGGACGCTCGGGAAGCCGCTCACACCCATCTCTCTGCAGAGGACGTAGTCGGCGACGCAGTCGACAGCGCCAAAGGTGAGCGCCGGCCGAGCGGCGCACGCGCCCGCCGCCGCGGCCTTCCACACCGGCGCAAACGCCTGGCACAGCAGCGGTAAGTCATGGCTCGGTACTCTGTTGAGGCGGCACGGCGCAGACTCTCCTCCTTCGGCACCTGGCAGTGGCCGCACCATCCGGCAAAGAACTCGATGGCAAAGACCGTGTGCGGCTGCGCCTGCACCTGCGTGAAGTCGCGAACGAGCTGTACGTAGGCGTCGCCGGTATACAGTGCCACGACGCAGGCGGCGAGCGCGAGCATTATTCTGTGACAACCCTCGAGGCGTCGGCCCCCAGGAGTTGTTGGCACGGCCGCTTTACGGACGGTTTTCTCATCCATCCTAGCGAAGGCCCGAGACTGCGCCGGCCTCATGAGGCGCATCGTCGCTGCGGGGCACGAGCTATGCAACCACATGCCGCACGATCCTCGGCGAGCCCGCCTTCGCCGCCGATCTTCGCGCCGCGGAGGAAGCCCTCCCTCGCGCCGTACCAACCGCAACTGCCGCCGCCGTCAGCAAGGACGTGGTTCCGCCCGCCGATGGGCGCCATGTCGTGCGCGATGGCGCGCGTGCTGCAGCGGGAAGGGTACTCACCCCTCCTCGGCGACGTCTTTAGGTTTAGCAACGACGTCTTTGTGGGGGGCGGAAGGCGGGGGACGCAGGCTGGCGCCGCGACGGTGGCGTGGCATGTGGAGTACTGTGCACGGCGCACCAAGCCGGGGTCGGTGGTCATCTTTCACGTGCCGCGGGCGCGTGATCGCCTCAGCGTGGTGCCCATCACGACGGGTTTCCTCGAGTGGTGCGAGAGCCGAGGCCTTTCCTGCGTCACCGCCTCGGAACTGGCGGCGTCGCACGTTGGAGCAAACAACGTGCTGCCGTAGCATGGCAAGGGGAGGGGAACTCTGCCAAGACACATGTTGATGAGGGGTGGCAGAACCTCGAGGGCAGACTCCCAGCCCACGCCGGGGATTTTTTATATTGTTTTGTCCTCGCAAAATTCTTTCCTCGCACGAGTCGCTTAGGCGGCTCCCGTGGTGTACCTGTGTTGGTGGCGCATTGGTGCCAGTTCGCGCCAGTCCCGTGCCCCAGAAAGAAACAAAGAAAGAAAACAGATATCCCATGCCCTGCGAACGCGCACCCCCGGGGCTAGGGCTCTCTTGCCCGCAACCCGATGCCAATCATCCGGCCCGCTGGGTGCGCTTCTGAGCTCCCCGGCCCTGGATGTGCGGTTAATGACTGCACTCCAAGTGCTCCAAGTGCTCCCAAGGGAGGGAGGGGTCCCGTGCCCCGTGTTGTGAGCCCCGCACTTGGAGCACTTTTAGTGCAGTCGGTAGCCGCACGCCCAGGACCGGGGAGCTAAGAAGCTCGCCCAGTTAGCCAGACGATTGGGATCGGGTTACGGGCTAGAAGAAAGAGAAAGCGGATACAAAACAAGAACACAACGCACTCTCTCACATTACAAGGGACATTCTGCAACGTGCAGTGAGGAGTTCAGGCCGGGGCCCGAGCCCCTAGGGCGACAAGACATGCGCATAGGGCGGTGAAGCGCGGTGGGCAAGAAAGAAAACGGAGAACCCAAGGGGGGGATGGGAGGACGGCACGCCGCCACCACACAGGGATTTTAAGCAAGGGAGGGATGGGAGGACGGCACGCCGCCACCACACAGGGATTTTAAACGGGCTAGAGAGCTTCGTCGGCCGAGTTGTTTCTTTTTTCTCCTCAGCGCGAGTTCGCGGAAGTCGTGCCTGGCCGCTGGTGCGACCTCTTCTTCCGCGCAAGTGCGAGGCACGCTCGTGCAGACCTCTTCTTCAAGAAGAGGTGCGAGGACAAGGACCTCGCTCGTGCATGTCGTCGTCGTCCCAAACGCCCGAGCCGTCTTACCGAGTGGCGGCTCGCTTTTTCGTGAGCGGCCTCCCTATCGCCCTAGTCGACGGTGCTAAGCTCACCGTGACGGCGCTGACGGTGATGCAGATCGGGCACGCAGCTTCGTCCGCAACACCTCTCGCCGCTGCGACCCTCGGCGTGCTCACGTTCAACGTGGCTGGCAACATGATCCTCACAGCACCGCTGTCTGCCATGGACACCATCGCGCCGCAGAATTTCGGAGCCGGCAACGCTGTGGGGGTCGGACTCACTGCCCTGCGAGCAGTTATCACCGCGCCTGCCTTCCTCTTGCCGACTGTGCCGCTCTGGATCTTCGCCAGAGAGATTCTCACTGCCCTCGGCCAGCCGCCCGACGTTGCGGCCCTCGCGCAGACCAACATGCTCATGCTGCTTCCCAGCCTTGCCCCCTGGCTCGTCTTTGAGGTATCGCGCAAGTTTGTGTACGCGCAAGACGTGCAGTGGCCACCGCTGCCGGCTGCGGTCATCGGCCTGGCCACCCACCCGGTGTGGCTTGAGATGACGAGAGGATTCGGGCCCTCCGGGCCCATGCTCGCACCGCTTTTCACATTCTCGGTCATGGCTGCTGTCCTCGTTGCCCTCATCCGGTGGCGGGTGCCGCGTGCCGCCGCCGCCTGGCCGCGTGCGGAGGGGCGAGCGGCCCTGTTCGGCGACCGAAAGGCGTGGAGGCACTTCCTGGCCACCTCTGCCGCCTCCCTCTTCTCGCTCACCGAGTGGCTCTTCTGGGAGGCCGTCTGCTTTCGCGTCGGCGCGCTGGGAACGATCCCGCTCTCAGCCTATTCTGTCGGCTACAGCCTCGAGCCGTGCCTCTTCATGCTCGCCATCGGTCTCTCGACGGCGCTGACCAACGCGGTGGGCGGCCACCTCGGCGCCGGCCGTGTCGCGGCGGCGCGGCGCACCACGGCGATTGGCGTCGGCGTCGGGATCGCCACCGTGTGCGGCTACTCGCTCTTCGCCTTTCTCGCCGGCGGCTCGCTGCGGCGTCTCTTCTCCCGCGACGCAGAGGTCCTGGCCGCGGCGGCAGAGATGTGGCCGTCGTGGTCCATGTTTCTGCTGATCAGCGGCACCTTTGCGCTGCTGCTCGGCCTCGCCAAGGGGTTGGGGCAGCAGCGGCAAATGGCCGTCTTCGTCGTGTGCGTGCTCTGGCCGGTGGGGTGTCCTCTGGTGTGGCTCGCCACCTGCCCCGCCCGCGTCTGGCAGATGCTCGCTTTCACCTACATGTTGCTCTCGGTGGCGATGGGACTTTGCGCGGCGTGCACCGACTGGCACAAGCTCTCTGCGACTGCCATAGCGCACAGCCAAGGCAGTGGCGGGGCCGCATCGTGCGCGCCGGCTCACACGCCCACGCGTTGCGAAGGGGGGCTGGCGGCGGTGGACGGAGCCAAGGCAAGCGGCGCCACGCTGGTCGGCCTCGATCTCGAGGACTCTCGGACCCCGGCTCCCATCCCACTGCCACTCCCAGTTGCCGTCGCCGCGGTCTAAATACTCAATCTCAAACCGAACAATCAACCGCTGTTTCGTGTTATAATACTACATGCACTCTCTCTCATCGCTCGTCCAGCCTCGAGCTCATCCAGCTCCAGCAGGCTGCGCCGCCAGTGCGGAAAGCCGATCTCTTTCACTCGTCACAGCTCACATCACACCGGCCTAATGCGTAATGGTATAAATAATGCCGCGTCGTCCGTCGAGTGGGCCGACTCGAATCACCTCGAGGGCGGTCATATCGGTCTCAGGTCTTCAGTCCCGATAAAACTTGGTCGACCGTGTGCAGCCTCGCCGCCGACGCTGCACTGGAGGAGCGGGAACGCAGTGGCCGCCGGTGCGTTGAGCATGGCTCGCAGGCACGGCCGCGACGAGAGGGCGGTGTCGAGCTCGTTGTACGAGCGAGGCTCGAGCGCGAATGTGAGGTTATCGGCCGTCACCTTAGTCAGCCTCGCCGCAGCCAGCTCATGCCCGGGTCGAGGCGCGCCCGCCGCCTGCGCCGGCGGCGGAGGCAGCAAGCCGAGCGCGCGATGCAGCGCCGCCAGTGCTGCGCCAGCGTCGGCCTGGAGGTGCTCGTACAGCAGCACGTGCACGCTGCCCGAAGCGCCCGTCGCGGCGGAGAGGACCTGCTGCGTAACCTGTGCGCGCTTGTAGACCTGGCGGAGCACGCGGCTCGCCGAGAGCCGCAGCGCGGAGAGCGGCGCGCGCGCGGCGCACGCGGCGTTGGCATTCCAACCGCAGCCAGCCCTCCGGAGCGCCGAGCCGTGCAGGACCGACACGGCCCACTTGACGAGGTTTGAGCGAAGGAATGCGACTACAAGCGTGTCAGGCCACGCGCGCAGCACCCTATCGTACGGCAGCGCTGGACGATGATGTGTCGGGTCGACACTGAAGCCGAGGATTGCACGTGGCCACGGGCACGAAGCCGGGCCAGCACCGGCGGAGCAGTTAGCCTGACGTGGGCGGTCGAGCAGCTGCTGCAGGCGTTGCGTCGGCCGCGCGAGGCACGATGAAAGGTGCTGAAGCTTGGCCTCGACAGGCTGTGCTGCTGCGGCCGGTCCGGAGAGCGCCTCCTCCGTGATCCAGGCGTGGTGTGGAGCCGCGTGGACCAAGAGCCGGGTGAACCAGGTGGAGCCGGACCGGTCGGCCTTCATGATGACGAGGCGCTTCATCGCCGTGTGTTGCTCAGCTCGACTCGGTCGTCATGGGCGATTGGCGCCCCACCCGTCGGGCGCGAGTCCCCCACGGCCCCGGGATATCCGACGTGTGTTCCGTCTCGGCGGGCGCTTTGGGCGCCAGGCTCTCCCGCTTCTCATTTTTTATTTTTATTGAGTTCATTGATGAAGGGACGTGCGCCCCGGTCGGATAGGAACAGTATATCATGGAGACCCTTCCCACCAGCGCCGAGGATCTTCATTCCGGCAGCGTCCGTTTGGAGAACCTCCCTGACACCAGCGCCGAGGATCTTCATTCCGGCAGCGTCCGTTTGGAGAACCTCCCCGACACAAGCGCTGATGCTGACCTTCATTCCGGCAGCGTCCATTTATCCGAGAGTCGGAGCAAATGGGTGGAGGTCCGAACCGCCATCAGGAAGCGGGAGTGGGACTCCTTTTGGGAGTTCCCGCTCGACACTCCTCTCGGAACACCGGCCGCCTCAGAGGCGGGCTCACCGCAACCCATACGCAAAGACGGTGTGCCGGCTCCAAGCGCCCCTGAAGAGAAGAATGCTTCAAACAAGCCTGAGCCGAAAAAGGGTACCGCCACAACCCACATCTCTGGCCTTCGCGCACTGCTGTCATACTGGATCGTGGTCGACCACATGACCAGTTCGTGGAGGCCGACACCGACTGAGACTCCCCAGGAGGGCCTTTTCACGCTCATACTTGGCCGTGCCATTGTGCCCGTCCAGTTTTTCATCGTTCTTTCGGGCTTCATCACCCACCATGCGTATCGGAAGGTCAAGTATTACGACGGGCACCAGATTGTTTGGAGCCAGGTCGCGCGCTACAATTTCAAGCGATTCGGTGGCATCATAGGAGCGTACTACCTCACCTACTCTCTCATTCTAATTGTCATCATTATAAGCCAGAAGTGGGCGCTTGAGCAACCGGGAGCGATCGTGTCCGTGGTCCTGAGCGTCTTCCTGCTGCAGTCGTGGTATCCGCTCGAATGCACCGTGCCGAACGGCTCCGCGTGGACGATGTCGACGCTTGCCTTTGCGTGGGTGCTCTTCCCACCCATTCAGCACTTTCTAAAGAAGAGCGGGAGTGGTCGTCGCGCTTTTCTCCTCTTCCTCCTCGCGTCCATCGTCACCGTCGCCCCTTGCGCGCTCTACGTGATCATCGAGGGGCCGGTGGTCAGCCACCACGCCTATGACTTCCTGTACAAATTCCCGCCCATCAGGCTCGCCGATTTCGTCCTTGGCATGACCGCAGCGGAGCTCCTCGCGCAGACAGGCGACGCAGGCTTCGTCAAGAGACACAAGCTCAAGATTGCAGTCGCTGGCGACTTGCTCGCTTTGGCCATCGTCGCTACCGTGGCTCTTGCGTTCGTGCCTCCGGAAGGGCGCTGGCCTGGCTTCGAGCAATGGGCGAGGTACGAGGAGGAAGGTAGCAGGTATGAGGTCTTCTGGATCAGCGCCGCCGGCCCCTTCTTCTCCCTGTTTCTCTGGACCTCGTGCGCTGCCGGCGGCGGCATCGCCCACGCGTGCCGTCACCCGGCCCTCTCCGCCATCGGCGACCTCGGCTTCCAGGTTTACCTCTCGCACAATGGCTTTGTGCTGTCATTCTTTACGATTCTGCATGCTGCGACCGATGCGCTGATGGCAGACGAGGGCATCCCGAGCGACTATGAAGCGTACACGCCGGGCGCCTCCATGGCGGCTCTACTCACCATCTACTTGGTCGCCGCTGTCATTAAGGGGTTCGTCGACGACCCCGTCCGACGCAGGGTGCACGGGTGGGTGGACCGGCGCTTCCCTGCGAAGCGTGCCTCGCCCAAGGTTGCGGCTCTCGAAACTATCGCCACGCCTCCGCCTTCAGCCCCGCCAAAGCCTGCCCGCGGTGGCGACGAGACGAAAAGGAAAACGCGGGTCTCGGCGGACATCGAGAAGTCGAGGAGTGGCGTGTAGCACTTGGAGCACTTGGAGCTATGTTAAGTTATTCAAAACGGCTTGGAACGAAAACACACCGAAAAGGTCACTGCAAAGGTATTCGTACCCTCTTGACTGGCCCTCTACTAGTACACATATCAATCATCCCGCACCGCCGTAGCGTGAGGTGCAGTCACGGACTTCGCGGCGTGAGAAGGCCCGGTCGACGCAGCGTGCGAGTGCCGGGTTGCTCTGGGCCGTGTCGGCAGCCCTCTGCCGGTCGGCGTCGCCACCGCCGAGCGAGCCGCTCCACAGAGAAAACGCAGCCACGAGCACAGCCACTCCGCCAATCACCTGCACGTCACCAGAGTCCCACCAGGCCAGCTCTTCGTCGCCGGAATCCGCAGACACGCGCCGCGCAAACGCAGCGCGGAGATCGCTGTCGTCTTCATCGAGGCGGACGGCTGGGGCCCGCAGCGAGCCGGCGCGGGGTGTCAGCAGCGGAGGCGTAAAGGCGAGGTGGGCGAGGGTGTGGAGACAGAGCATCAGATTAGGTGGCTCGGTGACCGTGCACGGCGAGCGCCTGCTCAGACGCGGTGTTTTATTTGCCTAGAAATCTCCTCCCGGGTGGCACGCCGCCACCACACAGGGATTTTAAGGAGAGGGGTGTGGTGCGCTAGCCGTCGCCCGCCCTTGGGCGTCCGCCTCTTCCTATCTCTCTTCGCAGTCTCTCGCCGATTCTCGCTGCAACCTTCATGCCACCTCGCGGTCTCCCCCTTCTCGTCGTGCTCTCCCTTGTCGCTTCTTCCTCTGTCGCGTCGCTCTCCTCTGCCTCGTTCTGCGACGCCGCCGCCGCCTGCCGTGCCCAGTGTTGTGCACTTGGAGCACTTGGAGTGCAGTCGGCAACCTCACATCCAGGGCCGGTGAGCTGAGAAGCGCATCCAGCGGGCCGGATGATCGGCATCGGGCTACGGGCTAGAGCGAGGGAGTTTTGTTGAAATTCTTTTACTGTGAGGACGGCTTCTATTAGAAGCCGTCGTCCGCGCTTTGCCTGTTGTGTGAATCGTGCAGAAAGAAAGAAAGAAAACAGACTAGAAAACAGACAACCCAAGGGAGGGATGGGAGGACGGCACGCCGCCACCACACAGGGATTTTAAGGAGAGGTGTGTGGTGCGCTAGCCGTCGCCCACCCTAGGGAGTCTGCCTCTTCCTATCTCTCTTGTGAATCGTGCGTGTGCGAGAGTTTGCGCCTGTAATTTCTTTTGAGCTTAGCCTTCGGTGTAATGAAACAACGCAAGGCGGACATGGCATATCGCTCTCGGGCCCACAGACATCCCGCACACTCGCCGCACACCCGCCGCCCCCGCGCGCGCCCCACCCCGGCCGGGAGAGAGGGGAGTGACAGTTTTGGGATAAAGAAAGAAAGAAAACAGACAACCCAAGGGAGGGATGGGGAGGACGGCACGCCGCCACCACACAGGGATTTTAAGGAGAGGTGTGTGGTGCGCTATCCGTCGCCCACCCTAGGGAGTCAGTTTTGGGATGAGCAAGCCCGAGTGACTTGATAATTTCTTTTACGGTGTTTCGGCCAGATTTGCAAAAGCTCGATGGCCACAGTCTCGCCCGCCGAGCGGCGCGCGCTCGAGAGGAAGGAGGACTGGTCGCAGAAAATCATCGACTTATCCTCCGATCTCGCCCGGTGCATCACGGAGGCTGACCTGCCTCCCCTCAACCTCGTCTCGCCGCTCGGACGCAAGGCGTCCGAGGAGGTCGCTGAGCTGGAGGATCTCCACCGAATCCTGCAAGCCGAGGGCATTCCAGGCCTCCGCGCCGCGCTGAAGGCCCGCGAGCTTGAGCGCAAGGGAGCTTGAGCCGCATCGTGATGTTCAGGAGCGTGATCATTGCAAACCGTGCGCTAGTTTCCGCATGCAGTGCCAGCGGTGGAGAGGTGAGTTGGTAGGTCCCCGTGAGATGATTATTTGATGAGGTTGCAAGGAACTTAGTCGTTGCCGGTTGGGCGGCGCGTTCCGGCGTCGGCGTGCGGGGAGGACGCGCCGCGCGCACCGCCGGCAGGCCGGAGATAAAGCCCCGTCCGTATGGGCCTTTTGATGGGGTGCGGGCCCGGGGGGCCCGCGGGCGGCGGCGCGGGGGCGGCCGACCCATTCCCAGCCTGTGGCGAGTTGGGGCACAAACCAGTCTGGCAGGTGTTGAAGACTTGAAGTTGCCTGTGGAGGTTTTCCATTCGCATTCTCCAGTGTTTTTTGGGCAGTGCCGGGGCCTCCCGGCTCCCGCCGCGGCCGGTGGGCGGTGGCAACTAGACTCGCGCGACGCCTCCTACAGGATGCATCACATCGTGGCGCACGCGCAGGCGCAGCCGGTGCGGCTCGCGCCTGAGCTGCTGAGCTGCGCGCTACACGAGCTCGGCCGGCGCACGCGCAGCGAGCGAGGTGCCTCGCAGGAGCTGGCAGTGAGCCGAGCGGGCGCGCGGCAGAGGTGCTGAGAGAGAGAGAGAGAGAGGAGAGAGAGAGAGAGGGAGAGAGAGAGGGAGAGAGAGAGAGAGAGAGAGAGAGAGAGAGAGAGAGAGAGAGAGAGAGAGAGAGAGAGAGAGAGAGAGAGAGAGAGAGAGAGAGAGCTAGTCAATTATGATTGTGTGCAAGAAACAATGGTCCTCGGGTTACCCTCACCGGGCAAAATTCAGTGAGGTCGAACTCGTGCGTCCTCGGCCATGCCTGGTCAGAATCGAGTCGCGCCCAGCTCGACGGATGCGGTCCGACAAGGAGCCCATCAGAAAGCGCGGCCGAGTGGCCGTCGCTCTCGTGTGCGTCGCGCTGCTAGCCGTCGGAATCGCCGTGCCTCTTGGCGTCTTCCTGCGCCCATCCTCCTCATGCGAAGATTATACGGGGCCGCTCGACGAGAACACCATCGCTGTCTTTGGCTCAAGCGTCTCGAATGGCTTCATGTGCAGCGGCAACTGCTCCGGCCGGGCACGCTCCTCGTTGAGCAGCCAGGAGGCGGACCTCGGTGGCTGCTACCAGAGCCGCCTACGCGTGTGGCAGCGCGAGCACAGCGGCCGCTCCGTCTTCAACAACGCCAATAATGGTGACTCGACGGCGAAGCTGCTCAGGCGCTTCTGTCAAGTCCTCTCCTCGCGCGCCCGCTACGTGCTCTTCGGCCTCTCGCTGTCGAACGAGGCCAAGCGCATGGGCGCGTCGGAGGTCACGCGCGAGGTTTTCGATGCGTACCACGACGGGCTGGTCCAGCTCGCCGACCGCACGCGAACAGCCGGAGGCTATCCAGTCATCGGAAGCTGCTACCCGCGCTCTTCCGGCGGCGGCGGAGAGGTCACAGGCATTGCCATGGGCGGCGGCGTTGGCCTCCTCACGGCGGTGGTCATCGCGTTCTTCATGTGGCTTGTCCTGCGGCGGCAGGGCCTCCGCCGCCCCCGGGGCGCCGCCGCGGCCTCCGGGATCGGCGTCGGGATCGGGGTGGGGCTGGCGGTCGGCTTTGCCGCTGCCGCGGCCGCAGCGTACAAGGAGTACACAGCGGATGAGTACGCGCTGATCCGCGAGATGAACGTGCTGACGCAGACGTCGGAGGCGCTCGGCCAGCCGCCGGGCGTCAACTACCTCGGCGCGCTCGACGACGGCCACGGTCGCATTGTGGAAGGCTTCTTTGCCGACGGCGGCCATCCCAACGACGCCGGCTCGACCGAGATGTGGCTCGCCATCGTACCGTCGCTGTTTGATGCCATCAACGCGGGAAAGCCGTCTCGCGTCGCGCGCCAGGATGCGTCGGGCAGCACGGGCTTCGTGAGCGAGGGATCGGAGCGCCGCGTGGCCTTCACGGTGCCTGCGGACCAACCGATGCACTCGTTCACATTCGCCTTTGCGTTTCGGTGCTCCACCGACTGCATTGGCGCCAGCGTCGCTTCGGTCTCACAAGCACCGGTCGCCCCGCAATCGGCGCGGGCGGCCGTGTCGGCGCCACATCCGCTTCCGGTCGCCCCGCCGTCCGATCTGAAGATCGGCATCGACGCGTCGGGTCAATTGTCCACCACAGACGAGCGGAGTGGCATTGTCGCTGCCGCAGGGCCGAGCCTCACCGACGGCGACTGGCACTACGTGGCGGTCTCCCACTACTACGCGAACGCGAGCACCAACTACTACGTCGACGGCCAGATCGTGCTGCAGACGCTTGAGCGGCGCGTGCCATCCGACTTCGTGCTCGCTTGCTCAAGCAGCGCCGCACTCTCGTGCGAGTACCGCGACATGCTCATCTACCGCTCCGCCAGCAACGGCGACGAGGTCGCCTTCCTTGCCGACGACACAAGGCCGACAGTGCTGCAGGCGAGCCTGGAGGTCTACGCGCCGCTCACCAACTCCTCCCACCTCGCGGCCAATCTCGCACAGAGCCTGTCGGAGGTGATTCTGGATGGGTAGCCGCGCGAGGAGCGAGCCGAGGACTGCGGTGCCGGTGTCGCCGCAGATGGAACCACACGCCGCTCGCCGGGGAACCCCGGGAAAAGGTTCTGCTTCTGGGTCTTCTCCCGCTCACATCTGAGCCGCAGTACGCCGTGACGGCCGTACGTTGTCTGTGCATACTGTATGGTAGACTTTTCTGGAGCGTTAACGTTCGTTCTTAGAGATCCACGTTGCGCGCCGCCTCGCACATCGGGTAAGAGTTGTTTATTCTTGAACGGGACCGACACACAACGACAATGCGGCCGGCCGGCATCACAGCCCGTTCATCTCCCGGTCCAGCTGCGCCATGAAGCGCTGATTCTCTCGGATGGTGGCCAGGCGCTGCCGCTCATACTCGGAGAGGAGCAGCCCGTTCTTGTCGCGCAGCGGCAACCCCTCCTCGTCGAGCTCCTGCACGGCTCGCGACGCATCGGCGGCGCGGCCGCCTCCACCTGCGCCTCCGCGCCCGCCGCCGCCGCCTCCTCCGCCTCCGCCTCCGCCTTCCCTGCCCCGAGCGGCTGCCTCGGCGAGCCGCGCCATAGCGGCGGCGTGGCGGGCCTCGGCCCCCGTCCGAGACCGGTCACGCGGCGGCGGTGGGGGCTGCGGCGGCGGTGGGGGCTGTGGCGCGGCGCGGGTTGGCCGCGGTGCGTTCCCCTCCTCGCCCTCGACGTCGGACGACGCCCCGACGCGCGACCGCTTGGGCCGCGGCGAGCGCTCCTCGCGAGCGTACCAAACGTCCCAAGCGAGCGCCGCGTCCTCTGCCCCGGCGGCATCGGCGGCGAGCAAGCCCCGCCGCCGCTTCGCGATTGGCTCGAACTTGCCCGGGGGATGCGCGGGGCGCTCACGATGCGAGGCGCCCTCTGCGAGCCCCGCCCCCGCCCCACCACCCGCCTCCCCCTTCTCCACCGCGCCACTCCCCTCTGCCGCCGCCTCCCCCCCCTTCTCCCCCCCCTCCACCGTCTCCTTGTCATCCTCCGCCACCTCCATCACCTCCCCCCACTCTCCCTCCCCCTCCCCCTCCCCCTCCCCCTCCCCCTCCTCCTCCTCCTCCTCCTTCTCTGCCGCCGCCCGGGTCCGCGCCAGGTCAAGCGCCGCCTCAGCCGCGGTGCGCCACCGTTGCAGCAAACGGCCTCGGAAGCAACCAGCGAAGAAGTCGTCGCCGTCTGCGGACTTACGCTTGACGTTGACATACCCCGTCTGCGATGTGCCCGGCCTCCCACCCGAGCCGCCGAACGCGGTTTTGACGAGCTTGCCGGGGTGCACCAGCGCCGCTTGCGTGCCCGACGCGACCAGCTCGAGGCCTTCGGCGCGCGCGGTCGCCTCCACCTCCTCGCGGCTCGGCGGCGGCGCCTCAATGCCACGCTGCTGCCGCTGCTCGAGCTCCACCTCGCGCGCGCACGTGGCCCTCCCGACGTAGCGCGCAAAGACAAGGGCCGCGTGCTCACGGGTGCGCGTGTATGCCAGGATGCGTTGCGCGCCAAAGACCTTGACGCGCACCTCCCAGCAGCGCACCTGTGGACGTGAGCACAACGGGCCTCTCCTCACCGGCGGCACGCGTGAACAAGGTCTGTGAACCTCGAGGCGCGGCGCGCAGCGAACCTGGCCCAGCGCCGAGTACTGCGGGTAGACGCACCGGAATCCACTCGCCGCCTCGCCGCGCACGAGGGCGAGTCCCTCCGCCTCTGCCGCCGCCAGCGCCTCCTCGGCCGAGAGCGAGCCTTCCCGCTGCAGCTCCAGCAACGGCCGCATGTTGCCCGCCGGCAGCTCCGCCGACTCGTGCTCACCCGCAGAGAGGCGTCGCCGCAGCCGCTGCACCGCCTCGCGCTGCCGCCTCGCCGACCCCGCCACGCGCTCCTTGGCGGCCGCCCCCGCCGCCGCCTCGCCCGCCTGCTCGCACTCGTTGCAGTACCAGTCCTCGTCGGGTGGCGCGGACAGCGCCGGGCGCAGGCAGTAGAGGTGGAAGCCTGCGGCATGAAGACACCAGAGTCAGCGTGAACAGTGTGCCGTACAGCGTGAGAGCCGTGTGAATACGCGGGCCACGAATACAGACGAATACAGACGAATGCAGCCGAATGCAGCCGAATACAGACGAACACGTGTCTAGCTGAATATGGGAAACAGGATTCCGCATCTTAGAGTGGAAACCGCGGTCGCAGCCGTGGCCCGCGCCGTCGCCACAGAGCAGCATCGCGCCCTCGTCGTCTACACGGCCGCAGACCTCGCAGAAAGCCGCGTCGCTCTCGTCGCCGCTGTCGCCGCCGCTCTCGACGTCGCCGTCGGTGGCGCTGTCGCCGCCGCCGCCGTCGGTGGCGCCGGCACTGCCGTCGTCGGTGGCGTCGCCGTCGCTGTTGCTGACATCGCCAGCCACGCCACCGGCGGCAGCGGCAGCGGCGAGCGGCACCGCACGTGGGCGCGCCTTAGCCGCGCGCCACCTCGTCCCCGCGCGCACGAACAGGCGGAGCGAGACGGCGCCATCCGGCCGCGGCCGGAGGCTCGCTCGCACCGGCCGCGCGGCTTTGGCGGCGCGCCTGGCGGCCTCCTTCGCCTCCCTCTCTCGCTCGCGCGCCGCCTCACGCCTCTCCCGCGCCGCTTCGCTCGCCGCCCGCCGCTCGATGCGGCGAACAAGCGACTCGACCACCCGCGCAACCTGAGATCGAGATGCAGCCGAGATATAGCCGAGATACAGCAGAGAGACAGCCGAGAGACCACCCGCGCAGCCTGCCGCCCCTCGCTCCTCTCCGCTCGCAGCTTGGCCGTCTCTGCGCCGCTCGACGAGCAGCCGAGCTGCGCCTCCGAGCGGCGCTCGTGCGAGAGGCCCTTGCTCGTCGCTGCCCCGTCCCGCTTGCACATCGACGCAAAGTGCTGCTGCACCCCGGCGCAGGTGCGGCCGTTGGCAAGCGCCGCCGCAATCTCCGTCCAAGTCCTGTCCTCCCGGACGAGCCGCTGCAGCTGCTTCTCCTCCTCCGAGCTCCAAGGCGTCCACGGCCCCCGCACTGCGCGCTTGGTGCCGCCCTGCACGTCGCACGCCGCCGGCGCGGCGTCCACGCCCGATGTGCTCATCGCGGCCTTCCGCACGCGGCCGCCGGCTTCGCTGTCCGCGCTGCAGGCCTCGTCGCCCTCCCCATCGGCCTCCGACTTGGCCGCCTTGGCGGCCTTGGCGGCCTTTGCCCAGTTGGAGATCAGCGAGGCGCCGCCTGGCTCCTCGTCGGAGGAAGCCTCGAGGTAAGACACGGGCCGCTCGCGCTGCCGCACGGGGCGCTGCAGGGCCGCGGGGAGCTGCGAGTCGGACCGAGGCGGCGGGACAGGAGGAGCCCACACCGCGTCGCCCCCCTGCGCAGGTACACAGACGTGTCCCTTCTTTGGCTGGCCACAGACGCGGCACCGGTAGTCGCGGCAGGGCGGCGGCGGCGGCGGTGGCTCGGAGGACGACCGCCGGCGCCACGCCTCCAGCCTCCATGCCTCGAGCTTGGCTGCGTCGTAGTACTTTCGAGGCTTGCGGCTGCCGGCCGAGATGCTGACGCACGCCTCGGGGTGGCACTCGGCGAAGGATCGGATGGCAGAGGGACTCCGCAGGCAGCTGAGGCGCCTGCGCGCCTCGCTATTGTCAATGTGGCCCTCCGGTGCCAAACCTGGCCCCTCGCCAACGGCACTGCCGCCGCCCGCAGCACTGCCGCTGGCCGCACTGCCGCTGGCCGCACTGCTGCTGGCCGCACTGCTGCTGGCCGCTGCACTGCCTCCGCCCATGCTGCCTCCGCCCGCCACACTGCCGCCGCCGCAGCCGCCGCTGCCGCCAGTCCCGCCGCCGCCGCCGCCGCCAATCCCGCCGCTCCGCCCGCCTCGCTCGGTTCCGTCACCACCCTGCCGGCCGCCGCCTGGACGCTCAAGCTCAGGGGCGCAGCCGGCCACCCCGGCCGCCACCGCCTCCACCACCCGCGGCTGCGCCACCCCGCCGGCTGCGCGGGCGTACGCCACCGCCGCCCCCACCGCCGTGTTGAAAGTGCCCAAGTACACCTGCCTTCCGTCCACCCTTTTCAGCGCTTCGAAGCGGCCAGCCTTCCATGTGCTCTTGCGCACCCCCTTGTAGCCGCTGCTGCCGCTGCTTGACATGTGCAAGCGTAAGCCCTCTGCCTCCACCACAAGAGCCGGAACTGGCGCGGCCTCGTCGCCCGCCGCCGCCGCCGCAAGCGCCGTGTCCCCCTCCCGCAGCTCCTCCCTCGGCTGCTGGACCCGAGGAGGAGGAGGGGCGGCAGCCGCGGGTCCGCCCGACCCCTCTTGAGCCGCGGGTCCGCCCGACCCCTCTTGAGCCGCGGGTCCGCCCGACCCCTCTTGAGCCGCGGGTCCGCCCGACCCCTCTTGAGCCGCGGGTCCGCCCGACCCCTCTTGAGCCGCGGGTCCGCCCGACCCCTCTTGAGCCGCGGGTCCGCCCGACCCCTCCTCCGCCGCGGGCCCGTCTGGAGCCACCCCGGCCGCCACCGCCTCCACCACCCGCGGCTGCGCCACCCCGCCGGCTGCGCGCGCGTACGCCACCGCCGCCCCCACCGCCGTGTTGAAAGTGCCCAAGAACACCTGCCTTCCGTCCACCCTTTTCTGCGCTTCGAAGCGGCCAGCCTTGCTCTTGCGCACCCCCTTGTAGCCGCTGCTGCCGCTGCTTGACATGTGCAAGCGTAAGCCCTCTGCCTCCACCACAAGAGCCGGAACTGGCGCGGCCTCGTCGCCCGCCGCCGCCGCCGCAAGCGCCGTGTCCCCCTCCCGCAGCTCCTCCCTCGGCTGCTGGACCCGAGGAGGAGGAGAGGCGGCAGCCGCGGGTCCGCCCGACCCCTCCTGAGCCGCGGGTCCGCCCGACCCCTCCTCCGCCTCGGGGCCGTCTGGAGCCTGCCCCCCCTGCGGCTGCGCCTCGCGCCGACCGCTCGCGGCGGCCTCCGAACCAACGTGGCGGCGCGTGCTCGTGGCCGCTGTTGACTGCCGGGCCGGCTGGCGGCCCTGCGCCACTGCGTCAGCCGATGCGCCACCAGGCTTTGGCGGCGGCGGGAGTGGCGGCGGCGCCGGCGGCTGCGGCAGAACAGGCGGCGGCGCCGCCGCCTCCATCAACGGTTGAGACTGCGCCTGCCTCCTGAGGCGTCGCTCATGCCCTGCCGAGAGATGCTCGGTCGGCACTTCCGCCGTGCTCTCGGCGGCAGTCGCCTGCCCGACGGCGGCGCACGGGGGTTCGGGCAGTGACGACGGCGGACTCGCCGCTGTCGCAGCGAGAGCGCCGCCGTCAGCGTCCCTCTTGCGCCTCTTTTGGCACGGGACCTGCGCTCTCGGAGGCTTGCGCTCCCGCGCCTGCGGCGCCGGGCATGTCTCTGCAGGCGCTGGGCACGGCACCGGCGGCGCGACTGTGGTAGCTGGCGCTGGAGTTTTCCTCGCCTTTCGCCACGCGCGGAGAATGAGAGGGCACGATGCCAGAGTCTGCTCGAGCTCCCACGTGCAGTCCTCCTCGGGCCAGCCCTTCCACTTGACGAGGTACTCGGTGGTCGGGAGCTTCCCGCGGCGCTCGCGCTCGTCGCGGATGGCCTCCACGACGTAGTCAACCTCCTCCATCTCCGCGACATGGCAGGCGCCCCGGTGGCCAGCAGCCAGGACGCACCCGTCCGTGCGAGCGCAGCAGCCGACGAACGCCCGACGCTTCGCCATGGAACTCGAGACAAGGGCTCGAGCTGATGAGCGCCTGCGAGGCTCGCGAGGCCAACCTGCCTTCGGGTGGCCAGGACCTGGCGAAGAGGGGTAAGAATTCGACGGGACAACTGGGAGACTACAACACGGCGAGGCGCGCCCGGGGTTTCCTTTTGTGAAAATTCTCTTCACTCTTGTTCGGCGGGCGACGGGCGCGCGGCTGGCGTCGTGGGTGCGCATGGGGGGAGGCGGCGCAGGCGGCAGGCGCACGCGCGGGTGAGGGTCGGGCGGGGGGCGGAGCCGGGTGCGGCTTCAGGGTTTGTCCGGTGAGGGGGGCGGGGCAGGGCGGAGCGGGGTGGTTTGGGTCGGGTCGGGGTGGGGCCGGGTTTGCTCGGGTCGGGGTGGGGCGCGAGCTTCGAGGTGGGCGGCCCCTGGCGCGGGGCGGGGGCCGCCCATCGCGAAAGGGGCGGCGCCAAGGCGCGCACACCTTTTGAACGCGGCTCGATGGGGAGAACGACACACGCCGCACCACACAGGGATTGCCAGTCCCCCCCCCCCCCCCCTGCTTGAGCACTTGAGCACTGGATAGGGTCGATTCCGCGTGGTACGGGACCCCTCGATCGTCTCGCCCTCCCTCGCTGGTGTGCTCATTGGGGGGGGTCATAACGCAAACACGGTACAGGATCGAGGTGCACGCTGCCGAAGCAGTGTCGTCCCCCCTCTCCCCGACGGTGATGGCGGTGTGACCGATCGAGCTACAAGAGGAGCTTGTTCAGCAGGATCCGGGTTGCCTGTGCACTGCCTCACTGGGCCTGAGATCACTCGACGCTTCCCGTCACCGTCTCGGCTGGAGACTTGTTCTATTATCTCTCCTACTCCGTTGATTTAATCACCACAGAGGTCCGCTGCTCTTGCCACCTGGAGGATGCTTAGAGCTCGCGCTCGAGTGCATTGCAGAGCCCGTCTTGGACTCGTCTGATAAAAAGAAATCTCGGCGCCGACTGCCGGCCGTTGGTGAGTGTCTCTCGGGGAGCCAGGTCTCGGCGATGCGCCCCGCGAGCGCGCGGCCTGCCCTCACCACCTATTCGCAACAACACCGCGTCACAGGGCTCAGAAAAGAAAAAAAACAGACACGCCAAACGAGGGATGGGACGAGGACAGGGTCCCCACAGGGCTCATACGCAGCCCCGGGCGACTTTCGTTTTTCTCCGAGGCGCTCGGCGGGCACTCCCACCGTCGCACCCTCTACATGTCGGTCCCATTCCTCGTATTACTGTGCTCCGGCCTCGTAGCGGCAAAGCCGCAGCCCTTTGTCCCCGCCGGTTGCCAGCACTGGTGCGGCACTCGCGCTCCCCTCCGCTCCGATTGCAACAAGGGCGAGTGCGCCGGGTGTGCCGCCTGCACCGTCATGGATGCTCCCACTTGCACCTCAGACATCCCGGGTGACTTTGGTAACGCGCGCTGTCTGACGTGGTGCGCCGTTCAGTGGGGCGTCTCCTCGCCCGATTGCAGCCGCTGCGCGTGCCGTGGCTGCGAGCGGTGCGCCGGCTGGTCGGCGGCTGCTGACGCCGGCCCGCCGGCATGCACGCCAAAAATCAAGGGTGATAGCGACACGCCACAGTGCAAATCGAACTGCGCGGCGTGGCGCGCATACGAGGACTGCCAGCTCTGTCGCTGCTCAACGTGCAAGTTCTGCCCCCCGCCGCCACCACCCACGCCTTGGCTACCACCCGGGCCGAGCCCGCCGCCCTCTCCCTCGCCGCCTCCAGAGCCGCCTCCTCCGCCGCCGCCGCCTCGGCCGCCACCGTCTCCTGGCCCTTCGACGCCGCCGCCGCCGCCGCTACCGCCGCCGCAAATGCCTCCGCCCGTGCCGCCCCCACCGCCCTTTCCGCCGGCCCTGTCTGCCGCTGAGCTTCGGTGCTACATCCTCCGCTACCCGGACCTCCTCGGGGGCTTCTGTAAGGCGAGGGCCGCTCCCACCGAGCCAAGCGCCACCGCCACAGCCCTGCCTTCCCAACACCACCCCATTTTCAACCCTCGCCCTGTCCTCTCGGCGTCCAGGGGGCCCTTTCGCTCTGCGACTGGCCGCGCGTCCAGCGGCACTACGACCACGCCGGGCGGAGGGAGGGCCGCAACGCCGAGTGCCTCTCGCAAGCTAGCCCGCAGCCTCTCGCCGCCACGGCCGCCGCGCTGCCGCCGCCTCCGCCGCAGTTGTGGCGCCCGCCCGCACCGCCGACCATGCTGGCGGGCGTGGCTTGGACGGACGCAGCGGCGGTCCTCGCTATGGTGGCCATGGCCTGCTGGATCGTCGCCCTCCGGTGTCCACCGTCGGCACCGCCGCGTAGCAGCGTCTATTCCGACGACGAGAGCAGCAGCGGCAGCAGCGACGGCGAAGAGGAGGACGACCAGGCGGAGGGGCCCCATCGCAGGGTGGCAGCCGACGGCGTGCTCGCGGCGGCCAAGGAGCCGCCCGCGGGGCGCACGGCATCTGCGTTTGACTCGCCAGCCTTCAACTACACGATGGACGCAGAGGACGACATCACATGACAGACTTGACGCCACAAGAGACTTTCTTAGCCGTGGACCGCGGTGATCGGGCTAGCCCCCGTATAGGCGGCCCTGTAAGCTGTATGGTGACTGGTCCTATATAAAGAAAACTGAAAAAAGCGCGTGTGTGGAGTGTGGCGGGTTTCCGCGTTGCCGTTGGAGCGTTCGGTTGGACAAGCGGTCTGAAGGTACGAGTAAAAGGGTGGGTTTAAACCGTTAGTATACACGTGTGCGCAGTTCAGAGTTCTTGTGTGATTACAATGCGCCCCCCGGCCCCCGCGCCCGCGGGCGCGCGACGCACCGCGACGACCGCGAACTCCGCTCCGCTCTGGGTTGTGGGGGTACGGCCCCCTCTGCGCTCTGTCCAAGAGAAATAAATAATCTTTGAAGCGTTCAAACTTACTGAACAGTCACGGACAAGCTGAGGCTGGCAGGGGAACGGGAATTGCACGGGGTCACAGCGGCTGGGGCCTGGGGGTCCGCGGTGCAGACGGTGCGTGTGTGGAGAGTTTTTTATGCATGTGGTACCGCAGCGGCTCGCCCGGCGAGCCGGGCATGGCATTGTGCGGTTGCAGGAGAAGAACGGAGCGCCGCGCACCCATGGCTTCGCTCACGGGCGGAGGATGGTGGCGCCCTTCTGCTGCGGCGGCGGCTGCTGCCCATGCTGTGCGTACGGCTGCTGCGCGTACTCCTGCTGCGAGGTGCGTGCCGGCGCCGCCGGCTTGGAGCAGCAGCAGAGGTAGCAGCAGCCAAGGAAGGTGAGCCTACGTCGTGCACACGAGGGCTGTGAATACAGTGAACGCAGCCGAATGAAGCCGAGTACAGTTGACTACGAGGGTTCGAGTCGGGGGGTCCGTATCTAGCATCTGGGGCGGCGAGCCCGAAGAAAACTGCAAAGCCAAAGGAGACCCACTTGCCGACGAAGAAGTAGGCGTCGACAAAGTCAGCGAACTCCTCGTAGCACGCGCAGAAGACGCCCTTGGGCGTGTTGAGCTTGCCGAGCGTGCTGCTGCGCGCCTCGGGCGCCCACCACGAGGAGGAGGTGTAGCACTCGAGGAAGTCTGCGGGACGTGTCAGCGGACGTGTCAGCGGACCAGCGGACGTGTCAGCGAACGTGTCGGTGGACGTGTCGCGATAGCGGCGGTGGCGCGAGCAGTGTGGAGGCAGATGCAGGTAATGGTGGGGAAGGGCGGCGAGGAAGGAAGTGTCTGAAGTGTGTCTCAGACCTGTGTTGTCCTCGTCAAAGTTCTCGTCGTTGAAGGCCGCCTCGAGGCACTGGTCGTTGATGGACTCGGCGACGTCGTCGAAGTCGCTGTTGGTGCAGCGCAGCTCGTATGGCGGCTTGTCAGCATCGACTTGAGATTCATCTGTGTATGTCACGCTGTCGCTGTTGTAGACGGAAGCACCACACTCTTCCCAGATCTCCTCGACGCCCTCCTTCAGCGACTCGGACGCCTCGCGCTGCCAGTCCGTCACATTGACGAATTTGGACTCCTTGGCGAGGTGCAGCGCGTCCGAGTACCGGAAGAGGACGACCGTGCTCGCGACGGTGGTGCAGCAGAGAAGGAGGCAAAACAGCATGTAAATCGAGATCGAGCACTTGTTCTTCTTCCTGCAGAAGGCCAGGTAGCCGAAGAGCGCGACGAAGAGGATGAGGGCGCCGACGCCAATCGTGACTCCCGCATACCAATCGGGCACAATAATCTTTGCCCAGGGGAGGGTGAGCGCGAGGACGCCGAGCGTGACGATTCCGGCGCCAAGGAGGGTGTAGAAGAGGGCAGAGATGAGTAGCAGGCTTAGGCTGGAGCAGCGAAAGAGGTCAGCGCAGCAGCCCATATGAGCTAAAGGCGGAGCAGCCGAGGAAGGCGAGGCGAGGAAGGCGAGCGGGTGCAAGCTAAGGAGGGCTCGGCGGCCGCGTCCTCAAATAAAAAAATGGCGAGCTGGTGCACGACACTAGGCAAATAAAAGAATGTTTATTGCTTACTATCCCGCAGCACTACCGCGAGGTGGTAATGCAGTACTAGGGTTAAGGTTCTTCGGGCCAGTTTGGGGGGGCAAACCCTGCCCGCCCCCTAGCGCCCCAGGTAAGGCCCAGGTGTGGCCTAGGGCATCAGAAGGGACCAAGAGGAGTCCAGTCTGAGCCATAGAGCCCATTTCTTTGCCCCCGAAGGTCGCGTTCAAATGCCCGGAACGGACGTTACAGTGGTGTCCGGCCGGCGCGATCACCGAGCTGTGACGCTCAGGGAAGCCTGATGAGGTGCTGGTTTCTTTGCCCAGGCCTGGCCTTCCCCCCAGGCTGGATCAGCTGAGCAAGGTTTGGGGAGAATCCTATAGAAGGATCTTCAGATATTTTGACCGATGACCAAAAGTCCCCACAGTCGCGGTCGTGGGATCACTTACTTGTCCTTGGAGCACTTGGAGTGCAGTCATTAACCTCACATCCAGGGCCGGGGAGCTAAGAAGCGCACCCAGCGGGCCGGATGATCGATATCGGGTTGCGGGCAAGAGAGCCCTAGCCCTGCGGGGTGCGCGTTCGCAGGGAAAGGGCCGTAGAGAGAAAGAAAAGAAAACAGAGAACACGTGTTTGTTAGGACCCCCCCCGATGAACACACCAGTGAGGGAGGGCAGACGATCGAGGGGTCCCGTACCATGCGGAATCGACCCTATCCAGTGCTCAAGTGCTCAAGAGAACACAAGGGAGGGATGGGAGGACGACGGCACGCCGCCACCACACAGGGATTTTAAGGAGAGGAGTGTGGTGCTAGCGCTCTCCCTCCTGTCGCTTCCTCCTCTGTCGCGTCGCTCTCCTCTGCCTCATCCTGCGACGGCGCCGCCTGAGGGAGGGAGGGTGTAGAGGATGTAGAGTGTAGAGCGCTGTAGAGCTGTAGAGATGTAGAGCGCTGGAGAGCGCTGTAGAGCTGTAGAGCTCTACATCCGCCGCGGGACGAAGCGCCTCCGTTGTAGAGCGATGTAGAGGCGCTCTACAACGTGAAATCTCTACAACAAACTCTACATCATAAGCGGCGAACGAGGCACGGTCGCTCTCCGACATGAGGCGCGTTGCACTTGCCAGTGCTGCCCTGGCCTTCTGTCTGCCCGCCCAATGGGTAGGAGGTGCCTCTGCTGCTGTGGCATGCCTCACGGCTGCGACTGGCCGGCGCCTCGGCGCGTCAGCTCGGCTCGGCGTAGCGATAGTGGCCAGCGCAACTCGCCTGGACTCAACGCTCAGCCAGGAGCTCCAGCACGCGCTGGCGCGAGTCATGGCGCATGCAACGCGTCTGAATGCTCGCCTCTCCTCGCGCAAATGCGACCGTCCTCGCAGCCGACAGTCCACCGCCTGCTAAAGAAGCACAGCGACGAATGCGGCACCGGCGACACATGGCAGGCTGGTCATGACGCAGTTATAGGGTGTTGTGTGCCGTCGGAGTGACTCTCTGTGTGTCAGGGATAGTCAGGGCTGTCCATCAGAGCTCCAGTAAGCTCGGAGACACCCCATTAGCGCGGCTCGACCTCTTTGAGTCACTGCCTTCCCGGTGGTTTGGCTGTAGAGCCTCTACAACAAACTCTACAGCAAAATCGCGCTCTACATCGCTCTACAACGGAGGCGCTTCGTCCCGCGGCGGATGTAGAGCTCTACAGCTCTACAGCGCTCCAGAGCGCTCTACATCTCTACAGCTCTACAGCGCTCTACACTCTACATCCTCTACACCCTCCCTCAGGGCGCCGCCGCCTGCCGATCCCTCCTGTCCTCTCTCTTCTCTCGCTGCTTCTCTCGCCTTTCGTCGCAACTCTGTGCTCCTCGCGGCATATTTTGGCCCCTCGAGTTTATCGAGCTCTCCTCGCGCAAGGACGACTCTTCTGACGCCCACTGCGATCATTTGCCGCCAAGTCATATCGTTGCTCAGGTCCACTCTCTCTTCGAACACTTGTACCTCCACGGATGATGCTGGCGCTGGGTTCCCCTTCGGGTGCATCGTGACAGCTGTCGCCACCCTAACCCTTGGCCTCGGAAATTTTTTGAGAAGCCATGTTCCTCTTCTTCGAGACACCGCGGCTAGCGCTGCCCGTCGGAGCCCGCCTCGTCTCCAGTCCTGTCGCCGCCGCTGCCGGCCCTCCAGGGTGCCCGAAACCAAAATTCTTGCGATACTCGACTCGCACTTGGCCGACACTCGGCGACGATACACCGCGGCTCGACGACTCGGTCGTCGACGACTCGACGACCGACGACGCGCCCGCGGCGTCCCGACTGCGACACACATGCCGTATCAGCGAGTTCTAATCTTCGCCTGGGGCACGCGCGGGGACGTGCAGCCGCCGCTCGCGCTGGCGCTCAGGCTCAAGCAGCTCGGCAAGGACACCACCATGTTTGTGACACCGCCGAGCGACGGCATGGTGCGTCAGGCGGGCATCGAGTGCGTTGCCGCGAGCGAGGATGTGTCTGGCATGCTCGAGGCCTTGGCCACAGTCGACCTCTCGGATCTCAGCTTTTGGAACCTAATCAAGACGGTCAAGACGTTCAAGGCCTACCAAGCCACGCCCGAGTTCAAAGCCGCCCAAGCCGCCGACACAAAGGCCGGATACGAGCTGGCCGTCTCCTTCAAGCCGGATGTCATCCTGCACGCCGGGTTCGAGTTCGCGTTCTGGGCCTCGGTCGGCGAGGCGCTCGGTGTCCCGGTTTTGCGTTATGACCTGCAGCCAAACCATCCCACGTCGGAGATCAGCTTCTTCAAGAAAGAGGTGAGTCCCGAGACACCATTGACACTTCCGAGACGAGACCTGAAGACACTACCCGGACACTTGTACAACGACCCGGCTGCCCACTCCTCGCCAGGACGGCGCCCTGCCAAAGTGCCTGAACAAGCTGGCGTTCCAGGCCTTCAACAGCCAAGGGATCGCAAAGGCGCAGCGGCCGCGGGCGCTCGAGCTGCGGGCGATCGCCGGGCTCAGCGCCACCGCCCACCGCGACGGCTCGCCCCTGGTGCTGCCTCCCGACCTGCCGCAGATGTGCGCCATGTCGCCCTCTTTTGTGCCTCAGCCGACCGACTGGCCGCCGCTCAAGGAGATGGTCGGCTACTGGATGATGCCGCCCTCCACCGGCTACCAGCCGCCGCAGCAGCTCACCGCCTTCTTGGCGGCGGGCGCACCGCCCGTCTATATTGGCTTTGGGTCGATGAAGGGCAGTCATCTTTTGCAGCAGAGGCGCCCCGTATGGGCACGTGGGTGACCCGTCCCGTGCCCCGCAGGCAACCCCGAGTTTTGCAAGAAGCTCTCGACGATGGCGATCGCCGCGCTCGCGCACGCCAAGATGCGTGGCATCCTGCTGGGCGGCTGGGCGGGGCTCACGGCGGCCGTCCTCGACTCATCCACCGACGACGGTAGCCGGCTCGCCGAATACGCGGCGGCGAACGTGCTCGAGCTCCCCTCCTGCCCGCACGACTGGCTCTTCCCGCGCTGCGCGGCGGTGGTCCACCACGGCGGAGCGGGCACCACGTCCGTGGGGCTGCGCGCAGGCAAGCCCACCATCATCTGCGCGGTGATGAGTGACCAGCCCTGGCACGGCTCTCTCGTCGCCAAAAAGAAGCTCGGGCTGTACGCGGGGATGATGTCCAAGGTGACGGGTAGCTCGCTTGGCGAGCTGCTCACGCAGGTGGTGGCCGACCAGACCATCGCCGAGAACGTCGCCAAGATGGGGAAGGCGCTCGCCGCAGAGGACGGAGCCCTCCACGCGCACGAGTTCATCGAGCGCGCCATCGACACCTTTCAGTACCCGTGGCCATTGAGTCGACCGGGGCCGGCGCCTTAAGCGTAAATAGGCGCAGGAACGCAACATGGAGGCGGGCGACTCGCGCATTCCACCAGAGACCAGTCCATAGTCCACTCTTGAGACGTAAATTCAAAACAATGTGCGCGAGGTGACTGTCGTCACGGCTCTTTCTCTAAATTAGAGTCTCTCTATTCTCAGAGAGAGCTCTCTCGCGCGCAACACGCACACATTCACATACGTGCGGCCCGGCGCACGCCCACGCGGCCGCACGCCGCATGACGCTTCGTCCTTTTCGATCTCGCTTTCGATTGGTGCATGGTGGCTGAACAAGATCTCGGAGATCCGTCAGGGCGTCAAATTTCTTAAGTGATTTGTAGAGAGCATTTTGCGCATCTTTTCTCCGGAATTTAATATGTCCACAAGTTTCCGAGACCTCGCAAGCGGGCAGTTATTCACAGCTGGGCGGTGTGGTCTGGGCCGGGCAGAGCAGTGTGGGTTTCACACCCGGGGCAGGTAGGGGATTGCACACACGCTGTCGGACCTTTTGCGTCTGTGTGCGTCATCCGTCAACTTTCACTTCCAGTACATGAGCCTTGCGTCGCCGAGGCCGATGAGCGGGCAGATGAAGTTCCAGATGTCGAAGGTGAGCTTCATGCCCTGGCCGGCGAGGAAGCCGAGCAGCTGCGACGCAGGAAGGGCGAGGGTGGCGCAGCTGAGGTGGGGGGCAGGAGGGCGCATCCCCCACGTCCTAGTCAGAGACGGCGGCCGCGCCTTGGGAATGCCGAACATGAAGGGAATCTCGACGCCGCCGGGGAGGGTGAACTCTGGGAGGGAGGGGAGCGAGAGCGAGACGCCGAGCAGCTGGCCCACCAGGTACGCGGCCGCGAGCAGGCCCGGTCCGAAGAGTGGCAGCAGATAAGCCTTCTCCCAGATCGCCGCCAGGGCCTGCGGAGGTGCCGAGTGCGGATGTGCCGGTCTCGCTGTTTCTCTCCGATAGCGCTACATCTAGATAGAGACCAGACCTCATTGTCCTCAAAGCCGAACGGGTCAAAAGCAAAGCGCGACTGCGCAGTCTGGCTGGCGCCGAGCGTCATATACGTCTGCTCCTTTCCATAGTCGTTGATACCCTTGATGAAGACCCAGTCTCGGCGCCCCTTTGCCTCCGAGAGCACTGGCGATGGGGCACGGATGGCAGGGGCGGCGCGAAGGCCCGGCTGCACGACGAATGCGGCGCCGAACAGCTGGGAGGCGAAAAGGAGCGACATGGAGAGAGATGCTTCGATGCGCAGCTGGCACCGGATGGGAACCACCCAAAACAAAGGCGAGACCTCCAGGCATCGATGTTCCGAGAAATCTCGTCCGCACTGGTAGAGCTCTACATGTAATACCGTCGTCAGCTGTCACGATAAACCCGAAGGCGGAAGGGAACTAGCTACTAGGTAGGGAACCCACCCCAGTGGCAGTGCCAACACCAACCGTTGAGGTACAAACAAGTGATCGGAACGAGAGTGGATCTGAGCAACGACATGACTTGGAGGCAAATGATCGGAGTGGGAGTCAGAATGTATGTGGTCCTTGGACCTCGCGAGGAAGGCTGGCTCCTGAGTGAGCCCTGCCCCCTGGGCCTGGCCTCGACACCTCGACACCACACCAAACCCTCGACACCAACTCGACAACACTCTCTCTCTCTCTCTCTCTCTCCCAACTCGCGACACCTCGACACCCCATGCCAACTCGACCAACTCGACACCCCTCGTGGCCTCGACATCCCTCGACACCTCTCGACACACGACACCCCTCGACACCGCTCGACACCGCTCGAACCACTCGACACCGCTTGACACCGCTCATATCCAGCCCGGTGGCCTGCCAGCGGCTCTCTTCTGGCTTTCTGACTTGGCACTTGCAAAACTTTATACTCCCCCACTTGGAAGAGGTGCTGCCTCGTGCACGGCTTCGTCGTCGCCTCGCGCAGCTCGGCCATCGTCCGCCGGCTCGCCTCGGCGCTCGCCCTCTCGCTCGCCGCCCGCTGCGCCGCCTCACTCTGCCCGTGCGACGCCCTCTCCCGCGCCGCCTCGTGGCCCGCCGCCCGGCCGGCGGCTCCTGCCGCGTCCTTCATCCCGCCGCCGCCGCCGTCGTACAGCGACATCACCTGCTTGGTCACCAGCCGCCAGTACTGCCTCGCGTCGCCCGGCATCGCCGGCCAGATCTCGCGCCACACGTGGTTCTTCATGTGCTGCAACGCGACATAGACCGTGTTCTCGCCGCGCCCCGTGCGCACCGTCGGCTCCTCGTCCCGCGCGTCGCCCCGCTCGGTCGCGTGCCACCGGCTCGCCCTCGGCGCGGTGATTCGCGTCGTCGCCAGCCACTTGCCGAAGCGGATCGTCCACCGCATCGTCGGGTGCAGACCGAGGGCCGTCCGCTGCATCGGCACGCTCTTCCCCGCCGCGGCCTGCGTCGCGAGGAACTCGCGCAGCCGCAGGCGCACGACCCGAAGCTGCGCCGACAGCGCCGGCCCGTGGGGCGCTAGCATCGGCCGCTCATCGCCACGCGCCGCCGCCTCCTGCTGCTCGTCATCCTCCGCCTCGAGGGCGTCCGCCAGCGCGCTGCGCCGCACGCCCCGGCGCACAGGAGGCGGCGCCGGCCGCACCTCGGCCGCCTCGGCGTCGCCCGCGGCACGGGCGCCATGCTCGCCGTCCACGCGGTCCATCGCCACATCCCCATCCCCATCCCCGCCTGCGCCCGCGCCGGCCTGCTCTGGGACGGCGCGCCACCGCTCGTCGTCCAGCATGTGCCACCACCGCCGATCCGAGTAGCCGTCGTACTCGACCTCGTGCACGATCCGTCCGTCCCTGTCCTCCTCCCGCGCCATGACGGTCGCAGGATACCACCGCTCGCTGTCGCAGAAGATCTCGAGGCGCGATCCGGTGGGCAGGACAGTGTGGCCGTCGAGCGCCGCCCTGGCATCCTCGCGCTGTCGCTTCCGCCGCATCGCCTTCGTCTCCTTGCTGCGCAGCAGGGTGTAGTTCGGGCCCACCTCCGCCACGCTGTCCAGCACGTGGACGGCGCTCGCCATCTCGACCGCGTCGTCCTCCGGCGGACGCTCCGCGTCGCCCGCGGCCGCTTCCCGAGCGCGCTCGTCGCGCATCCGCTCGTGGTGGGCCTGCCGACGCGCCACGCCGGCGCCCGTGTGCCTCGCCGCCGCGTCCGGCGACGGCATCGATGCTGTCCAGTCAAAGCCTGACTGAAAATCGCAGCAACGAGCGTGACTCCACGACCGCCGAAAAGTCGAGCGCCCTGCCCAAATCTCGAACACATCTCGAACCGTCTCACATTGTACATACATAAAAAATCCTAACACCGACTGATATGGACCGGGACATTGATGGCTCGGACACCACCCTAGGCCACGTACTCAAGGTAGCCCCACAGGAAGGCACCAAATGTGAAGGCGAAGACGAAGACGAGCCCGGCCTCCTCCGCCTGCGACACGTGGGGGAGGAGCAGCATGTGGCCTCGGTGGGAGAACGAGGGTGTAAAGCGGAGGTCGCGACGGAGGCGGCGGAGGCGACGGAGGCCAAGGCGGAGGATGCGGAGGAGCGCCGACGGCGATCTCTCACGGTGCAGTCTCCCGTCCGACTAGGCGCCTGCCAGTTTCGAGGGTCGAGCGGAAAGCCGCCAACAGCCGCACGTAAGTCGCCGAGCGAGCCGCCGCGCACGTCTCCGCCGAGCCGAATCGGCAAACCCTCCTTCCCCTTTGTCGCGCCGCTCTGCCCGGGCAGCTTTGGTTCCGGCTTGCGCTGAAACGCGGCGAAGGCCTCCGAGAGCGAGCCCTTCTCATCCTGCACGGCAGAGACGGTGTGATGCGGTCATGAGCGCGGCATACGCGAGCTGGCGCATGCGCGGCGCGGATGGAGAGAGCAAGTGACACAGCGGAGGTGCGCATATGTGGCCTCGGCGAGAGTGATGCGGCGGTGCCGACGGCCGGGCTGCTCGAGCGACATGGGCGAATTGAGCCAGGTCCGCTGCAATGCGGTCGTCGTGCACGACAGCAGGGCTAGCGCCAGCGGCAGCATGACGAGAGAGGTCGCGAGCAGCTGCTGAGTTGCCAGCGCAGGCCAGCGAAAGCGACAGCACCAGCCTGTGCACACCGATAAAAGAATTTTAGCGGGATCGCCGGGGCCAACAATCACGATGGAGACCGCAAACCCCCGCCAAAATCACCCCTCACAACGCACAGACTCCCACGGAGGCGGCCCGTCACATGTACGTCCATCCCGAGGTGGACCCTCGGCAGGCGGCCTTTTTCTGGCTCGCCTCGTACTCTGCCACGAGCTCCTCCGTCATCTCGGACGAGGCGGCGGCCGCCGCCTGCGCCTCCGCGCGCGCGTCCACCTTCGCCTGGATGTTTTTGGCGTGGTTGAAGATGCCTCCCGTCTGCTCGGCGCACACGTAGCAGCGCCGCGTCTGCTTGAAGTGGCCGAGGGCGCACTTCTCGCAAAAGTAGTGCTCGCACTTGGTCACGACGGGGCGCGAGCCCTTGTGCCACGGCTCGCGGCAGAGGAGGCACGCAAAGGGCCTGGCACGCGCGAGTCGGGTCGCGGTGAGCATGGAGGAGGGCCGCTCGCAGCACTGCGGGGGTGTGTGGTGCCGGCGCGGGGCCGGGCGAGGGAGCGCGCGCACAGGCCATCGTCGGCCGCCGGCGCCGCCTCGGCCTCCCCCATCGCCACGAGAGCCTCGTCGTGCGCCTGTTCCAACGGGGAGGCGGTGCAGACACCTCTCAGCCATCTCTCGCCGTGCGCGTGCCGGGAGAGAGGGCAGGGCCGCGGGTCACGGGCCGCGTCCCGCGGGCCATGGGGTGGGAGGGCGGCGGCGTGGCGGAGCGTGGGGAGGGAGGGGGGGCGGCTGGCCTTCTTCTTTTGCGACTCCTCCCAGTCCCGCTCGAGCTGCCAGCCAGACTTGTAATCGGAGCGGTCGTGCAAGAACTTGCACGCGTCTCCGTACCCGCAGTAGCCCGTGTCGCGGAAGTCCTTGCAGATGTCCGGCTTGTAGTCCATCACCGCAGTCGCGCGGTAATGCACGGGCGCGCGCGCGGGGCCAGCGCCAGACATCACCTGGCTGGTGAAGTCCTCCGCCTTGTTGGTGTACTGGCGGTACGCCTTCTGCCCGCGGTACACTGCCGCGCCGTCCGCCGTCCGGTCGCCGCCGTCCTCCCACTGCTTTTGCGCCGTCTCGTAGAGCGCCTGCGCGTCGCGGTCGCGCGGGACGTCCTGCTCGCTCGACGCGGTCGCCTTGTTGTCGTACGTAGAGATGCGCGCGTCCGACGGCTGCACGCCCACCGCCAGCAGATCGATAGCCGCCGCCGCCTTGCGCGCGCTCGCCGTGCCCTGCACGAGCGGATTCGCCTTGGCCGCTTTGGCAACGCGGATGACCGCCGAGCCCTCGGGCTCCGGCCCGGCGTCGGCCGAAGACGAGGCGGCGCCACCACCACGCGGGCGGACGTTCTTGTTGCGCTCGCGCTTCTTGAAGACTGGCGCCGCAGCCGGAGCGGCAGGAGCCGGCGGAGGCTCCATGAGGCAAGTCGAGAGCGCGTTCAGAGGAGGCTTCTCGCAGAAAAAAATCCGCCCTGCTGATGGAGTCAGGACAAAAACACCGCAACGTCCAACGAAAAGGCCCATCCCCAGCAGAGTCTCGAGCGAACAGCTGGTGTAGAACGGCAACAAGCTCGAAAACAGCCAAAATCAGCCTGCGAGAGAGGCACTGCGCGCCGCTGACCTCATGTTGGGATGTGTGCCGACACCAATACTGATCTAATACCTGGAAACCCTTGTTCAAAGCCGACCCTAAGCGCCATCCTTCCTGCTCTCACCTGATGCTGCTTCCCCGCGCCGCCCTCCTTGGCCCCCCTGGGCGTGGATTTTCTACTCCCAGTGGGGGGCCTGGGCCCCCGGGCCCCCTCTTATTTTCTGTTTTCTGTTTTTCAAAACGCCCGCCCGCCCGCCACCCCGAGGCGGCTCGGCCCCCCACAGACCCAGAGATCAAAAACGCTACGTTCACCTTGTCGTAGCCGGAGAGGATGTTGACCTTTAGCTATTGGAGAAACCACTCGGCCAACTTGTACCGAATGCCAAAGTTTCATTTTACCACAGCCATGGCTAAGATCTGAACTTAGATCAGTCAAAGTCCATGCACCATGGTAAATAAATAAAACGGTCAAACTCTGAGCGAGATGGGATTTAGGGTCATGTGTCCCCGCCCTGCACAATCTTGGTGTGAGGGATCTTCAATCCGTCCCCCCTCACCCCTCGTCACAACCCGACACAGAAGAGCGGCAAATTGGGGCTGCGGCTGCGGCTGCGGCTACGAGAGGGGCCGGGGTGATACATCTTACATGGTTGCGTTACGCAGCCACTCCACCCCGCCCCTCCCACGTCCCAGTGAGTGTGCATCGTTCTTTGTCATTGTTTGTGCATGTGTGCACATCGGCGTTGCAAAATATCGGCAGCGGAAATGTTGTTGTGTTTGTTAGCGGCCTACAGCCCCACACCGGCCTTTTTAGCGGCAGCAGCGGCGGGGGCCGGGCGCGTCTCTGCTGGGACAGGTCTGGGAGCGGCGTGAGCGCGTGAGCGTCTGAGAGAGACACTCTGGACACTTAGAGAGCCAGCAGCTGTGGCGGCGTCGGCGCCCGCGCCCCGCGGGTGAGGCGGGGTGCTGTAGCCCTAGTGCGGACGGTTTTTTGCGGTATCTTGAAGTATCTCTCCAATATCTCTGACCGTATCTCCCCGTATCTCCTTGCATCTCCTCGCATCTCCCCGTATCTCCCCGTATCTCCCCGTATCTGCCCGTATCCGCCCAGATCTCGTATCTCCTGGTATCTCCCGGTATCTCCCGGTGTCTCCCGGTATCTCCCGGTATCTCCCGCCATATCCCGCCATATCCCGCCATATCCCGCCGCGGATACCGCGAAAAAAACCGTCCACACCAGGGATTGCTGTCAGGGCCTCAGCGCGAATTACACGTGAGTGAGTGTGAGTGAGCGAGCGCCCCCGCCGCGGCCTGCTCGCTGCTAGGCTCGCTGCCGCGGGTGCCGGCGCCCGGCGGGCGCGCTGCCGGCGCGTGCGCGTGTGCCCCGGCACACGCCTCACGCGCCCTCCGGCCGCTGTGGCAAACGCAAAGCGCTCTGGCCGCGCGGGACAACCGTGCGTCCGCGGACTCTCCGGTGTGTCGACCGCCGAGCGCGCGGGAAGGCGGGGTAGACTCTCTACACCGTCTACGCTTGCTCTGCCACATCGGCACATGCTGCGCGGGTGGCGGGGTAGGTGCGCGAGCCGGGATGATCCGCGAAGGCCGAAGAGAGGGCCTTTATCTCTCTCAACGACAACCACACGTGGCTCTCACTCAAGTGTAGTTCGCTCTCTCCAACGCCCGTCTCCACTACACACGCGCAGCCAGCACACAGCTGCAGCACAGTTCACATGGCATGATAGGGTTCCGAAGCAGTCGTTGACAGACTCCAAGTTGCCTGTTCGACACGCGCACACGGCGCATGCACCTCCATACTGTGATCCTAGCCGTCGCCCACCAGCGACGACGCCGCTTGCAACACGTCGGCGATCTCGAGGTCGTGGTCGTGCATGAACTGCTTGAGGAGCGTGGCGGTCGGTGCCCCCTTCTTTTGCGCCTTCACCTGCCGCCAGAGGGGGTGGCAGAGAAGAGTCAGTCGGTGATGGACATGTAGCACAGAGAGAGAGAGGGGGGGGAGGGCTTCGCGGGGCTTCGGCGCGCGCCTTGTCCTTCTTCTTCTTCTTCTTCTTCTTCTTGGAGAGCCCCTCCTCCGCCGCCGCCGCCATGTCCGACGCCTCCGCCCCCGCCGCTTCCGCGTCGTCCTTTGCCCGTCGGACCGCTGCTGCCTTCTCCGCCGCGGCCTTGCGCGCAGCCTCCGCCTCCTCCCTCGCCTCGGCCGCCGCTCGCTCCGCCGCCGCCGCCTCCGCCGCTGCCGCAGCCTCCGCCCGCTCCGCCGCCTGCTCCGCCGCCGCCGCCGCCGCCTCCGCCGCCGCCGCCTTCTCTGCCGCCGCAGCCTCCAGCCGGAATCGGATGTCCTCGGGCTCTTGTTGGACCGGAGCCTCTTGGACAGAAGGCGAGCTCTGCGACCTCCGCTGGCGGCGGCTGTCTGCATTGGCGTCGTCCGCGCTGGCGCCGATGCCCTGCCACCTGCCGCCGCGGTGCAGCGCGGGGCGCGCCGCCTCGTGGATCCCCGCTCCGCTCAGCATCACGTCGAAGGACACCGGCTTTGCCCGCGGCTCGGTCGGGCGGGGCTCGTCGCGTGGGAGAGTGAGCGGCCGCTCGACGGCAGCGGGCGCCGAGCGCACGGTCCCGGTGCTCGCCGACGGGCTAGCCCGTCGGCGCACGGCCCAGCCGCGGCCCCGCGAGGCCTCGGCGTCGCGCGGCCCGCTCCGGAAGCGCTCGCTCGACATGTCCAGTGGCGACATGGAGACGCCGGACGTCTCGAGCGGCGCCGGTGGAGGGCGTCGACGACTGGGCACCTCGGTCTGCGCCGACGGCCGGCGGCGCCGCCTCTCCTCCGCATCCCCATAGGTGTTTTCTGCCAAGATGGCTGGCCGCGCGGCGTCAAAGATATCCGCGCCACAGAGAAAGTCGGTGCTGAGCGAGCGAGCGGGTTCCTGCATGACCGCGATGCGCGGCTGGCGCGGCCGCGGGTGCAGGCGCGGGCTCACTGCCACCGCCATGAGCGGGCTCACTGCGACCGCCATGAGCGCCATCATTTTGGGCGCCGTCCTTCGATTAGGCTCGATCAGCAGAGATCTCGATAAAGAAATGTACGGGAACTCTCAAAGTTCCTGCGGAGAGAGATAGGAAGTGGTAGACGCCCGAGGGTGGGCGACGGCTAGCACCACACTCCTCTCCTTAAAATCCCTGTGTGGTGGCGGCGTGCCGTCCTCCCATCCCTCCCTTGGGAAGTCTGTTTTCTTTCTTTTCTCAAAGTTCCTGCGGTGAACGCCATTTCAAAAGGTTGCTCTTGGCGTCCTCTCTCTCTCTCTCTCTCTCTCTCTCTCTCTCTCTCTCTCTCTCTCTCTCTCTCTCTCTCTCTCTCTCTCTCTCTCTCTCTCTCTCTCTCTCTCTCTCTCTCTCTCTCCCCCCCTTGAGCACTTGAGCACTGGATAGGGCCGATTCCGCGTGGTACGGGACCCCTCGATCGTCTCGCCCTCCCTCACTGGTGTGTTCATCGGGGGGGGGTCATAACAAACACGGTACAGGATCGAGGTGCACGCTGCCGAAGCAGTGTCGTCCCCCCTCTCCCCGACGGCGATGGCGGTGTGACCGATCGAGCTACAAGAGGAGCTTGGTCAGCAGGATCCGGGATAGTCAGATGCACTACCTCACTGGGCCTGAGACCATCGTACGACAGCATCCCGTCACCGTCTCGGATTTATGTGGGGTCGAACCACTCCGGGATGGGCAAGCCCATCAATTTTCGTTTCGTCAACTCGTACAGAGCCGCGCTCTCGAGGCGAGACGAGGTGGCCTCCATCCGAGCCGCGCGCGACGACAACATCTACTACACCTTGCGCGGCGGCAAGATCTCTGAGTTCTACCCCAAGGGCGTCAGCCTCCCCACTTCTGAGTCTCTTCCAACACCGGAGTCAGTCATCGATGGCACTTGCAAATCAGGAAGCCCGTACGCGCGGGCGCTTGCTGCCATCGAGACTATCTGGAACTGGTTCGATCTGCAGAAGGAGTGGCGCGCCCTCGACGACTACACGGCAGCCAACTGGCAGCCAGGCGACACCAAAATTAGGTGCCCTGTAGGCTTGGCTGCAAAGGGGATTTTTGTTGTGCCGACTTCGATCTTCGTGTGTGCTCCGCTTCTGAGAGAGAGATTTTTAGCAATACCAAACAACTCTAACACTCACACGTAATTTGGGGCCTGGAGCCCTGTTCACGCGCGCGCGAGTTTTTGTGTCCGCTTCTGAGAGAGAGATTTTGAGACATGAGAGAGAGAGAGACAGACAGAGAGAGAGAGAGAGAGAGAGAGAGAGAGAGAGAGCCGAGATAGAAAGAGAGAGATTTTGAGTGAGACGGTTTAGAGAGAGAGAGAGAGAGAGAGAGAGAGAGAGAGAGAGAGAGAGAGAGAGAGAGAGAGAGAGAGAGAGAGAGAGAGGGAGGGAGGGAGTACTTGGAGCACTTGGAGTGCAGTCATTAACCTCACATCCAGGGCCGGGGAGTACAATTCTTTCTAATTTTATTTCGCCTCGAGCTGTGCTTAAAAGTTAAATATCTCTCTACAACCTCCAATCCCCGTCCTTGCTTGCGTCCCCCCATCGCATGCCGGTGTGTCCAGTCGCTGGCCAGCCTCTTCTAAACCAACACTCCCGTTTCCCAAGAAAAGAAAAGTCCAAGCCTTCCTCGATTTCCGCGAGCGGCGTCTCACAAAAAGCCTAGCCGTCCCGGCGCAAGAAAAGCCTTGCCGCCGAGCTGTCATTCCTTCTGCAGGCCGCGTGCAGCGACGCGCGAGTCCTGGCGGCGCAGCCGCCCCGCCGTGCGGACCATGGCCAACCAGCCCGTCGACGCGCCCGACGACGTGACCTCAGCCGGTAAGTGTCGAGAGCGCCCCCCGGCCAAAAGTCGACGATCCTCGCTCGCCGCCTCGCCCCTTCCGGCGGCGCGGCGGCGCCCGCGACGGGCGGCTCGCCCCACGGCGCACCCCGCCGCCGTAGGTACTCGAGGTGCTCGCCCTCCAACGACGCCGCGGGGGCGGAGGGCCGCGACCCGCTGGGCCGGCTGCCGCCCCCGCGCCTGCCGCCCCCGCGCCGCCCCCGCGCCGCCGTCGGCGGCGTCCAGCGCAAGCGCCGCCGCCGCGTCGCGCGCCGCGCGGGCAGCCTCGACGGACCAGAAGCCGTGCTCGTCGTACCCGGCGTCCCACACGCCCAGCGAAGGGCTGAGTGCCGTCGCGAGACCTCGGCACGCCTGCGCACGCCTGCGCACGCGGCAGAGCGACAGCAGCACCACCCTCGTCGGGCGCCCACGAAGCGTACTCGCGGGTCGCCGCTCCGTCGACCGAAGGCCGAGACACTTGCTCCGACGCCACCCCGCCCCCGCCCCGCCGGTCCGGCACCGATATCTCGGAGGACGACCTAAGGAAGAGCGTGGCGGCGCGTCGCCGGGGGACGGCGCGCTCGTGCTCTCGCCGCGAGATCGAGGGAGGGGGGGGGGGGGGCTGCGCCGCGGAAGAGCTCCGGGGCGAGGGGTGCGTGTGCACCCCCGGCGGAAGAGCGCGCGGGTGAGGGAGGGGGGGGTGCGCGCGCGCCGTCCTGCAGCGTCGCCGGCCGCAGGCCAAGGAGCTCGGCTCCTCGAGAGCACCGACGGACGACGATCGGCTCCTCAGCAGTGGGACGCCGAGCTGGAGGCTCGGCCCGGAGCTCGCGCGGGCACGTGGAGCTTTCCGCTCGGGCCAGCAGGAAACGGGCGCCCCGCACAGCGACGCCCGCCGTAGAGTGCCGAGAGCTCGGCTCGACGCGAGCGCCGAGGAAAAGCGATCGGCTCCGCAGCAGTGGGAAACCGAGCTGGAGGCTCGGGCGGGAGCTCGCGCGAGCACATAGCGAGGTGCGTGCGCGGCGGCGTGACACAGGTGAGCGGGCAGCTGGCGCACATTTCGACTGTGGGAGCTGCCAGGAGTTTGCTCTCTCCGTTCACACCCCTTTGCAGAATACGTCTACGCGAGTCCATCCGCTACGTCTCAACTGCGCAGCCTTACGCGGGGCGGTGGCTCGACACAAAACTCGACGGCAGCAATGCCACATGCATTCCAGACGACATATTCATCGGCGAGCTTCAGCGCCGAAACGGCCTTCACCTCTCGCAGTGCCGCTCGACTGTCACGCGGGCACTCGAGCTTGGGGACACAGTCGGTGGTGCAAAGGACTACCATGGCGACTGGTTCCTCAACAACGCCGCCCGGCGGCGCCCACACGACGGCGTACTTCGCGCCTGGTACGATTGTGTCCACGCCGTCTCCGTCTCCCGGCCCGTTATGGGAGATGCCGAAAAACCAGAACTCACCAAACAGTTCAACGAGGGCTACAAGACCGACCTGGCTGAACCGGGCGAGGCTCCCGGGGGCAAAGACGAGATCAGTGAGGTCAAACTTTGGACCCCCCTCCGGGGTGGCTTGCCCGTTGGGGTCGGCCGCGCCGACACCGGAGGCAACCCCGGCTCCGTTGGAGACAAGTTCGCCTTCGGCAACACCGAAGAGCGCGCCCGCCTTGCAAACATGGGCTGCAAGCAACGCGGGTTCCGTGGTCAACGGGCGTTCGACCACACCACCGGCCAAGGCTACGTCAAGTCACAGCGTGGCCACTACCATGATGGGATCTTCACCAAACGCAACAAGTTCAACCTGCTTCTCCACGAGACATTCGGCGGCGGCTTCTCGCCGCCAGCAGTTGCAAAGATCAACCGCCTTGCGCGCAAGGCTCAACGCTCGGGCGTTGACCGCACCGCGTACCCTCCCCACTCCCGCCTCTCATTTGTGTCACACCACGCGGAACGCATCTCCATCGCTTCGGTGAAGGGGGTGAACCGTGCCATCCTCGATCGCCGTGCAAAGCTCGCTTCCGAGCTCTCACGCCGCGCGTAGGGCCCTTAGGGGCCTAGAGAACACAACCCCCTCTCTCTTTTCTCCCAGTAAGCTATAAGTACGTACGTACACTGGAAAAAAGCTTGACCAATAACTGGAAAATCGTCGCAACGACGGGGTGTGTTGCGTCCGTCCACTGATTGCTGCTGACTGGGTGGCGTGTGTTGTTCGCCACGCAAGCAAGCGGGCTCGGCGCTGTGCGGAGGGCAGGAAGGGCAGCAAGCGTGGGTGCCCTCGGCGACGCCCCGCCCATGTGCCGCTCGGGCGTGCAGGGGCCCACGGCGGCGGCAGCGGCGGCGGCCGCCGCGTGGGTGGCGTCGGCATGGAGGAGCAGCAGCAAGTGGCCTCTGGAGAGGAAGCGGTTGGTTGCAATGGTGGCGACCGCAGCGGTCCTCCTCGCGTGCACCCAGCGCCTCATTCAGCGAGGCTTTGGCAACGAGGACAACGACTGCAGCCTCGAGCTGAGGGCGAGTCGGCCATAGATGAGCCTCGCGGGAGATATGTACGCACCGGCCGGCCATACGCTGAGAGACACCGCCGCCCACCGCGCGTCCCCGCATCGCAGGAAATTCTCGAGCTGCGCCGCGCTCTGGACTGGTACCGAAGCGCCTTTCTCAACCTCCTTCTGCTGTTCGCGGGGATGTGCATCTGCGCTACGTGGTGGCTGCTGAACGGAAGCCAGCGGGCCGCGACGCAGCGGCCCGAGGCCCAGGCCAGCCCAACCGAAGCCGACGTGCAGCGAGAAAAGACCCTGGCCCTCTTTGGCATCTCGCCGCCCCAAAAGCGAAGTAGGCCAGGGTAAGACGATTGTGCATGGAGATGATGCCGTGTGCGGCTTTGCGCCACAACCTGCTCACCTTCGCGCGGGCGTGTGCTGTGGGTGCGCACGGCTGAACGACCCGGAGCGGACACGACATAGCTCGAGGCTGGCTCAGACCACATCCCGAACGCTGCTGCCAGTGGCCACGAGAGCGGCGCCAGCCACACACGCGTCCAAGCAACTCTAGCCCCGCCGCGCTTTCACTCATCGTCTCTCGCGCAGTCGCTGCTCATCATCCATTCGCCGCCGACAGTGCAAGGAACATGAACGGATTACGAATGATACGACGACGAGGGAGAGATGAGCACAGCTGCGCCTCGCGGACCCGGAAGGGCACGCCATTTGTGTTTGTGTCCAACCCAGGGGAGACTGTGTCTGACCGCTCAAGTGCTCAAGTGTGTTAAAATGCCGAGCCGCAGCGGCTGGGCATCGCGCGTTCACCTTTTTTAGTTGTTTTTGTTGCGTTTCTTCTACGCGAAGAATTGGCAAGGCCTAGGGCAACCAGCAACGTATCTCAGTCGTTCTTCTTCCGGCCTCCGCAACGTGAATTTGAGTTTTGAGAGCTTGTAGCCTGTGCGGCGAGGGCGGTCGCTCGAGTGCACGGAGCTAAGTGCCTCGCCGCCCTCGCAGGAGTCGCTCAGGCGGCTCCCGTGGTGTGTGTTGGTGCAGTCCGCGGCGGGCCGCACTTGGAGCACTTGGAGTGCCGCGTTTCTCGTCTTTTTGGCAAGTGTGTCACTCGCTTGCGTGACTCGGGGCGCAGCAGCAGCAGCATGTCCATAGTGTTACCGCTAGAGCACCACCACAGCTCTCATCCGCGGCAGCTGCGAGAGGCGCGCCTACGATTAGACCGACGGGCTGCCGCTTTGCACAACGCGACCGAGGGCAGCGAGCAGCGCCGGCTGTCTGACTCCAGCACGGACACGTTGCCTAATAACGCCGTGCTGCCGCTCTCCGGCGACCTCGTGGGCTCGGGCTACTACGCCGTCGTCCTGCACATTGGGACGCCGCCGCGGCCCTTCTCGCTGATAGTCGACACCGGCTCCTCCGTCACAGCGATCGTGTGCGCCGGGTGCGACCGTTGCGGCAGGCATGCCAACGCACGGTTCGACCCCGAGTCGTCGCACACGTTCGCGCGCGTGCCGTGCTCGGAGGCGCCACAGTGCACCTCGTGCCAGAAGCACACCTGCTCCTACTCCGTGTCGTACCAAGAAGGCTCCTCCTACTCCGGCTTCCTCGGGCGGGACCTCCTCCATTTCCCGCTGCCTGCACTGAGCCCTAACGAGCGGCTAGAGCGCGATGGCGGACGGCGTGGCCGCGCGCTGGCGCGGGCGGCGCCGCAGCCGCGCTGCGCCTCCTTCAGCTTCGCCTTTGCCTGCTCCACGGCCGAGACAGGCCTCTTCCGCTCGCAGCAGGCGGACGGCATCATGGGCCTCGCCTCCTCGCTCTCGCACGGCACCGCGACGGCGCGGCGGGCCGACGGCTGGTCAGCGGCCGGGCGGCGCCGCGACGCCAAGGGACAGAAGGCGCGCTCCGGGGGCGCGGCCCAGCGTGCGGTCCGTGGCGAGGGGCGCGGTTTGGACGGTCGGCGCCTGCTCGACCAGCTACGGCGCGGCGACCGGGCGGAGGTTGGCCGGGCGGACGGGATCAGCGCGACGCAGCGCGACGTCGATGGCGTTTTCGAGCCAGACCGCACGCTGCCGACGGTGCTGGAGGAGCTCGTCTCGCAGCGGCGCGTGGCCAACGTCTTTGCGCTCTGCATGTGCGGCCGGAGAGGCACTCTCACTCTCGGGCCTCCGCGGTCCGACCCGCGCCGCGCAACTTCTTGGACGGCGGCCAAGGGGGACTCCTTCTACGGCGTGCAGCTGCAGCGCATCCAGCTGGGCGCCACGGCTCTCGCGCCCAAGGAGCCGCCCGCAGCGACAATCGTCGACTCTGGGACAACATTCATGTACTTGCACTCGGCCGCCTTCCTGCCCCTGCTCGCAGCCATGCGCGCGCGCCGCTGTGTCACGCTCAAGCCCGCCGCGGCGCCCTCGGACGAGTTTTGCGTCCGGCTGCCGTTCGGCGGCTCCTTGGCGCTGCTCGACCGCTGCTACGACAACGTCACCGTCGTTCTCCCCGGCGCGACGCTCTCGATGCCGCCCTCCGCCTACTTTTACGCTGCCGAGGATGCGGGCCAATACTGCATGGGAGTCTTCAACAACTACGAGCGGGCGCTCGTCCTCGGCGCGCCTCTCGCCACCCACCCCCACCCACGCCCCCCGCCCCACCCACCCCGCCCCCACCCCGCCCCCACCCTTCACCCCGCCCTCTCCCGCAGGCGCAATCAACATGATGTACCGCGAGGTTCGCTGGCCACTCGAGCAGCACTCGAGATGACACCTACTCCGCTGTATGTATTCCTCTGTACTCGCTGTACGCATAGCCCTCGTACTCACGCGGTGCTCTCAATACACGGCTCAATACCCCCCCCCCCCCCTCTTTGGTGCACGCATCACGCAGGTCATCTTCGACCGCCTCAACCGCCGCATCGGCTTCCGTGCTGCGGACTGCACCCTCGACGCGGCCTCGGGGCAGGAGGCTGCCGCTCTCGGGGCGTCGCTCCCGCCACAACTGCGCATCAACGCGTCGGCAGCGGCGGCGGCGGCGGCGGCGGCAACGGCGGTCGCGGCGGCGGAGATGGCGCGAGCGTGCGCTGCGCCTCAGCGTGGCGTCGTGCAGGCGGCCCTGGCTGTGCTCGTGCGCTTGCGCGAGGGCACCGCTCGCTCGTCGGGGTGGGTCGTTGGGGCGTGGGGCGGCGGGACGGAGTGGCTGCTGCTCGCCAGCTGCCTGCTCTCCGGCGCACTCCTCTCCGTCGCGCTCCTCGAGGGGTGGCGGTGCGTCTGCATGCGTTTGCGCGCGGTACCAATTTGATGCGAATGCACGCGGAGGATCTGGAGTTGTGAACAGCACCGGAGCGATGTATTTGATGACGCAAGCAGGAGGAGCGAGGTATTTATGTATTGGTAAGGCAGATAAATGCCGCAAGAAGACACGCAAAAACGAGAAAAACAAAAAGAGATTTTTAGCGTATGGCCCGCGCGCGAGACGGACGCTCCCCACACACACGCTCGGTCCTCATCTATGAACTCTGCCCCATCGTTGTGTGGTTGCAGTATCTGTACTCCTCGGCGCGAATGCTGCAGAAATTTTTCAAAGAAAAAAGTTGGGCGAATCCAGCGGGTCGTCCGTCTTATACGATCGTGTTAGGCTCTTAGCCGTGTATCCGGGGGTGGATTGGAGTGGTCGCATCGAGTGTTGCACGTTCCGGCTCGCATCGAGCCGGCTGTGGGCTGGCCGCGGTGCGATATGATCACGCTCAGCTGCATCGGCTTCGCAACGGGCTACGGCGTCGGCGCAAATCATGAGAACTGCGAGTACGAGTTCGACCAGCCCGTCTGTAACGACAAGGGCAATGTCTATATTCGAAAGAGTCAGTGGGATGAAGACGAAGGAATCTGGACGGCTTCGGAGGCCAAGATGTATCGCCGCAAGTCCGACTACTGCAACGAAAACTCTGGCCATACAGGCAGCGAGCTGTCGGGGTGTGTCTGGGCGCCCCTCCCCGAGTACACCTATCAAGCGAAATGCAATTGGGTAAAGAAGAACGAATTCTCGTGCTAGCGCTCCCACGCCGCTTCTACTGCAGCCACACATCACGGGCTCGCACCGCCCGCTGGCCCGATGCCAAATTCGAGGCCACCTCGGCTCTACCCACCGCCGCGCCGCCACTGCTTGGCTAAGGCTAGAGCCGCAGAGCCACTTCTAGAGCGCCACACATAGAGAGTTGTGAGTTTGTTGCCCCAGCGCCCAGACTGCGGCAGTGGGCCCCCAGGACTGTAACCCCAGGCGTGTTAGTGTCAGAAATCTGGAGCCATGTGACTTAGCCATTTCGTTCGGCACACTCCACACACATATCAGCGCCGGTCATCAGCCAGGCCACGACCTGCAGGTAGCGCGCCACCTGCCCTCACGGTGGCCTAAGACGTGTTGGCCACGTCGACCGCCGCGGAGAGCGAGCAATCCGCCTCGAGGCCAACATACGCGCAGACCCCCGAGTCGAGACACCACCAGAGAGGTGTCACGTGTCAGGTGAGCTGTGTGGCCCACAGAGCTCCGCGCGCTGCGCCGTCCTTGTGCGTAACCGCTTCCCGGCACGCTGCCACGTGTAAACATCCTTAGTGTTCAATATGTTCAATACCAATCTTAGTGTTCAAGAGCACAGTTCCTTACTACTCCTCTACTCTCGCACGCCCCGACAGTCACGTGCACGCCAAAAGCAGTGAGAAAAGCGGTGGCCTCTTCTCCCGGTGCCTTCTCGCCTACCTCAGATCTCGTCAGGCAGGTCAAAGGAATACCCCTCGTCAAATAGCGCGCCCAGCTTACTTTCCCTCTCCTGCTCGGCCGCGTCCGCCACCTTGCCCGGAGCAGCGGACGCGGCGAGCGCAATCGCAGAGAGCAGCTGCTGCGCTTTCCGCATCTGCGGCGAGCGCTCGTGCACGCCGGCCTGCGTCGCGTCGCGGATCGCGAGCTTAAGCAAGCTGACCGCCGCCTCCGGCGGCACGCCGCCCGCCTCGTCCAGCACCGCCGTCAGCCGCTCCTCGGCTAAACCGACCGGGTTGATGTTCTTGCGCGAGTCCTCGAGGTCCTGACGAGTGAGGGTGCCGCCGCCCACGGCGCCAAACATCTCAATCTTGTCCACGTCGGTTGCGAGGTTCGACGCCCGCCGCGGCGTTGCCGTGCCATTCACCGGACTCGGCGCGGCTGCATCAGCGCCCTGCCTTTTGGTCTTTGCGTCCTGCTGCCGCCGCCACTCCATCTCCGACAGGCAGCGGACTGGCGGCGTGCAGCGAGAGGGCGCGCGCACGACCGCCGGCCGCGCGGCGGGCTGCAGCATCATCGGGAAAGCAGAGAGCAAAATCATTGCCGTCTCGGTGTGGGGGGGTGCGATGCAAAGATAGGCACGCCAGAGCAATTTCTTTTTCACGCGCGTAAATTCTTTTTCAGCCGAAAAAGAGGACTTAGCAATCAAATGGCACGGACAGAGACGTTAGTTTTGGCGTGTCCCTTTAATTTATTTAGCAGTAACTTAGTTTTAACATACTACTCACGCACCACGTGCAACATTATTGGGCTTTTGCGCGGCAGGTTGGGGTTGTTCTCCGGGTCTCGATTGTCCGCTCTTTTCGACATGGTTGCGATGGTGCTTGAACCACACGTACGCGCCCAGCGACGATCCGTTGCTGACCGAGACCTCCAGCGCCCCGCTGCACACGATCGCATCGAAGAGTGCTACTTGCTGCGGGTACGGGAGCGTCGCTTTCAGCTCCTGAAATTCTGAGCCGTACACAAATCGCCGCGAGGGCTCGTGCTTCGAGAGAAAGGTTTGTGCAATCTTGATGTTGTCTGTGCACACATACACGGGCGCCCCATCAGCAGGCAACGTCTTGACGAAACTGAGCCCGCGCGCGAGGGTGGCGGCGCGTCTTGGGATGAAGGGCGACCGCTCCTGCTCCCACTCGGATCCCGAGAGGCGCAGCTGCACGCAATGGTAGCCGCCGCTCCAGGAGCGTATTCGCCTCATTGCTTCGGCAGCGGCGGAGTGGATGGGCGCTGTGGGCTTGAACCCCGGAAAGAACGCCCCGTCGCGGGTGGTGAAAGGGAGGGTGCCAAACTGTAGCACGTCAACATAGGACGTAGGGTTGACCAAGCAGCACATGCTGCGAACCGCGATGTACTGGCTCGTTGGCCGATTGGCGGGGTCAGTCGCCTCAAAGTACGGGTAGCACTGCCTGCTCCACTCTGGCTCCGCCCTGCAGAGCGCGTACTGCGCGCGTGGCGGGACTCGTCTCGCGGCCGAGTAGTTGAACACCTTCTGCGGGAACGACCACCTCGTGTTGCACCTGTGCGACCACGCCAGCGACAGCTTCGTCAGCCTGGGGAGAAGCGCAAGGGCCTCGTCATGTGCAATAGTCGCCACCCCGAGCTTGCCCGTCTCGATCAACGATTCGAGCGGAATGTGCGGACTCCCCGCGAAATCCACTGTCGGGGTGTTGGCCAGCTCCGCGGTGCAGGTCCGGGGCGCCGTCGGCGCATCTCTCCATGCGGCAAAGATTGGCATCGAGGTGGACAGCACGGGTGGCAGGATCAGGGTCCTTCCCGCAGTACGCGCCATTTGGACTGCCGTCTTGAGCTGAAAGAGCTGGTTGAACGTGCCCCCGTTTGGCTGATACGAAAGATACTGCTTGGTCCTTGCGGACCCGCTCTGCTGCGTGGTCGCGTCTCCTCGAACGGGGTCCACCACTTGGGCTGGCAGCTCCGGCCGCACTAGCAGTTGAGCCCTTTGAGTTGGAGATAGCAAGGCGCTTCGCGGCGGAGACGTCGGCGGAGGCGGCAGAGGAGGCGTGTGCAGAGGCGGCGGGTGGTGTCGACGAGACGTCGTTGCTGGCGGTGGTGGAGGCGGCGGAGGCGGCGGAGGCGAGGAAGGTGGCAGCGGCGGCGGAGGCGGAAGAGGCGGCGGCGGTGGAAGAGGAGGTGAGGAGGGTGGCGGCGGCGGCGGAGGTGGCGGAGGCGGCGGTGGGAGAGGAGGTGAGGAGGGCGGCGGCGGCGGCGGCGGCGGCGGACGCGGCGGAGGAAGAGGAGGTGAGGAGGGTGGTGGAGGCAGCAGCGGCGGCGGAGGCGGCGGCGGAGGCAGAGGAGGTGAGGAGGGTGGCGGCGGCGGCGGAGGCGGAGGAGGCGGCTGCTTTGGTTGACCTGCAAGTCGCGGCGGCTCAAGGCGCGCGCCTCTACTGGGCGGCGGCTCGAGGCGAGGACCTCCAGCCGCATCTGAAAGGGGGTTCGCCTGTGAACTGGCAGATGCCGGCCGAGTCGGCCATGGAGCGGGCGCGCACGCCGCTCTTCATCGCGAGCAAGAAGGGCCGTGCGGACGCCGTGAGGCAGCTGCTGCAGGCGGGCGCGTCTGTGGACACGCGACCCACCGCGTCGGGCCGCCGCCCGTGCGACGCGCTCGCCGCTGCCGCCGCCGCCGGGCACGCGAAGTGCGTGAAGTTGCTGCTCGACGCAGGTGCGGACCCGGGCGACACGCTGCGAGTCCTGCGGACCAAGCGCGGGTTCCGCCTCTCGCAGCGAGCGCTTCGGGCCGCTATCGAGGCGGCCGCTGCCTCCGCTTCTGACGCGGTCAAGAGCCCGGCCACGGCACCGCAGCTGCAGGCCCCAGTACAGCCGCAGCCGCAGCCACAGTCCCCGCAGCAGTCCCACTTCTTTGCGACGATACCTCCCGATGCGGTACTCGGGCAGCAGCTGACGATCGCAGCGCCAAACGGCACGTCCATCTGGTTCCGAGCTCTGCCTGCCGAGTGCATGCCCGGCTCGCAGGTGCAGATCGCGCATGACCCGGCCTCCGCCCCGGGCACCGTTCAGCTCGTCCCTGACCCGGCCGTGGTTCACTCCCTGCGGGCGATGGGCTATCCGACCTCGCACGCCGTGCGCGCAGCGCTGCACGAGTTCGGCACAGAGGCGTGTGTGGCTTGGATCTTCCGTGAGCTCAAGCCGCAGCCGCTCCGGTCGAGCGGGGCGTCGGCGTCTTCATCGACTCTCTCCATTCCGCCCCTCGAGGTGAGGACGCTAGGCCGCGCTATCGATCACACCGGCACCCACCTCACGAGCCGGTTTTAGGCGTCCAAGATGGAGTCCGAGCCGGAGCGGGCGGCGCTGCCAGCCCCCGCCGCGGGGTCCCCGGCGACGACGGCACCGCAGCCACGTCCGCCGACCGCGCCGCCGCCGCCGGCCGCCCCTGTCAGCAGTGCACCATGAATTGTGTGTTCGGGAGAATCTTTGCGACGCATCTCATCGTCTCGCTGCCTCGTCGCCGCGCGGAGGAGTTGCTAATAGTTTTTTATTTTATTAAATTTTTTATATATTATTAAATAAATAAAAATAAAAAAAAATTGCAGAGTGTCGCGCGCTTGGCAATGATCTCGTTCTGGCTCGCGTCTTCCACGGCGTCGGCCGCCTTCTTGCCGTCGGCGTCGCCGACTGTGCCGCTCGAGCTGTCGCGCCAGCAGAGCCGTCCGCTCTTGCGAATGGCCGCTTCGGACGAACCGGCGCCGCGGGTGCGCGTCGAGCTCGTGGCTCAACGCTCTGCTGTCGGCAGCCTCACCGCGCCGCAGCAGCAGCAGGAGTCGGAGACCGCGGTGGGGGTGCCGCCCCCGAGCGCCGCGGTGCCCGAGCCGCCGAGCCTCGCGCAGCGCGCTCGCACGCCCTTCATCGGCCTCACGGTCCTCGCGACGGCGGCTGCGGTCGGCATCCAGTCCAAGCGGCTGTACAAGCAGAAGGTGGAGCAGCTGCTGGCCGACTTTGCCGCGACGATGATGGCGTACCTGGGCAACGACGCCGAGATGGCCGCCACCGTCCGCTCCTTCCGCCAGCAGCTGGGGCCGGGCTCCTTTCGCGAGCGCATGTTCACAAAGTTTGTGACGGCGCTCGTCAACGACAAGCCGCTCGGTGTGCCGGCGATTCAGCAGCTCAAGAAGACGATCGAGCTGATGAAGCTGGGCGAGGAGGTGACCGCCGCCGGCTTCGCCGACGCCGCCGTCGAGCTCTCCAAGAAGCCTGCCATGCTCGGCGCCACCGCCCGCCCCGCCCACCCTTCGGCCCGTCCGCTCTGACGCCCTACCCGCCAGAGGCCAGTCCTGGTCCGCCACCGCGCCGCCGCCGCCGCTGCGCAGGAAAGCTGACCTTCCTCGCGGAGCGGGCTGCCCCTGCCGCCGCGCGCTCGGCGGAGCTGCGCGCCAAGTTCCCGAACTGGGACGCCGACACGGTCGGCACACTGCAGGTCACCTTGGGGGGAGAAAGAGGTCAGAACGAGGTCACCCTTGGAGAAGGTCACCCTCGGGAGAAGCCGCGCCGTGCCACGCCCGCTTGCCTGATGGCGGCCAGAGTCGTGCTAGCCACCTCCGAGCCACTCCCTTGCGACCTCTGCCTCCGCCGACGCCCTCACCAGCTGCCTCTCCGTGACCCCCACCTCACGCCCCCGCCTGGCCCGTCTGCGCAGCGAGCGATGCTCGAGAATCTGTACCGCGAGATGTGCCACCCGCTCGCCGACGGCGCGCGCCCCCCGGGGAGAGAGAGAGGGAGAGGGGGAGGGGGAGGGGGAGGGGCGGGGAGGAGGCAAGATGCATCGTCGGCCGCCTCTCCGCTCTGATCTCCATCACCCTCCCTCCCCGCCCCATCCTCCCATCACCCTCCCTGCCGCCTTCACCTCCACCGGCGAGATAGATGTACACGGAGCCGTCTTCCGCTGCTCCCCCCTCACCCGCGCGTGCACCCCCGGCTCGGGCGCAGGGTCCGAGCCCCCCGCCGGCGGGGACGTGCTCCTCCTCTCGCCCGCCGACTGCGCGCGGCTGATGAGCGAGACGCAGGCGCCGCGACTATAGCCGAGACTAGCGGAGACTAGCGGAGACTAGCCGGGACTCGCCCAAGTTAGCTGATGCGCAAGACGCAGGCGCTGGAAGGAAGAACCCCTGCCTCCTCCTCCCTCCTCCTGCTAGTTGACGCTTCATCGATGTGAGACACGTACAACTCTCGAGACACTCTCGAGACACTCTCGAGGCACTTCCGAGCACACTCCCTCCCTCCGCCGGGCGCAGGCCGCGAAGAAGGAGGCGATTCGTGTCGCGGCGGAGGAGGAGGAGGAGCGGCAGCGCAAGGCGCTCCTCGAGGTGACCTCGAGATCAGCCGAGATTAGCCGAGATCAGCCGAGATCAGCAGACGGGCGCTCCTCGAGTGACCAGGATCCGCACCGCCCGCCGACACCTCTCATCGCCACGCATACCCTCCCCCACCCTCACCGCCACCCTCACCGCCACCATCTCCGCCACCATCTCCGCCACCATCTCCGCCACCATCTCCGCCACCCTCACCGCCGCCGTCGCCGCCGCCGCCGCCGCCGCCCTCCTAGAACTGGCTGCCTCCGCCGCCTTCCCCGCCCGCCTCTCCACCCTCGCCGCCGCCCCTGCCGGAGCCTCGGCCGGGACGTGCTAGTTCACGATGCACAGCCCCGACTCCTCTCGCCTCTGATCGGTGCGCATAGGACGCGGTCAAGGGGTCGGAGCCGGGGGGCCGCCCCGGCGAATGAGAGACGGGCGAAGCGACTTCGGCCGACGCGAGGCACCGGTCCCCGTGGGCGGTACTGCGGGCAGCACAGGCGCCGCATCCGCGTCGAGGTGGCCGTCGGTCGGGGGCGGGATGGGGCGCGATCTCTCCCTGGACGACGGGACGGGGCGCAAGATGCTTGCCTCGGGGGCGAGGGCGGCAGGAGGGGAAGGGGTGGGGGCCGGGGGACCCGTGCACCTGAGAGGCGTTGCGTTCGGACTCCAGCCCCCAGGGCCCCAGGAGCGCGTCGGTGTGTGACGAGGACGCGCGACACTCTCTGTCGTCAGTGTTTGGCCGCGACCGCCGGCGACGCCGCGCCGCCGCGGTGGGTTCCTGCGGATTTTGTTAAACCCACTCCCGCTCAAGTCCCGGCTCAGGATAGCGCGCCCCGCGCCCTGTGCAGGCGCCCCGGCGCGCTCCCCACACCCTGCTCTCAACTTTTATACCCCACACCTCGAGGCTCACATAACCGCGGCGCCGGCGGCCGGCGGGCGGCGCGTCGCAACACCACGGGGGGCTCTAGTGGAAGTAGTATACTTTCCTAGGGATCGCACTCCGTCACGCTCTGGTGAGTCACACTCTGTCACTGTGGGACCAGCCCCTTGGCGCTCAGCAGCCGCTTGTGCCTCTGCGCGTGCGCACTCTGCTGCGCGAGAACCTTCGCCTCTTCGAGCGTCAGGCGCCGCTCGCCCGCGGCGTTGTTGAGGCTCAGGCTGATGAGCGAGGGCAGCGCCCCCGGCGCCTCCAGCGCGTTTCCGAGCGCCCGCCGGCCCTCCGCCCCGACGCGGTTGCCAGAGAGGTCGAGCACTTTGAGGCGACGCATGCTGCCGCCGCGGAGCGCCGCCGCCAGCGCGCACACGCCGCCGTCCGAGATCCGATTCTGAGGGAGGCCGAGGTACGTGAGCCGCTCAAGCTGCTTTCTGCGCGCAAGCGAGGCGAGCGCCGCCGCGTCTGCATCGCTGAGGCTCCTCTGCCCCCACACCAGCCGCGTAGCCACGAGCAACGCCGCGCAGGTGGAGCCCGCCTTGGCGCAAAGGCTCCGCACGCCGCGGTTCTCGGCCTGCAGCGCCGCGAGTGGCGCTCGCAGCCGCTCTCGTAGGGCGCGGCAGCACGAGGCAAGCCTGCCGGCGCCTCTTGGGTCGAGAGGACACAGCACCGCGGCGCACAGTGCACCAAACGTGTCGTCGTCCAGCTCCAGAAGCCATGGCTCGTTAGGGCGGAGGATGACTCTCGGATTCTTCCTGGCCACGGGCTGCGATTGCAGAGCAGCTCGCCGTGCCGCCAACCGCGCCAACTCGGCGGCAGCAGCCTGCGCTGCGAGCGCCGGAGCGTCTCGCGCGCTCACGGCAGGAGCCTTGCGAGAGCTCCTGCGGCCGAGCATTTGTAACTACTGCCCGGCGGCAAAGTAAAAACAATTAACCAAACTGGACACGACACGGGCTAGGATAAATTCTCCGTTCTCGCATGGGTCGCCCCGTGGTGTACCTGTGTTGGTGCCTAGGTTCCTTGGTGCCAGTGCGCGCCAGAAAGAAAGAAAAAGAAACCGGCACGCCAGAAATAAATAAATAAAAGGGGCACGCCAAATGAGGGGTGGGAGAAGGACAGGGTCCCCACCTGCACGAGCAGGATCTTGTAAGGACGATCCGGCCGATAAGAATTCTTTCCCGGGGTGCGACCCTTGTCGGTCTGGTCGCACACAAAACACGGATATGTCCTCCGGTCTTTGCCTCCTCGACGAGCTCGACGAGGTCCTGGCGGCGAGCAGCACAGCCCCTGCACCTCGAGCAGCTCCGGCCGCGCCAGCAGCGGCACCGCCGGCGCTGCCGCCGCCCGCCGCCATCGAGCGCGTGGCCATCGTGCAGGCGCAGACGCGGCTCGACTCGTCGGGCGCCCGCTTCGGTTCCTTCACCGTCCGCGCCCTCCTGGACGGCGGTGGCGCGCTTGAGACGGAGCGGCGCTACTCGGACTTTGTCGCGCTTCACAGCGAACTCGCCACGGCCCTCGCGCTCGACGACGCCTTCCCGGTCGCCGCGTCGGCGCTGCCCTTCAGCCTGCTCTCCGCCCGGGCGGAGCTGCTGCGCCGGCACGAGCTGCAGCAGTACCTACGCGACGTGACCGCGCGTGCGGCCGGCTCACCGGCGCCGGCGCCGCTCCTCGCCTTTCTGCAGCCGCCGCCCTTCACCGCGACGGCCACTCCTGCGGCCGAGTGCGTCGCTGCGCTGCCGACCGCGGGCAGCCGCACGGCTCTCGCCATCCTGCGCGCCCACCTCTCCAATGGTGCGCTGCAGCGCGCCGCCGCGGAGCGCATCGCATCCCTCTCAGAGGGAGGAGAGGCGACCAGCGCGCAGGCGGAGCTCGTGGTCGCTGGCGCGGCCGAGGCGCTCACCGCTGCGCTTAGGCGGGCGGTGCAGCCGGCGGGCGGCCTGCGAGCCACCCTCTCGGGGCCGCCCACTGGCCACGAGGCTGCCGCCGCCGCCTGCCGCGCCCTGTGCGCGTTGAGCTGTGGTGCTCCCGCCCGCCGTGCGCCAGCCAGCGTCTCCCTAGGTAGCCTTGCCCGCACCGCCACCGGGACCTCCCTTAGGCTGCCAGCCATGGCACGGCGCGGCGCGAGAGGCGCTCGAGCGGTGCGGCGCGCTGCAGCGCCTCTGCGACGCGATGGCGCACGCGCCGTCAGGTCGAGACCTTTCCGTGACCTTTCCGCGACACGTCCATGACACGTCCATGACATGCGCCACAGGCGCACGCGCCGTCCGCCCCGCTGATCGCCGCCGCGGCCGCCACGGTCGCCGCTCTGACCGCTGCCTCGCGCGAGCCCGCCGGCGTCGCGTCTCACTTTGCCTTCACCGCGGCCGGCTTCGTCGTGGCGGGCGCACGCGCCTAGATGCGGAATCAGATCAGTGTGTTCCGACGAGCGCTCGAGAGGACACGCACTCCGCTGTATTCGTCGTCTCATAACCCTTGTACTCACGCGACGCCCTCGATACTTGGGTGTATTCATACCTCAGGCATGCTCGACCACCCGAGCACACTCCGGCTGCAGCTCGCTTGCTGCGGTGCCGTGCACGCCCTCGCCCGCCGCTCGCCCGCTCTCGGTGAGACCCTCGCCACCGCCGGCGCCGCCGCTGCATGCGTCGGCGCGATGAACCGGTTCCGCTCTGCGGGCGCTTCCTCGTCGAGGCTGCAGGCTGCCGCGTGCGCCGCCCTCGGCGCTCTGCTCCCGCATGCGGCGGCGATGCGGCAGCTGGAGGAGGGCGGCGGCCTCCGCTTGCTGCTGCGGGCGGTGGCCGAGCACGGCTCTGACTCGCCCGCCGACGCCGCCGTGAGCATGTGCGGCTGGCGCGCAGTGCTCGCTCTGCTCGGCGCGCCGGGAACGGCGTCCGCCGCGGACGCCGCCGCGGACGCCGCCTCGCCCTCGCCGCTGATCCACTCGCTGACGCCGACCCTCGCGCAAGCCGAGCTCCTGCCCCTCCTCTGGCTCTCCTTGCGCGTCCACCGGTCGCAGCCCGCCGTGCTGTGCGCGTGTGCGGCCGCCCTCTCCGCCCTGGCGTGCGAGGACGCACGCCGCGCCAAACTGGGGCGCACCGACCTCTTCTGCAGCGCCGAGCGAAGAGGCGCGCTGCAGGCGATCGAGGCGGTCGAGGTGCTCTTGCCAGGCGTGCGGGACGCAACCCTTGCCCGCACGCTCTGCCGCGCGAGCGACGCCCTCGTCGCCGTCGCCGGCTCGCGAGGCTGGCTCGCCCCTGCGGAGCTGGCTGCGCTGCACGCCTCCCTGCGGGCCGCCGGCGCCGCAACTGTGATCGAGTATAGCGACGAGCATCGCCGCGCGTTGAGGCGACTCGAATGCGCGCAAGAGTTGGCGGCGGCGGCGGCGGCAAGGAAAAGGGGGGCACGACCGTCGGTGGTTGGCCAGCCTCCGCAGCCTGTGCAAACGTAAGTTTAGCTAAGGGCCTCGTGAGGGTGTGCTGAGTGTTCCCTGTGTGTGTTGCGAGCTCAGAGTGTTTCCGCATTCCACGGTCTACGTACGTGCGTGTAATGTGATCCCCTTCGAGCTTCGTCGCGCAGCGGGGACCACACCCACAAAGAACCCTGCACAAACATCGCAAGGGCGGGGACCTGTTCCTTTTTACCCATCTCACAGTAGAGGTGTCCGTTTTATTTATTTATTTAGCGGGGACCGCGGCGGCGTGGTGAGCAGTGAGAGCAACAGAGCAGCCGGTGTGCGGTGAGCGGTGTCGGCCGGTGTCCCCCACACACACTGCCACTTAAGAGTTGAGAATGAGTCTGAAAACAAACTCCGAATCGTTACGTATGTGTATGCTGCACGCTCCACGCTGCACCACACACACACACCATGAAGCACATCCCGATTCCCGTGGATCCCGACGAGGCAGAGATAGATTTTCTAGCTGGGCGAGTGCAACGCCGAGCGCCGAGCGGGGGACGCGGCGCGCGGCGGGGGGGGAGCGCGCGGCCGACGCTGCGACGCGCGTCGCTGGGAGCTCTCGCTCCTCTCCCGGCTCGGCATCAGCCACCACGATGGAGACTACTGTGGCAGTGAACATGTCTCCTCATCCAATCGCCTGCTGGAGAAGCCTGCTCAGCCGCTCCTTCTCCTCCCTCTCCTCTGCTAGCTCCTGCTGCAACCTCTGCACCTGCGCCGTGGCGCTCCTCTGGCCCTCAACTTCTTCTCTCAACGTGTGTGCTTCCGCCTGCAACGCAGCCACGGTCTCCTCCGCCGCCTCAAGCAGCTGCGTCTTCTCGTAGAGCTGGTCATTCATCTCCGAGATCTCCTCATCCTTCGCCGACTGAAGGTCGTCCAGCTCATCCCTCGCACGAATCAGCTGCAGTGCCTCCGACTCTTGCTTCCTGCGCAGCTCCTCGGCGCTCGCGGCGGCTTGCTTTGCATGCTCCGCCACGGCCTCTGCGCGCACAAGCCGCTCCTGCAGATCCGACTTGGCGGCGGTGGCGTGGCTCAGCTGCGCCTTGGCCGCACGGAGGTCCGCCGTCGCTGCTCGCGCCGGCGCCGCTCCGTCCTTTTGCAGACTGAGCAGCAGCGAACTTCGTTGCTCCCTCGTCGGCGGCCTGGAGCTGTCGGTGTTGGCGTCGTCGTGCGTTCTCCCGCCAATCTCGTAGTCCTCCTCCTAAGCACCGATTTCTTAGCTCGGAGATTTCTTTCCCAAAGGGTAGTCCGAGAGCGTCCCAGCGTGCCCACGCAGTTGTGCGGGCGGTCAAGCGCGGTGAACAACTGGCAGCAGACGGCCCGTTGTCTCGTCCGCCCACCCCCTCGACGCCCGCAGCGTGTGGGAGCACTTGGACCACTTGGACCACCGCGCTATTTCTCGTTAGTGCCAGTGCGCGCCAGTCCCGTGCCCGCACTTGGAGCACTTGGAGTGCAGTCAGTATAACCGCACACCCCGCCACAGCGGGCCGGGGACTGAGAAGCGCACCCAGCGGGCCGGATGATTGGCATCGGGTTACGGGCTAGAGAGCCCTAGCCCTGGGGGGTGCGCGTTCGCAGGGAAGGGGCCATAAACTAAACACGGGTCTCCGAGGGTTGGCCCCGCGTACCGGGTTTCCCCTTAAATTAACACTGCGTCTGCGATACACACAACACAGGCACACCCGCAGCACCAACAGGTGCAGCAACCCCAGCCCAACGAGTCGCCCGAGGGGTGGACCAGGGTTGGGAAGGGCGGCATGCCGGACAGGTTCACCATGAGGAACCATGGCCGCAAGCCGCCGGGCAAGGCGGTCAAGCGCAAGCCTGACCGCCAGCCCGCACCCAAGGGAGGTGGACCCCCATCCCCCTCTCCCAAGGTGAACAAGAACAGGCTGAGCGCGCTGGGCGCTGGCCCTTCTGGCACCAGCGGGAGGCACGAGCGCGCACCGCCGCGCTCCCCCTCCCCCTCCTCGCCGCCTGCCAAATCACCGCGGCCGTCTGCGCCTGCTTCCGAGTATGACTCCGAGCTCGACCAATACTTTTCCGACGCCGAGGCGCGGGATAGGGTGGCAGGGGTTGTACACGACGCAGTGCAGCAGGCTGTGATGCAATACGGCTATGACGACGAGCTCTTCCAGGATTGGAGGGACGGCAAGATAGGCGAAAAGGACTTGCCGGAGGAGGTGATGGCTATGACTTTAATCCTTTGCGAGAGGTGGCGAGCGGAGCAAGAGCGGTGTAGGCGCGTCCACGCGGCGCAGCGGCTCTCCCGCGACCCCGGCCCCTCTCGTAGCCGCAGCCGTAGCCGCAGCCCCAACTCTTGCCGCTCTTCCATGTCGGGTTTGTGACGAGGGGTGAGGGGACACGGATTGAAGATCCCTCACAAAGATCGTGCAGGGCGGGGACACATGTCCCTAAATCCCATCTCGTCTCAGAGTTTGACCGTTTTATTTATTTATTATTTACAACTGCACACGCGCCTCTACTCAGAGCTAGTGAACACAACACTGCACGCCACTCACCGCGTTAATAAAACCGCCACTCACCGCCACTCGCAGGATGGGCGCCGGAGAAAGAAAGAATTCTTAAAATACAAGCCTCTCTCACAGCACACTGGCACGACAAGGGCGCGGACTGGCGCGGACTGCACGAAAGAAAGAAAAAAGAACACCGTGGGCCATGTTCCTCTTCTTCGAGACACCGCTGACGCTTTCGCCGCGGCTAGCGCTGCCCGTCGGAGCCCGCCTCGTCTCCAGTCCTGTCGCCGCCGCTGCCGGCCCTCCAGTCGTCGATGCGGCTCTCACCGAGCCCACGGCCGAGGACGGCTACCGCAGCCGCGCCGACCTGAAGCGCGGCATCGCCTCGTTCTACGATGGGAGCTCCGCGCTGTGGGAGCGCGTGTGGGGCGAGCACATGCACCACGGCTACTATCCCGCCGGGTCCAAGCGGAAGGACCACGTCCAGGCGCAGAGCGACATGATTGACGAGGTGCTCCTGTGGGCGCGAGGCGGCGGAGAGGCGGTGCCGCGCCGTGTGCTCGACGTCGGCTGCGGCGTCGGGGGCTCGACGCGCCACATCGCCCGCGCGTTCGGGTGCGACGGCGTCGGCATCACGCTGTCGCCGTACCAGGCGAAGCGCGCCAACGAGCTCTCCGCCGCCGCCGGACTCGGCGACCAGCTCTCCTTTCAGGTGGCAGACGCGCTCGAGATGCCGTTCCCGGACGAGTCGTTCGACCTTGTCTGGTCGCTCGAGTCGGGGGAGCACATGCCCGACAAGGAGAAGTTCGTCTCAGAGCTCACCCGCGTCCTCCGCCCGGGTGTCCTCTTCCTCGTCGCTTGGACGCTGGCCGGAAACTGTCCCCAGACATGGCCGGACATTTCCCGCAGGCGGCCGGCTGATCCTTGTCGCTTGGACGCACAGAGACCTGGTCGCGGGCGAGGCGCGTGCTCGCCCGAGATAGAGATCGCACCAGATCGCACCAGATCGCACCAGATCGCACCAGATCACCAAGACGCGGCACAGGCTCGGACGGCGCCGACGAGCGCACCCCAGCCTCACACTCCCCCGAGCATCGCACTGCCCGAGCCGCGCGGGTGAGTAGTCCGCACCTGCGCAGGCGGAGCTCCGCCCCGAGGAGCAGAGACTGCTTCGCCGCATCTCGAGGGCCTACTACCTCCCTCGCTGGTGCTCTGTCGCGGACTACACGCGGCTGCTCACCGCAAAGGGGATGGGCGGCATGCGGCGCGACGACTGGACGAGCAACGTCGCCCGCTTCTGGCCCGCGGTGATCGCCTCCTCCTTCCGGCCAAAGTCGATCCTCGGCCCGTCCCGCTAGATGCGGAACGCAGCTCCGTGTATTCCGGGGAGGGGGGCACTCGAGGCGCTCTTCCCCTCGAGCCGGGTGTCCACCGCACCTGCACCTGCACCCGTACCTCCCGCCCTCGAGCTCTCGCCGGAATGCGGTGCACGGGCTGCCCTCACGCCCTCCGCTCGGCCTCCAGGCCTCTTCCGCTCGGGCTGGTCCACCCTGCGCGGCGCGCTGGTGATGCCCCTCATGATCCGCGGCCAGAAGAAGGGCACCATCCGCTTCGGCCTCGTCACGGCCTGCAAGCCGATCGCGCCCGGCGCGGCTTCCGCTGGCGGGGCCACGGCCGCCGTGCCGCGCGCCCCACCCCCCCGCGCCGCAACCTCGCTCGCCGCTGCGGCAGCCGAGGCCAAGGCGGCAGCGGCGGCGGCTCGGGCCGCGGCGCCGCCGCCGCCGCCGGCCGCGCCGCCGCCGCCCCCGACTGCGAGCGTCGCCTCGCGGCTCGCTCGCATTGGCGCAAAACAGGCGCGCGTGCGAGAGGTGGAGATGCCTCCGCCCGCGGGCTTCGAGTGGGGAGGCACCTACTGAAAGTCGCTCGCTGACCGCGATGGTGGTGGCGGCAGCCGCTCCGCCGAGTCGACTCCGTCCGGCTTCTGCTGCTCTGATCTTTCTGGACGAGAAAGTCCGAGGGATCCTGCCGCAGCGCGAGTCCGGCTCTCGCGACCGCGCGCTTGTTCTTGGTGTGTGCGCAACGTCACCACGACCCTCCCGCACCTCTTTGTGCCCGTCCCCTCTAGACTGGACGCGCCTCGCGCGCCGGCTGCCGATTACAGCCGTTGTTGTGTTAATTGGTGGTAGAGCCGTAGATCCCGTGGCAAGGAACCCAGCACACGCCACACCCACACCGAATGACGTCGACGAGGATACCATACGCGCGCGTGTTAGGACGCTTACGCTTGGGGGTGTTAGCTGTTACATGTAACATCTAACAATTGAGCGTGTTAAAAAAAGAGAGCGTGCCGCGCCGCCGATCCCCTGGTTAGCTGGTTTGGGCTTTTTGTTCTCTTGAATTTTCTTTGTTTCTTTCAGAATTTTATGACGAAACTCTCTCACACGTCGACGTTTGAGGGCCCTTGACGAGCCGGTGGACGCCCCCCCCCCACTCACAGCTAGACTCACGGGGAGCGGAGTACGAGCCGTCGACCGAGAGCAGTGGACCCCGCTTACTGCAAGGGAGCAAAACAGAAAATCGCTGCGCCAGTTTCACACACTCAGGATGCTCTCGCTGTGTGATCAGGATGCGTGTGGAATCAAACATCCGTGCCGAGACTTCGTAACCCCATTGCGTGTGATGTTCTTCAATCGACTTGACCGTGGCTTTGTTTTTCTTTTTGAGCGATTCCCCCGCGTTGACGATCGTGGATGGAGAAAGCTCGAATGCGTTCGTCAAGCCCTAAATGCGGCGAGCGTGATACCCGGGTCGATCATGGTCGTGTCAACGACCAGCAGGTTGGCTTCGCCCACCTCCGTAGCACGCGTCCGCGCCGCCTTCCAGAGAGGATCTCGGTTCTCGCGGACCCCCTTCCCGAACCCGCCGAACGATTCGAACAGCAGCAGCTGCACTTTTCAACGTCCTCTTGTCTTCCATGGCGCGTAGCGAAAGCGATAGTCCCCGCTGTAGCCAAAAGAAAGAAAGAAAACAGACAACTCCTCAAGGGACGCCCCAGCAGACCTGCTCCTGCACCCCACTCCCTCCCTCCAGACACATCGATCCCCCGCCCGCGCCGCGCTGAATGAGGCAGCGCTCGCACAAGAAATGTTGAGTCTCAGCGGCCGTGGCCTCTCGGCAGGGGCAGCTCTCTATGAGCGCTCCTGGGCCACATCCGCCGCCATCCTGGCTGCAACCGCCCTGGCCATCGACGCGGCCGCAGCGGCACCCCTCGCCTCCGCAGCAGCCGCCGCCTCCTCGAGCGCTGTCTCGCTCCCCTCCAGCGCCGACCCGGTCCCGCTCAGTGCCGCCGCCGCCGCCTCCCGCGCGGCCTTGATTTTCTCAAACGCAGCCTCGGCCTCTTCATGCACCGCCCTGGCCTCCGCATGCGCCGCCCTGGCCTCCGCCCTCGCCACCTCGGCAGCTGCCAGCGCCGCCACGGCAGCCACCTCCTCCGCCTTGTCCGCCTCGGCCTCCTCCTCCGCCTCGTCCGCCTCAGCGTCCAAGCGCACAGCCTGCGCCACCTCTGCCGACGCCGCCGCCTGGCTCTCCGCCGTGATGCTGAACCGCATCCTCTCCTCGTGACACTTCTCGAGAAGCCTGATCATTCTCTCCTCCTCGGCCTTCTTTGCGGCCTCGGCTGCCTCCGACGGCGCCTCGGCACCCTCTGCCGGCGCCTCGGACTCCTGCGACGGCCCCGCCCCGCCCGCCCCTCCGCCCTTCTTCTTCTTCTTGCCCTTCTTGCCCTTGGCGCGCTTCTCCGCCTCGACCTCCGCCAGCAGCTCCTCGGCGTGCCGCGCCGCCTTCTTCTCCGCCGCCGCCCTCTCCGCCTCCCTCTCCGCCGCACCCGCAGCCCACGCCGCCTCCTTCGCCGCCTTCTCGGCCGCCGCCTTGGCCGCCGCACGCTCCTCGAGGACGCGCACGCACTCGGCGTGGCCCTTCTCCTTGGCACATTGCAGCGCGGTCTTGCCCTGCTTAGAGCACAGCGTCGCATCTGCGCCCGCCCGCAGCAGCTGACACACCACCGCGGGTTGTCCAAACAAGGCGGCAAACATCAGAGCGGTGTCGCCGTCTTTGTCCCGCAGGTTGATCTCTGCGCCGAGCCGGATCAAAATGTCGACCACCCCCTCGCGGCCCACGCCGTTCATCAGCGCAGTGCAGCCGTTCACGCAGTCTCCCTGATTAATCTCCGCGCCGTGCCGCAATGCCAGCTCGACCAGCTTCTCGTGGCCGTTCAAGGCGGCGATAATCAGCAGCGTCATGCCGCTCGCACGAGAGCCGCAAGCAAAGGTGTACTCGTATCTCGCGTCGACCCACCCGCCGCCGTCGAGCCACGCCAGCACCGCCGCCTCTTCGCCTCGCTCAGCCGCTAGCACGACCTCCTCTGGCACCGCCTCGCTGCCCGGCGCGGTCTCTGCGCCGCCCTCGCCGCTCGAAGCGGAGGCCGCAGCACTGGCGCCCGCCTCCGCCTCGCCTGCGGGTGCGCCGCCCGCCCCTGCGCCACCCGCCTCGGCCGACGGCGCCTTGCTGCGAGCTGCCGTCACCTCGCCGAGATACGTCCTGAAAGCCTCGACGCACTCGCTGTGGCCCTTCTCCTTGGCGATCTGCACCGCCGTCTCACCGTACACGTCGCGCAGCTTCATGTCTGCGCCCGCCCGCAGCAAGCGGAGCACCACGGTGGGATGGCCGTGATAAGCAGCGAAAATCAGGGCGGTGTCGCCGTCTTTGTCCCGCAGGTTGATCTCTGCGCCGAGCCGGACCAGCGTGGCGACAATCCGCTCGTGGCCCTTGTAGGCGGCGTCCATCAGCGCAGTGCAGCCGTTGTTGTTCTTCTGATCGATCTCCGCGCCGTGCCGCAGTGCCAGCTCGACCAGCTTCTTGTGGCCGTTGGCGGCGGCAAGGCTCAGCGCGGTGCCACCGTTGCTGTGCTGCAACGAGACATCTGCGCCGCGCCGCAGAAGCGCCTCGGCCAGCTCCGCGTGGCCATGGGCCATTGCGATCATCAGCAGCGTCATGCCGCTCTCACGAGGGCCGTCCTCAAAGGTGTACTCGAACGTCGCGTCGACCCACCCGCCGCCGTCGAGCCACGCCAGCACCGCTCCCGCTTGGCCATCCTTGGCGGCCTTCTCAATGCTTGCAGGGACGTCGCCGCCGCGCTCCGTCGACGGAGGAGGCGGCGTGCGGGGCGCGGCGCTGAGGCGGGCTGGCGAGGCCATTATGTGGCGGAAAGAAAAACAAAAAACCAAAGGAATTTTACGACAAAACTCCCTCGCACGACACTGGGCACGGGACTGGCGCGCACTGGCACTAACACAGGTACACCGGGAAAAGAATTTCGATGGTAAAGAAAATGCGCTGCGACAAGTGGGTCTTCAAGTGCTCCTTCCTTGGCCTGCATATACTTTTCCGGAAAACAAAAAGGAAAACAGAGGGTCCCCAGCACTTTGCGTTTCCGGAAATTTCCAGGGAAAACAGAGGGTGTTTGGTGCTCCATTCTGGAAACTCGCGAGTTTCCCTGAGTCTGAGAGCTGGCTGGTCTGGGGCAAAATCTGAGGCAAAATTGAGGAAATCGGCACGATACCCAGCCAGGCGGTCGCAGGGTATTTTCCAGGTATACCCGGGGTTTTCCAGGTATACCCGCAAAATACCCGGTATTTCGCCGGCCCCAAACCAGCCTCAGACTCGGCTCAGAGCCCGGAAAATTTGATGGTTTCCCCGGGAAAATAGAGAGGAAACGAGAGGGTGCTGTACAGTTCCGGACGGGCATTAAGAACGCACAGGTTCTTCGCCCAGCCTCAGGTTCTTAGCTAAGTCGGCGGTCCGTCGGGGGCCGAGCCTCAGGTTCTTAACCGGGTGGATGGTTTTTTAAACCGTTTCGGCTTCGATTAAAAATCAATAAATGGGTCTTAAAACAGTTTGGAAGTTTGGAACAGTAAGTTCGCGCATGGCGTGACAAGAGAGTCATTCGCTGCCGTGAGCTGCCCCTGCGGCTGCGGCCGCGGGGGCAGGGGCGCCGGCTGCAGGCGTTGGCCCAGCCTCAGGTTCTTAGGGAGTTCTTAGGGATCCGGCCGAAATATGAGCCTCAGGTTCTTAACGTTAGAGGTTCTTAATGCCCGTCCGGAACTGTAGAGAAAAAAGGAAAGGGAAAGAGACGGGGTGCGAGAGGAAAAGTATATTCAGCCTAAAGTGCTCCTCGCACAAAAAACACGAAGGGGACCCCAGCGCCGGCATCATCCGTGGAGGCACAAGTGTTCGAAGAGAGAGTGGACCTGAGCAACGACATGACTGGGTGGCAAATGATCGCAGTGGGCGTCAGAAGACTTGTCCTTGCTCGAGGAGAGCTCGATAGACTCGAGGGGCCAAGATTTGCCGCGAGGAGGGCGGAGTTGCGCCGAAAGGCGAAAGAAGCCGCGAGAACAAGGGAACGGCAGGCGGCGGCGGCGTCGCAGGACGAGGCAGAGGAGAGCGACGCGACAGAGGAAGAAGCGCACAGCATCAGCAATTCCAATTGAATACCCAATCACTACCCCGGATCCTGCTGAACAAGCTCCTCTTGTAGCTCGATCGGTCACACCGCCATCGCCGTCGGGGAGAGGGGGGACGACACTGCTTTGGCAGCGTGCACCTCGATCCTGTACCGTGTTTGTTATGACCCCCCCCCAATGAACACACCAGTGAGGGAGGGCGAGACGATCGAGGGGTCCCATACCGTGCGGAATCGACCCTATCCAGTGCTCAAGTGCTCAATACCCAATGTCGCCGCCGCACGCCGCCCCTTTCTCGCCGCGTAACTTGCGCCGCTTTTGAAAACTTTTATTTTGTTATATTAAACCCTTTTTTCACCACCCGAGATCCCAAATCTCAGCCCTGCGATTATGACCTGCCCTGCCCTGCCCTGCCCTCCCCTGCCGTACTGCCCTGCCCGCACTGCCGCACAACACTGCCTCGCCCGATCCCCTACCTGCCCCGGGTGTGAAACCCACACTGCCCTGCCCGGCCCAACCCACACTGCCCTGCTGTGAATAACCGGCCGCTTGCGAGGTCTCGGAGAAACTTAGGGGAGGCGTATATCTAGGTCGATACACACCCATCAAGTGGCGTCCGACTCCGAGTATGAGGCCGTAGAGGCGCTCATGCGAGGAGAGGCGACCTCGCCTGTGCCATCGAGAGCGAGGAGGTCGGCATGGATGTCGAAGGTTGAGAGCGACATGGCCAGGGCATCCAGATCCTGCGCGGGAGGAGGAGACCGCGCCGTAAGGATGCCCGCAGTGCCGGAGGCCTCATGTGTGCGGAGGCGTGGCGAAGTGCAAGAGGCGGTGCGTTCGAGCGGCGTCGCGCCAGTTCGAGATGAGCGAGGTCGGTGATGGGAGAGAACTGCGGCAATACGTAAGAATGCGCGTGCGACGCGCGGCGCTGCCGCTGCGCGGCCGGCTTCTGCTCGTCGCAGGAGACGGCTCTCTTACGAAGCGCCAGCATCGCGGGAATCTCTGTCAATGAAGACACGCATTAGGCACCCCAAAAAGAATGCAGATGGCTGAACGTGCGACTGACTCCGACGCCCTGGTGCGAATTCTTCCCGCCACTGAGCGAGCCACAACATACCTAAATACACGGCCCCTGGCGAATAGAGGCCCCGCCCGTCCAGGGTACCCTCTCCGAGGACCCATTGGCCTCGCCCGCCTCCAGCGCGGCGGCGAGGGCCGCACCCGTCTCCGGCTCCGTCTTCTCTCCGCCGTAGATGTAGGCCGAGTCGAGCGCGCGGTAGCCGAGCCGCAGCGCGGTCCTGCGCCTCCCCGCACCCTGCGCACAGCACCCCCCCGTTCGCGGAGAGCACCCCGTCCTCTTCATGCAGCCCCCGACTGTCCCGTCCATAAGCGTGCCGGAGGTAGAAGGTCGACAGCACCCCCATGCGGGCCGCCGTCTCCACCGAATCGGCCCTGGGCCCCCGAGGACCCCTCGGCTTGCCCTTGTCGGAGCGCGGCTTCCTCTTGCTGGTGGCCTCGAGTTGCGCCGCTACGGCTAGGATCCCCTTCCTCAGCAGATCGCCGTGACAGGACTCAATCCTACCCGCGCATAGGAGCACAAGATCCGTGCCGTCTCGAACCTTCTGTGCCAGTTCGCGAAGTGCCGCCGACCGCGTCCTCCAGAGTCGATCGGCCTTGTCGTCCAGGAACGCGTCGGCGGTTTCAAGGACGCGACCCTCGCTGGAGCGCATCTCCCTCGCCGGCGTGGCCCGGTCGACTCCGTGCCGCGTCGCGGCAGCGCGCGCCGAGGCAGCATCTCCCCGGCCCTCCCCCCACATTGCATACGCCGCCCGGAGTGCCTCCGTGGCGCAGGTGCACCCTCCATGGTGCCCCCTGCGATCAAAGCACGTGCGCTCCCTGGCCCTTCCAGTCGTGAAGGGCGTCGCGAGCTCGGGGTGCCTGCCGGCTCTACTGAGATCCACCCGAAGGTGCCCTGCGGGAGTCCTGCCTCCCTGGCCGACGACTCTAACACGCCCGAGGGCGAGGTTCGGGGAGGGGCCGCCCCCTCCAGCCCCGCCGCCTTCCGGACCCCCTGCGCCGCGACTTTGTCCGTCGCCCTCCTTCGTCTCGCCCGCCTCGTCAGGCGCAGGGAGGGCCGCTCTCCGCCTCGCCCTCCTCGTCCAGGTCCATACTCGAGAAGCTGCCTTGCGAGTCGGGCTGCCCAGACAGGGTGTCCTGCGAGAGCTTGCCTCCTCCACCCCGTCCACGTCCATGCTCGAGAAGCTCTCCTGCGAGTCAGGCTCTTCGAGCAGGGAATCCTGCGAGCACCCTCGCCCGCCTCGCCCCCGGGCCGGGCTCTGCTCCTGCTGTGCTCCAAGAGACGGCAGACACCTGCGCGAGCACGTCCAGAGGTGAGAGCGTGCGTGTGCCTCTGCTCGCCAGGACTGCACTCGCCTTGAAGGCCGCATTAGCCTCTTGCCGATGTGGCTCGCGGTAACGGCTCTGCACCCGCCCCGAGGCTCGACTCCTGTAGCGCTCACCGGCTCGGTTGCGCCGTGCGTCCACTTCGTCAACCCGCTTGAGGTTGACGGCTTCGCAGAGCCTGGCGGCTGGGGAACCACTTCAGCGGCCGAGAAGCCAATCCTGTACTTTTTTCCGGGGATGGATGGCTCCCTGCAGACGCCATTCATGCAGTTCTGCGAGCTGAGCACCACCTTCGAGCTCGCATGCATGCGGCACAACGAGGGCCTCGCCTCGCGTGCCAGCTTCGAGGAGGTGGCGGACTCATGCGCAGTCGCTGTCGCCACGTCGGCAGCGGGCGGCCGGCAGGTCCTGCTCGTGGGCGAGTCGTTTGGCGCAACGCTCGCCCTCGCCGTCGCTGACAAACTCTCCCGCGTCCTTCTCCCCGGCCAGCAACGCGGAGGTGTGCGTGGAGTCGTACTGGTCAACCCGGCAACCTCGTACCGCCGCTCGACGCTCGCAAAGATTGGGCCTCTGTGCGCATCACTCGCCGGCCCTCTCCTCGCGCCGCTGTACGCGCTGTCGCTCGTCGCTGTCGCCGCCCTCGTGCTCACGCCCGCGTACCAGGCGCCCTCCTTCCTCTCCACGGTCGCCGCGCAAAAGGCGACGGAGCTCAACAACAACCCGTACCGCGAAGCCTTTGTCGGCCGCGTCGCGATGGGAGCGACGCTCGGGCTGAGCGGGCCGCGGCTCGACATCGGGCCCCTCCTCGCGATCCAGGTCTTCTCGCCCGAGGAGCTCGGCTTCCGGCTGAGTCGGTGGCTGGAGTACGGCGCCGGCCTGCTCGAGGCGGCGCTGCGACTCACCGCTCGTGATGCGAAGTGCGGCCACACTGCTTGCCATCAGGCGCCGACCTGCTCGAGAGACGGAGCGTCGTCAAGGAGCTGCGGCTGCCGATGCTCGCCGTGGTGGGCGACCTCGACCGCCTGCTGCCGAGCGTAGACGAGGCCGCCCGCTTGCGCGAGGCGTGCGACCCTGCCTTCTGGCGCGGCTTGCTCACGGGGCACCTCCAGGACACCGCCGAGACACGGGCGAGACACTCGCGAGGCGGGCCCCTCGTAGGCGCGGCACCGTGACGGTGCAGGGCGCGGGCCACGCGTCCACGCTGGGCAACCGCGTCGACCTCCTCGCCGAGATTCATTAATTAATTACGCAATTAGACGAGATTAATTAATTACTCAGGCAACCGCGTCGATCTCCTCGACGAGATCCGCAACGCGTTCGCCGCCGACTTCGAGCCTCCCCTCTCGCCTCGCGTCGACCTGGTGGGGCTGCCGACACCGCACAGTGGCCCGCATAGTGGCGACCGCCGTTCTTCCGCGTAACAGTTGCTTGCACGTACCAGGTGGGGCGGGGCGAGAGCCCGGGCGACGGCGGCGACGGGTGGGAGCGCGGGCTGCTCGACCGCACGTATCCGGCGCTCGACCCGGCAGACTACACGGAGCTGAACCGAGGGGGCAGCAGGTACCCTTTCCCCGAGGAGGGAGAGGGAGAGGGAGAGGGAGAGGGAGAGGGAGAGGGAGAGGCTCCGCCGAGGGCGCAGCAGCCGCGCGTGTCAGGCCCGCAGATGTCGGCCAGTGTCGAGCCGAGGACGGCCACTGTCGACGCGCTGATTTCTCTGCTCGCCGACCGCCGACCCGCAAGCGCGAGGGCCCCGGCAGAGAGGGCCGCGATCCGCGAGCTACTCTGCGCGCTCGAGGAGGCGGGCGAGGGCGTCCCGTACTTGGACGCGGCGGGGGACGCGCCGCTCTGTGGCAACTACGAGCTGGCCTATTTCGACCGTTCGATCGACGGCAAGCGCGGCTCGGGCGGAGAAGAGCCGACGCGGCCGTTTGGCTCGAGAGCGCTCGGTGCGCTCTTCTCGCTCCGCTTCTCCTTCCAGCACCTCGTCGCGCCCGACGCAGCCATCAACTACGTCGGCTTCACCTGCTGCGGCATCCCCGCCTCGGTCTTCACGGCAGGCGCCGTCGAGCGCCTCGACCGCACGGCGGTGGAGGCGCTCCGGCGGCAGCACGGCACGCCGCTCCGGTTCGACACGGCCGTCCGGATCGATTTCGGCACGCCGCGCCTCTCCATCGGCCGCGGCGGCTGGGCGCGCACCTTCGAGTTGCCCGCCGGGCAGAGCCCCCCGGTAAGCCTCTGCACCACGTACGTCGACGAGCGCTTGCGGCTCGCGCGGGCTGCTGGAGGGGGGAGGCTCGTCTTCACGCGGGGCGGCCTCGCCGACGAGCCTCTGGCGGACAGCTGGAGGGCAGTCGCCGACCTGACACCCGTCCGCCCGAGGTCGGTGGCGGCGGTTGCGCTGGGCATCCTCGCCTCACTCGCCGCAGCGGTGCCGCCGCTCCGCCGCCCTCTGCAGCTCGCGGCGCTGGTGGGCGGGGCGGGCGCAGCCGTGAGAGTGGCGGAGAGCAGACGGAGAGCGCGGCGCGGGTGGGCGGCGATGGGGAGGAGAGAGCCGGTGGGCGGGGGTGATTGAGGGCTGATGGGGTAATGGCCTACGACATGCGACTCGCCGTGACAAAGTACACAACTCCCTGCCCTCTCAGGCTCTCAGTCGCATCTCTCTATCATATCGTCTCGCCTCTCTGCTGCGTGCGCTGTTGGTGCTGCACTGCCCGCCGACACTCTCTTCGAACGTCCTCGACCTCGTCCCGCAGAAAGAAAGAAAACAGACAACCCAAGGGAGGGATGGTCTCGCGCAGACAATGCGCCAGCCCGCACTTGGAGCACTTGGAGTGCAGTCGGTAACCTCACATCCAGGGCCGGTGAGCTGAGAAGCGCATCCAGCGGGCCGGATGATCGGCATCGGGCTACGGGCTAGAGAGCCCTGACCCCTAGCTAGGGGGGGGCGCGCATTCGCAGGGCAAGGGCCTTAAAGTAAACACGGGTCTCCGAGGGTTGGTTCTGCGCTTTGGGTGTCCCCTAGCGGCGGAACGCCCCCTCTACTCGGAGCTAGTAAACACCAGACACTAGACACGAGCATGACGTACACTCTCACCCGACATCGCCACTCAGGGCTCCTCCGCCCGATCTCCCCACCTCCCATCCGAGGGGGCTCCCCTCTCCTCCCGGCCCTCCCTCCTGTTCGATTTCCGATGGTCCGGCGTCGGCTGCGGAGCCCGCCTTCCCCTCTTATACTTCTTCGACCGCGGCCTCGCCGCCGTCTCGTCTTCGGGGGCTATTCTTGTTGCCCCCGCCTCCGGCGATCCCGTGCCCGACTCCTCGGGTGAGGGCGGCGGCATTCGATCGCCACGCCGCCCCTCCCCGGGGGGTGGGGCCAGCTCTCTTCGGTCGAGGACTCGCGCCCGCCCCCGCGGTCTCTCTATCGTCCTCGGCTCGTCCGTCCGTCCCGACTCTACTCGCAGAGGCCGCGTCAGCTCGTCTCTCGCCTCCTCCGACAGCTGACCCCAGGCCCCCCCCGGGGCCCTCCGGTCTCGGCCCTCCGGCTCGCCGGCGGGTTCGTTATTGTGTTGCGGCAACTCCCCCCTCCCAGCTCCTTCTCCCGGGTACGCCAGCCTCCGGCGGGGCGGTTCCGGATCTCCCAGGTTATTCCGAGCGGGTCCACACGGTGGCGGCCCCGCCGGCGGCGGGGGTGGAGGCGGTGGCAGGGGCGGCGGGTATGGTGGCGGCCCTTGCGGTCCAAACGCCTGGTGTGGAGCCGCTGGGGCGGCCCCACGACTCTGCAGCCGTCCCAGTGGTGGGGGCGGAAGTGGCAGTGTGGGTGGCGGAAACGATGGCAGCACTGGCGACTGCACCGCTTGGTGTGGAACCTCAGGGGCGGCTCCTCGACCCAGCGGTCGCTCCAGCGGCGGGGGCGGGTACAGTGGTGGTGGCGGCGGGCCTGGTGGCGGTACCGGCCGCCGCAACTCCTGAGGCGGGGCCTCGGAGGCGGCCCCCTGCCCCTGCGGTCGTTCTAGCCGGGGTTCCACGCGTCGGCCGTCCACCCCGCTCGTGGGGGGGGGCCTTGCGCCGCCGCGAGCGCCGCGCCGTGGCCTCGTTCTCTGGAGAGCCCCAGCACCACCCCTCGCGGCCACTCGCGCCGTTGCAGCAGCTCCGACCCCGCCACTCCGGCTCCCGAGCGCGCGGCGAGCAAGAGGAAGAGCACGCGCATGGGCCAAATCCGTTACCGGACTCTCTGCCCGCGAATTTCTTTTGGAATTCAGAAAAAACGAAGCGCCGTCGCGCCACTGCCGCTTCTCGCTTCTTCCCCTCGTCGCGCATCGGCTCGTCGCGCGTCGGCATGGAGCGCGCCGACTACCTCCCACCGGAGAGGCTGCGCGAGCTGGCGACGGCGATCGACCCGGCGATCAGGCTCGAGCCCGACGCCGAGCAGGTGCTGCAGGACGTCGCGGACGACTTCGTCGAGAACGTGTGCCGCCCCGCTCTCACCAGACCCGCCCGCCCTCGGCGTCGCATATGGCATAATAGCGCCGACAGGTCTCGTCCTGACGCTTCTCGGCTGGCGCAGGTTGCTGCGTTCGCCTGCCAGCTCGCGTCTCACCGCGGGTCACGCACTCTCGAGACACAAGACGTGCAGCTGGCTCTCGAGAAGCTGTGCGGGCCGCCGCGCTGATGACGATGCTGCCGCTCGCGCGGCGCTCACGGCGCGGCGCCGATCATTAGGTGGGACATACGGCTGCCCGGGATCGGCGAATCGTCCGCAGAGCTGCGCCTGGTGCGGCGCCCGTTGCTGAGGAGTGGACGCTGCCACGACCGTGTTCACCCCCCCCCCCCGCCCGCCAGATCCAGCGGAGGCCGCAGGCGCACTCGGACGCGTACAAGCAGCGCATGCAGCTGGTGCGGAAGAGCCAGTCCAAAGTGTGAAAGTCTGCGGAACTCGCGTGTGGCGCGCTGACGCCTGGATGTACTTGCAAGATCCGGTTATGTTTTATTGCGCGCGGCCGGTCCGTGCGCGCGCCAGTCCGACGGCCCGCGCGGCGCCGGGGCTCTCTCTCGTCGCGCGCTCGGCAGAGCGCAGTGCGCAGAGGCACCCAGCCCGGAGCGCGGAACGGCCTGCTCTTGAGCTTGTGAGAGTATGTGAGAGCTGACGCAGAGAGAGTTGATCGAGTGACACACTACTTTTTACTAGCTGACTGTTGTGTGCCGCCCGCAGCGCGCAGGGGTGGCAGAGCCAACCTTCGGGAGAGTTGTTATAGCGATTGCTATCGTGTCTGTTCACACTTCTTGCCATAAAGTAAAATACCTTAACATCAAACATGCGGGGCGGGGCCAACTCTCTCTCTTTCTCTTAGCCGGCTAAAAAAAAAGCGGGGCGACGCCCACCGACGGGCCGGGGCCAACGAAGACTGGCCGAACGAAGAGGCGGCCAGGCGCACAGGATGCCTCTCCCACTCCTCCCAAAGATCATCACCTATACCTTTGCCACAGCGCACGCCGCCACCGGCCTCGCCGCCCTCCTCGGCGAGGTTGACCTGCTGCAGGGAGTGCTCCTCGACACGGCCAAGGCACGAGCATGTAGCTGCATAGCACCCGAGCCTCGACTTCTACAATCATGCAGACCCCAGCACGAAGCGCGGCCTCATCGCTGATGTGGCATTCGCATTGCGTTGCCAGCGCCAATCCTCCCCACCCTCCAGTTCAAGGCCCTCAGCCCCCTGACGGACGAGTCCTTGGCCGCCTTCCTTCGCGGCCCAAAAGCAAACGGTCGAGGCACGGCGCCCAATGTCAGGGCCTGGGGCGCGCGGCAGTTCGCCGTCGGTGCGGTTTTTGGCTTCGCAGCAATTTCCGGCGAGGTTGCGGCCTACCAAGCGGCGCTCGTCGCCTTGCTTGCTCGGTGCGCCGTCCGCTACTCCCGCGACCCTGCCGCGCGTGCTCGATACTGTACCCTGGGCTGCGTGGCCTCCTGTGCGACTTCAGGTGCGGTGGCGATGTGCTCCAGAACCTGCTCGATGGGTGTTGGCTCCCGGAATCCCCCTGTCTTCTCTCTGGTTCTCTCTTTTGACTTTCCCAGATCTCTGGTCTCAGGTGCATGTGGAAGGTGGCGCTCTTCCTGGGAGTCGAGGGGGTGGCGGGGGCGCTCATGTACGTCAGCGCGAATTAAGGACGACTCGGTGAGAGTGGCCAGCGCTGCGCGCGTTGTGCGTTGTGCGCGCGATCGTGGATTTTTCTCTCTCTCTCTCAGTTGTATCTGGCTCTACGTGCGAAACGTGGCTCTTATACATCGTTACGAACATAGAGAAGAGAACATACTCGAGGTGGTTTGCGATGTGAGGAGCTGCGACTCCGAATTGTTCAGTTCTTAGGCAGACGAACAAATTCTCTCATTTCCAGTAACGCCCCGAAAATTCTTTTGATTGTGGTGTACCTGTGTGTTAGTGCCCCAGTGCGCGCAGTCCCGTGCCCACAGTGTCGTGCGAGGGAGTTCGTTGTAAAATTCTTTTGATTATCCTCGCAGGAGTCGCTTAGGCGGCTCCCGTGGTGTACCTGTGTTAGTGCCAGTCAGTGCGCGCCAGTCCCGTGCCCAGTGTCGTGCGAGGGAGTTTTACAACTCAAGTCCTCTGGAGAGCATTTTTTCAAAAGCCCCAATGGGGTCGCAGTCGATCGAGGGGACAGGGACGTGTCCAACGATCGCCGCCACGATTCCCCTCACCGATTCGAGGCGGCGTTGCTGGCTCTGTGCTGGCGATGCACAGGTTGCTCCTCTACGCTCTCACTGCCATGAACGGCGGTCTCTTCTCGACCGACCCAGTGGTGCAAGTGGACTCATTTCACCTCTTCCCGATGCTCTGCGACGCAGCCTCATGGCCATGCACTCAACCCGTCCTTCGAAGCACAGCGCCAGCCCGTGGCGACCAAGAGATGGATGCCTTCGTGCTGCTGTGCCACGTTCGAGACGGCATCTCGTTGCGAAAGGTGCAGTGGCCGTTTGAATCCGCCGTTTGAAACGAAGCAAAAATGCAATCAAGTGTCGATGGAAGAATGTTCTCAAGAAGCTCGACGCTCTCGACGACCTCTGACTGATCTGTGGATCCTGCGACGAGGCGGAGACGCAGCTGGACAGCACCGAGATCAGCCTGCAGCCGTGGGTCGAGGATGCTCTCGTGCAGCTGCACGCGAAAAAACGTGCCGATGAACTCAGCTTTCACTCCGTGGACAATCGAGGAGGACCGCCTTCTGCTGCACTCGTACCAGAGTGGCGCGAAGATCAACGAGATACGCGTTGGTGTCCGCAGCTACAAATCAATCAAGCAAGCACCAGTGCTACGCCGACTTCAGAACGTCACGCCACAAGAGCCGCTGTGCGACCCCGAGGCGCCGTATCAGTACTTGCAGCACGACATCTGGACGTCGATCGACTCGACCCTCGCTCTACCGCCGTGCGCGCAGATCGACTGGATACGCGGCGTCGCAAAGGAAGGTGCCTCCCTTACCCTGTTCGCCTTCACGCGCGCGTGATCAAACTCTGAGACGAGATGGGGATTTGGGGACATGTGTATGTGTCCCCGCCCTGAGTGAGAGCTGGGAGAGTGTATGTAATCTGCCGGCCGGCAGATTAAGGTTCTTTTCGGGCCAGTTTTCGGGGGGCAAACCCTGCCCGCCCCCTAGAGCCCCAGGTAAGGCCCAGGTGTGGCCTAGGGCACCAGAAGGGACCAAGAGGATTCCAGTCTGAGCCACAGACCTGCATGTCTTTGCCCCATGAAGGTCGCGTTCAATGTCTCTCTCTCTCAATGTCTGTGTGTCTCTCTCAATGTCGTCGAAGCATCGCGATGCTCGTCGCGGTCCACGGGCTCGTGCTCCTCTACTTTTTGCCGGTGATCGGACGCTGGCTCCGGTGGAGACGGAGCCGCTGGATTGGGGAGGTGCATGCGAAATTAAGGCTGGTCAGGCGCACCCTCACCCCCTGGAGGAGGACAGTCGTCCCGGTGAGCGTCTAAGGTAAAAGAAAAAGAGGCGCCGAAAGTGCTCCACGCGCCATCCGCCAAACGAGAGAGAGGGATGGGAGAGAAGGCGTGTGGGTGCGCAGGGCTCCTCTTTGCGCTTCTCGTTCTACTCCCTACTATCATCTTGCAGCGCGGCGCCGGTCACGCTCTCCCACGTAGAAGCAGCGGCGGGGCGCTCATATGTTTAGATGACCGCGACCTCCCCCATCATCTCGGAACCTCCGAGCGGCGCTTCGATCGCATCCTCCCAGACGCCGATGGAGTGCCGAGTCGAGGATCGTTTCGAGGGTGATGCGGCTGAGCCCCGGAGCAACGCCGGCCCGCTCGTGAAGGATCGCTTGAGCGCTGACGGCTTATGGGGCAGGTAACGGGACAGCCGCACAGGCGCGGAAAGCTCGCGAGCAGCTGAAGCCGGCGCCTCGATGTGGTAAGCGGTTGCCTTGATGTGAGCGATGCCAGACATCACCAACCCACTTGCAGACGCCGGCGTGCTGGCCAACACGCGCCGCCGCTTGACTGATTCTTCACTTTGCACTCTGGCTGCAGAGTCCCGCGTGCGCTTTGCCCCAATGTTGAAGCAGCCAGCCAAAGCTAGCAACATGGCAAAGGAGATAGAGAGTAAGCCAACCGCAGAGGCCTGGCCGTCGTAGCCATTGTTTGGCTGCCACTCACAGCTGCACCGCATGTTGCTCTGACAGCCCTCCTCCTCGCCGGGCATGCAGAGTATGACGTCAGAAAAAGCAGCGAAGAGCGCGGAGCCAAGGAGCGGGCCCACACACCAGCCGAACGAGTACAACGCTGAGTTCATAGCTGCGAGACGCGATTCCAGATAGGGGTCGTCGGGCACGTTCAACACCATGGCCGGATACATGCTTAACATTCCTAATCCATTTCCGACTGACTTCAGGATCATGGCAACATACACAGCCTCGACGGAATTTGGCGCAGCGAGGGTCCAAGAGCCCGGCATCCTGAGCACTGCAGATCCCAGCGGAGCCAGGAGCAGGAAAGCGAGACCGACGACGAGGAAGCCAATCGCTGTAACGAAGCTCAAAAGCCGATAGCTCCCGCTGATGTGATTGACCAGGAAAGCTAGAGGCAACGACACCGCCGATCCGAACAACGATGAGGCGGTGAACGTGCTCGACACTTGGGTGGCGCTGAAGACAAGGGGCACTGCCGAGAGGCGCAGATCGAGCGTCGAGTCCAGGGTGCCTACGACGCTCGCGCTCACCAGCGTGCAGAGCAGACCCAGCACGATCGGGAGTGTGAACAATCGTGGGCGTTGCCCGCCACGTTCCTGAGGCTCCGGGGGCGATTCTGACGGTGTGGAAAGAACTCCGCTCGGCATGTAGAGTGGCACAGTCGCACAAAGGAGCGCGGGCATGAACATCGCGACGATGGAGGGCAGGCGGAACTGCCAAGCGGGGTCCTCCGGTAGGTCATGAAATCCACCTCCCAGGATGGGACCGATGGCCGAACCTAAAATCGAGGAGACTCGGAGTGAGTGTGAATTCAGCGTGTCGCACTAAAGCGTCCGGCAGCACCGACTCCGCATGCGATAGTCGCCCCCGCCATCGCCAACGGCAGGTTCGTCTTGAAATTCGCCGTAATCAGGATGTAGCATGTCGTCTCGGGCAGTCCCGCAGCCAGTCCAGCAAAGAACGAGGAGGAGAAGAAGAGCGCCACTCGGGCGCCTTTCTCAGTCGAGACGTCAGGCACGAAGCCAAACATTGCAACGAAAGGCGCCATCGCAGCCAGGCTGAACATGCACGCCCGGCGAGGGCCCAGTCGCCATACTATCTTCGGAGCCAGCTGAGAGGAGATGCTCATTCCGAGTGGATACGCCGCTAATATCATCCCGGTCTCTATGTCCTCAAGCCCGTTCTCTGAGGCAAAGGACGGGAAGAAGCCGACCGGAAAGGCGTTGGTCGCGTACTGACAGGCAACGATGAACAAGCAGCCGGTGTAGAGAATCAGTTGCCGCACCGCCAGCCGCATCGCCAGCAGGACACAAGGCCAGCAGGATGCCACGCCGCCAGTAGGACAGCCGCACCGTAGCCTCAGAGACACAGGTCGCAGCACTTTTGGGGGTACCCGGTACGCGGCGCAGCCTGGTTTCAACAATATACGCCACAGAGAAGTTTGTTCGAGATATCGCCAGCGGCCGGTTATTCACACCTCGGCAGTGTGGTCTGGGCCGGGCAGGGCAGTGTGGGTTGGTTTCACACCCGGGGCAGGTAGGGGGTCGGGCAGGGCAGTTGTGCGGCAGGTCATAATTGCAGGGCTGAGATTTTGGATCTCAGGTGGTGAAAAAAAGGGGAGACAATTGCTGTGAACATGGAATTTAGATAACAATCTCAATGAGATGTGTGAAGAGGACGGCCGATCGACGAAACACATGCGCGAGCTCGCAGGCCTCTGGGGGGGCGCGGGGGCTCCCGGAGGCACCGTGCGCCGCGCCGCAGTGCGGAAACGGGGCCCCGGCTCTATTACTGTAGTCTCTATTAGCACCGACTTACACGGTTGATTAGAGAGGGCAGATTTGGAGAGATCTCGAGGAGTACACACAGATAGACCCTCCAAGCATGAGAAACCTCCAACGGTCGGTTGGCCCTCCAACGGTCGGTGAACCTCCAACAAAAAAGAAAAACTGCGCGGCAAGACATGTCTCACCTCGGAGTCTCGGCCTCGCCAGCACGACAAGATGCGGCCACTCCTCGCCCTACTCTGCGCCCAAGCTTCGGCCGCTGCGCTGCACCCCTCGCCACGCCCACACGCCGCTCGGTGCTGCCACCGCGCTCGTGTCGCCGCCACCGCCGCAGCCGCTCCCGAGACTTGTGAGGTGCTCGAGGCAAACCTGCTTCGGCTTTGCGCCTTGACGGATCGCGGCCAGCGCGCGTCGCCGGAGCAGGAGTCAGAGCTTCGCGCGGCGATCGCGGCGCTCGAGGCGGTCGCGCCGCCGGCCGACGCCCTCGACATCAACGGAGAGTGGAGGCTGCTGGCAGCGTGCGGCGAAACTGCCTACCGCTCCTCGCCCTTCTTCTGGGCCTTTCGCCAGGCGAAGCAGGGAGAGAGCATGCTTCTAGGAACCCTCCATGCACCTTCTATGACCTTTCCGGCAGGCGACCGCCCGCTGGACGAGTCCGGTCGGGCTGAAGGGCGCGGCTGCTGGCGGGCCGCTCGCCTCCGCGGTGCTCGCCGTGACGGACAACATTCCGTTCTACGACATCGGGTCGGTGGTGCAGCGGATCGGCGGCGTCTGCTCCGAGGTCCGCGCCCCCTGCCGAGAAGAGCGTCGAACCCTGTCCGCACCTTCTCCGAACCTTCCGGCAGGAGCGGGGCTGCCCCGTGCCCGAGAAGGACGCAGACGGCTCAAGCGACGGCGCGAGCAGCGAGGCGGAGCCCTCGGACGGGACCTCGGCGCCGATCCCCGACGGCGCGGGCACGCTCGAGTCGCAGGTCGAGCTGTTCATTCACAGCGGGCGCACACATCAGCGTGGAATAACCGATTCAATGACACCGCAGGTCGAGCTCATCGTCGGCCGCAACTTTGGCTTGCCGGAGGCGAAGTCGCTGATGACGACCACCGCGAGCGTGCGGCCGCTCCCTCCCTCGGGCAGCATTCTAGAGGCGGCGCCTGCTGCGGGCCGAGCGCACTATAAGCGGCGGTGGTCCCATCGACAGTGAGCGGCTCGTCTGCAGGTGGAGCTGCGGGTCGAGCGCACGTCGGCCGAGCAGAGCAGCATCGAGGCGCCGCTGCACGGCGGGTCATCCATGCTTCGCACAGGGAGGGATGGGCGACGAGTTGCGATTAGGCGCTCCTGCCCGGCTTTGGCGACGCGTTTCGCTTCCCGTCGGGCGACGCGCTCGACGCCCTCTCGCCGCGCTCCTCGACGGTCGTGCTGCAGACCACCTACCTGTCCAGCTCGCTGCGCATCTCGCGGCCTCGGCTCGACCTGTCGGCGGCGCCGGCGCCGGCCGACGAGGCCCGCTCCGCCTTTGTCTACGCGCGAGCGTGAGCGCGGCGCGGCGGCGGCGCGCGCGAGCGGGGGTGCCGTGCCCCTGTCACCGTGGAGACCTCCGCCGCTTGTACGACGCCGGCGGACGCTCTCATGACTCATCCGCCGGGGACGGCTGGAAACCGGCCAAAAGCCGCCTGTGCGCTGTGGGAGCGCTGCATGTCGTGTCGTGTGTGTGTGTGTGGCATGTTCCATGACGACTTCCCGACGATTCTTTCTCTCTTCTCTCTCCACACACCACAGACCACACCGCACACGAACGACACCCTTCTCCTCTTCGCTCACCGGCGCTTACCCCGGGGTTGTACCGATTTTCTCGGCCTGCTTCAAGCACGGTGCAAGCTTCCGATTCTTTCGTGCCAGTGGCAGTGTGCGCGGCCGCGCCAGTCGCACCGTGGTGCGTGGTCCGTGCCTAGGGGTAAAGGGTAAAGAAAGAAAGAAAGAAAGAAAACACCGCACCCAAGGGAGGGATGGGAGGACGGCGCGCCGCCACCAACACAGGTTGTAATCTTTCGGGCCGAATTTAAATTCTTTTTTGAGCTTAGCCTTCGATGCCAAAATCAATTCTTTTTTTGAGCTGACTGGCCGACAAATTGGCGGCTCCAAGCATGCTGCCGCCGATGGATGGCGACGCAATCTTGTACAGTGCAAAGAAGCCCTACAAGATGATCGGCGCCTACATGATGGGGGAGGTGCGGCAGCGCTGCTGTGCTGTGGCGCCGCTCGCTGCTCACCTCACGCCCGCCCGCCCGGCCAAAGGTGATTGGCGAGGGCACGCAGGGAAAGGTGCGCGAGGCGTTGCACTCCGAGACGTTGCAGCGCGTCGCCATCAAGATCATCGCGCTGCGCTCGGTCCGCCGCACGCGTCTCGGTGAAGAGGCGCTCAAGGAGGAGATCAAGATCCACCGCAAGCTCAAGCACCGGCACGTAGTCGAGCTGCTCGGCGAGTTCCGGAGGCCGGAGAAGGACAAGTGGTACATCGTCCTCGAGCTCGTGCCCGGCACGTCACTGCAGGACCTCGCCGACGAGGGCAGGGAGGCACTCTCGGGAGCCGTCTTTGAATCTTCTCTGAACCGTCTCTGAACCTCGCTGCAGGACCTCGCCGACGCGTACCAGGAGCACGCGCTTCCCGAGCCGCTCGCCCGCCACTTCTTCGCCCAGCTCCTCTCGGCCCTCGAGCGCCGCACACTCGCGCAGGCGTGTGGGCTCATCTCAGCGAGTGCCACAGCCGCTGTTAGGCCCTCGAGTACTGCCACTCGCGCGGCGTGGTGCACCGCGACATCAAGCCGCAAAACGCGCTGGTCTCTTCGGCGGGGGTGCTCAAGCTCTGCGATTTCGGCGCCGCGGGAAGAGCCCTCTCGTGACCGACCCTCGCGCAGGGGCTGAGAGCCCCCCTCGCGATGTCGACCAGGTGTGGCGGTCGAGCTCTCTCCGTACGGTTCCGACGCCTGCTCAAAGACGCGCGGCTCGCCCGCCTCCCAGCCGGCCGAGGCTGCACTCGGCCGCACTTTTGCGGCGAACTCCCAAACAGGCGCGGCTCGCCGGCCTTCCAGCCGCCCGAAGTTGCGAACGGCTCCCGCTCCTTCTCGGGCTTCAAGGTGGTCTGCGGAGGTATGGCGAGATGTGGGGAGATGTCGCTATGTGGGGAGATGTCGCTCCCGCTCCTTCTCGGGCTTCAAGGTGACGCAGTCGCCAGTGAGCCCACTCTTGCCAGTCAGCCCACTCATGTCGGTCCGCCCTTCATCACACCTCGCCGCACATCAGCAGCTCGTTCGCCACATGTGCGATCTCGGGCAATCTCGGGCAATCTCGGGCCATCTCGCCGCGTCCAGGTGGACATGTGGGCAGCCGGCGTCTCGCTCTACCTCCTCGCCACAGGGCGCCTCCCCCTCCCCCCCCTCCTCCCTCCCCCTCCCGGCGGGCTCCTCCTCCCCCACCTCAAGCGCTTCCCTGACGCGTGCGGGTCGAGGGCCCCCTCAGGCGGGTCCCCTTCGAGGGCTCCTCCCTCATCCAGCTCTTCGAGCGCATCGCCGTCGGCTCGTACGCCGAGACACCACAGCTCGCCGCGCGGCCGCAGCTGCAGAGCCTGCTGCGCAGCTTGCTCTGCGTGGCGCAGCAAGAACGGCTCGGAGTCGAGGAGGCGCGAGCTTCACCCGCAGAGCAGCCGCAGAGACGAGAGTAGCCGAGAGTAGCCGAGAGTAGCCGAGAGTAGCCGAGAGCAGCCGAGGCCTCCCACGGCAGCTGTCTCCTTTTTGCAGGATGGCCCGCGAAGCTGTCTCACTCTCCGCCGGCTCCTCCCCAGGCTCTCGCCCACCCGTGGCTCTCGCCGGTGAGCTCTGGTGCGGCCGGAGCTGCAGGGGCGGGCGGCTCCGCCTGGGGCGAGACAGAGCACTCCCTCCTCCTCTCCCTCTCTGCCCGCGGCGCTCGCCCCGTCTCTGTCCTCCGTGCCATCGCCCAAAAGTGAGTCGCCGAGATCTAGCCGAGATGTGCACTTGAGACGCACCCGAGGTGCCCCCGAGATTTGTGAGAGCTTCTCGTCTCTGTTCCCCTTCTTCACCTGCTCCCCCTCCCCCAGCCCGCCTCCTCCGTCACCGCCTGCGCTCTCGCCTCCACCCCTCCCCCCCCCCCCACCCCCCTTCCCCCACCCCGCCGCCGTCACCGACAGGTACGGCGAGGAGTTTGTGGAGCCCGCGGCGGCGGCTCCGCCGCCGGCGAACCAGCCCCACGAGTACCGCCCGCCCGACGCCGGCGATGCGCTGGCAGGAGCGGCCGGCGAAGCGGGGGCAGACCCGCCGCCCGGCGCAGGCGGGGAGGGGGGGCGGCATCCGGCCAGCCGGATCCGCTTCGGGGAGGGCGAGAGAGGGCCGGGGAGGGGCGCCGCTGGCGAGCCGAGCTCGCCGAGCAACTGCTCTGGCGTGGCTGCCGGCGAGGCGCTCGCGCCGGCGGGCCACGTGCGGGGCGGCGCGGGGCCGGCGGCGGCGTGGGCGAGGCCGCAGAGGGTGGAGCGCTCCTACGGGTCGACTGGCCAGTCGACGAGGGACTCGCTGGAGGAGAGGCAAAAGGATTGCACGTTGTGTTGAGAGAGATTCGTGCACGTGGAGAGGTGCTGAAGAGAAGTAACTAGTAAGGATACGCTTTTTTATCGGAGCATGGCGAAGCCGAGCGCAACATACGTGTCATACTATGATACATAATTATCCTCATACCTTTTTACCCATCTCTCGATGCGATATGTCGATCTCCACGAAGCACGATCCTAATTCCTATCCAGTAGACTGTAGACGAGCAGTGTTATAAGCCGTACTGTAGCCAGTACGGCGGCTTAAGAGCGAATGCGATCCTAAATTGTAAAAACTAAATTCTTGTCCATACACCGACTTCATACACGTATATGCGGATTTTGCGGAGCGGCAGCGCATTTTCGATAGAAGTCCGCCGTTTGATCACACACGCAAAAAGACTTTTACAACAAACTCGCTCACATACACAACACTATAGACACGGAAGTGAAGTCGTGGATGACACTCAACGCAGACGCCAGTGTCTAAAGGGACTGGCACTCCCGCGCCGAGGACTCCTTCCGGTGCTGTGCGCTGTGACGATCCCCTCGATCTGCCGCTTTAAGAACTGAGAGTCCTCGCTGCTCCCGCCACTGCTGTCCAAGAAGCGAGCGAAGAAGCGCCGCCGGACGCGTTGTTGAAGAGCCGAGTCGAGCCGAGCGAGCACAACGCACAAAAGAACAATCAACCCGAATCCCAGCCCGGTCGCAAAGGAAGTCAGATGGAGCTGTGTCGGCGCCACCGCGTCGTTGGCTTGCCCATTGGTGTCTACCAGCACCGAGGGTGGAAATGAGGGAGCGAGGGGGGCAGGCAACACCCTCCCCCCCCTCCCTCGCAGCACGGTTTGGCTTAGACTCGAGGGTGTCGGCGCAGAAGGCGGCGGGGGTGCCAGGAGCGCTGAAGGTGATGGGCTTGGGGCGCGTGGAGAGGCTGGCATCGTCGACGGCGGCGGCGGTGGCAGGCTCGGGGAAGGCGGTGTTGGTGGCGGCGGTGAGGGCGGTGGCGGTGAGCGCGGTGGCGTGTGCGGTGATGGCGGTGGCGGCGGCGGCGGCGGTGCTAGCGGCGGTGGCGGTGGCGGTGACGGAGGCGGCAGCGGCGGTGAGGTCGGGGGCGGTGACGGAGGCGGCAGCGGCGGCGACGATGGAGGGGGCGGTGGCGGTGGCGGTGACGGCGGATCGAAGCCCCAAAAAATCATTCTCAACTTGTCGTGCTTGCGAGCATTGACCGGCGGTGGCAGGCTCGGGGAAGGCGGTGTTGGTGGCGGCGGTGAGGGCGGTGGCGGTGAGGGCGGTGGCGTGTGCGGTGATGGCGGTGGCGTCGGCGGCGGCGGTGCTAGCGGCGGTGGTGAGGTCGGGGGCGGTGACGGAGGCGGCAGCGGCGGCGACGATGGAGGGGGCGGGTTTGGAACGGGCGACGGCGGTGGATGCGGTGGAAGAGGGTCTTGGGGTGGCGGTGGCAGCAGCGGTGGAGGGGGCGGGGGTGGATGCGGTGGAAGAGGGGGTTGGGGTGGGTTCGGCGGCGGTGGGGCTGGCACTGGTGGCCGTGGCGGGCTTGGCGGGAGAGGAGGAGGATGGGGAGGAGAAGGGGGTGGAGGAGGCGGCCAGGGTGGTGGTGGCGAGGGAGAGGGCAGGAGGGGCGGCGAGGGCGGCGTCGGCGGCGGGGGCGAGGGCGGCGGCAGTGGGGGCAAGAGAGGAGGGAGCGGAGGGAGTGACGGAGACGGCGGGAGTGGTGGCGGTGGTGGCGGAGGCGGCGGAGGCGGTGAGGTCGGGGGCGGCAACGGAGGCGGCGGCGGCGGCAGCGGCGGCGGCGGTAGAGGCGGGGTCGGCGGTGGCATTGGCGACGGGGGTAAGGGCGGTGGAGGAGGCCATGGAGGAGCGGGCGGTGGTGGGTCGGGTGATGGGGGATTGGGGGGTCGAGGCGGCGGCGGAGGCGTGGGTGGCGGCGGCGGCGGCGGCGGCGGCAACGGCGACTGCGGTGGCGGCAGTGCAGGCGGTTCTGGCGGCGGTTCCATCCACCACGGTGGCGGGCGCGGCGGAGGCGGAGGGGCGTGCGGAGTAGCCATATAGCGGTAGGCTTGTGCTGATGGTGGGGTCAAGAGGGGCGGGGGCGGAGGAGGAGGCGGCGGCGGTACTAGCGTCGGTGACGGAGAAGGCGGTGGTGGCGTCCCAGCGACTGGCCGCGGAGGAGGCGGCGACAGCCAGAATGGTATGGCAAGCCACTGGAGGGGCGGAGGAGGAGGCGGCGGCGGTACTAGCGTCTGCAGAACGCTGTGGACGCGGGGTGACGGAGGAGGCGGCGTCAGACAGAATGGCAAGCCGGCCACACCCCCCCGGGACGGGGGGGCAGAACATGGGTCAAATGGCATCCTGGATCCGGGCGCACAAGGCACAGTATGCTGGGCTTGGGGATACGAGGTTTTTATGGTGGGCGCTGTTCACATAAAGTGGCGAGATTTATGGTCGGCACCAAAATCAGTGGTCTCACCGGCGGGCCCTCCTACTGCCAGCCGGGCGGTGCGGGGCACGCCAGCCTGCTCTCTTCTACGCCTCTCTCGTGCCTCGCGGCGCCTCTGCTTCAAGGAGGGAAGATACGGCTCTCGCACCGGCCTGACACGTCCCGCACACATGTCCCTGTTCACACAGACATCTCGCTAGGATAGAGACGTCTCTCTCTCTCTCTCTCTCTCTCTATCTATTCATGAGGAGGGCGTTCACACTCCCAACACTCCCAACATGCCTTTCTGAGGTCGGGAGATGCCGTGTCTCGGATAAACCTGATCGACCAGCTCCTCGCAGTGCAAGACTACATCAGCCAAGCCGCGGTTGAGCGGACGATCTAGCTCAGAGGGCCCCCTCGTTGTGCCACGTCAACATGACGTGCCGCATCAAGAACCTCCCGCCTGCGACGTGCTCCAGCGGCAATTCGACGTGCCTCAACGCACTACGCGCATCGCTCGTGCCCGGCGGCATGCTCGCCAATACGATACCCTCGCTCGCGCAGGCCGACACAGTGTTGGTCGGTGCCCCGATCTGTTCGATAGTTGCGTCTGCGCGAGCGTCCCTGCCCTGCGTCAGCGCCAATTTCAAGCTCCTCTCGTTGCGTGACGAGTGCAGCATTTGGGTGTACGCCGGTTGCAATGACGGCACGACAGAGCCTGAGTACGACGGCGTTGCGTGCGAGACGCGACCGGGCAGCCGCATTGCGCTCGACGCACGGACGACGCTCGCCCCCTCGGACCCGCGCTCGCCATCTCATCCGAATCTCGCGGGCGAGTGGATCGTTGGCCCCGACCCGACCAGTCGCGGCGCGTCGCACTTTTGGGTCTTCCGTGCGGACGGCAACCCGCACGGCTTCACCGACGTGTCCAACCCGCTGCTCTCCCCCGGCGCCGCCGCCATCGTCGGCCGCTTCAACTGCCTTCTCGAGCCGCATGGCAGCGCCACCGGCTTTGGCTACCCCACCGCTTGCCCCTCCGGAACGGCCGCCGTCGCCGCGGGCGCGGCCGCCGGCGCCGTGGCAGTCCTGCTCTCCACTGCCATCGCTCTTGTTTGCGTGCGCCGCCGCCGACGCCGGGCGTCGCGCGGCGCCGCGCCGCCGCTAAGCGGAGGCATCCCTTTCGCGCCGCCGATGTCGCGACCCGCGCCCGCCGCCTCCGCCGCGCCCTCCACCTCCGCCGCCGCCTCCGCCGCCGCCGCCTCCTCCTCCGCCGCCACGTCCGCCGCGTCACCTGCCGAGGCGCCTCCGCCCGTTGCCGAAGCGAACCCGCCCGCTCTGTCCAGCGGCGGCAGCTGGTTTGGGCGGCTGCTCCCAAGAACGGAGCCACCGCGCAAGGAGAGTGGCGAGCCCGCCGACGCAAAGGTGGCGCTACCGGCGCAGGCGCAGGGCCAGGTGCGGGCGCAGGGCCAGGCGCAGGGCCTCGCGCCGGCGCGGTTGTACCCCAGCCCGGGTGTCGGCGGCGGCGGCGGCGGCGGCGGTGCGGCAGTGGCGGCGACCGCGGGCCCTTCGGTGCCGATGGTCCACATGCCGATGGCACACGCGCAGCCGGTGGGAGCGTACGACGTGCAGCCTGTGATGGCGACGGTGGTGGACGCGGTGATCGTGCCGAATGTGCCGCAGCGGTCGGTGGCGGATGAGCTGTCGAGGCTGGCGGAGCTGCACCGCACGGGCGCGCTCACCGATGCGGAGTACACCGACGCCAAGGCGCGCGTGCTGCAGACCTTTTGAGTTTTGTGAAGAAGTGCATGCATGCGCGGTTGTGCCGTGTGAGGAGGCCGAGCGCGAGGTGGGTGCCGTGCGCGTGCCGAGGGACTTGGCCATGGCGGAGCGGGGACGCGCGGACGGTCGGACGGGACGGGCGGGGCGAGGGGCAGAGGGCAGAGGGGGGTGCTGGGGTGTGCGTGCGGACCACCGGAGACTACCGCAAGACTGTTGCGGCGCGCGCGCGGCGAGACGAGATATGTCTTCGCGAAGTTCGAAGTTGTAGTTGATATCTTGAGTACACGCCCTGTGAGCACACCGGTCCAACCTAGGGTCTTGTACAACCGGACACCGCCGTAACGCGTAACGAAACGGCGCCCTAGAGCACACCGCGCTGCGCAGGCGCACACCGCGGTCACCGCACAGCACACGACTGTCTCACGGGACGCACCGCACACCTGCACCGCACACGTCACAGGCCGCAGTCACCGGGCCGCGCCGCTCGCCAGCGGCAGCGCCACACGTCACACGACGCGAGTGTCGAGTGACAGCTGACACTTGCCACACGACTCACGAGCTGACAACACGCACCGCACTGTGCCTCTGAGTACTGAGACCCTCGCAGTTTGACGAACGTTGTCCCGTCACTGTTATGTGCCGGTAAGCACACGCAAGTGTGAAGTGTGAACGTGAGGAAGGAGCCGTGTGGGGGCGTTCGCAGCGCGCGCTTTGTGGGACCGACCGGCGTCTGGAACAACACACACCCTTGCTTCTCTCGGTCTTGCTCGTGTCCGGTCTCAAGGCGGCCGCCTCCGGGCGTCGCCCGCATGGGTGCGCTCCTCAGCTGCGTGCCGCAGGCCGCGACATCGGGCTCACCGAGCAGCTCCGCATGGCACACCACGCTGCCGCGCCAAGGTTCCGGGAATCACCAAGCGCTTCCTTTCGTGTGGGCGGGGACATAGCGTTCCGGCTCACGACAACGATGGGGCTAGGTCACATGCTAACAGAGCGTGCTTCTTTCTTTCAGCCTGCTGGGAGGAAGTCGCACGACATTAGGGTCTGTCATCGCCTCGTCCACCGCCTCCTCGGGTGCTGCCGCGTCCTCCGCCGCCGCCTCCGCCGCCGCCTCCGCCGCAGCCGCCGCCGCGGCGGCGGCCGCCGCCGCCGCCGCCGCCGACGCCGACGCCGACGCCGCAGCCTCCACCGCCGCAGCCTCGGCCGCCGCCTCCACCGCTGCCGCCTCCGCGGCAGCAGCGGCCGCCGCCGCCGCCGCTGCCGCCTCCTCCGCCGCGGCCTCTGCCGCGGCCTCTGCTGCCACCGCCGCCGCCGCCGCCTCCTCGGCCGCCGCCCTCCGCCGCCGCCGCAGCCGCCTCCGGCCCCGCCGCCTCCTCCTCCTCCGCTGCATCGGCCTCCTCCTCCTCCGCTGCAGCTTCGGCCTCCTCCTCCGCCTCCGCCGGCAGCAGCCCCGCCCCCGCCGCCTGCTGGCTCGCGTCGCGCTCAGCGTCCAAGAGCATCGCGAGCTCCGCCTTCGTCGACCGCACCCACGCGCGCGCCGCGCGACCCGCGTCGCTCCGCGAGGGCATGAGCCTCTCGCGATTCGATCCCGCAGCCAAAAGCTGCTCGCGGCCGACTCCGCCATCGCGGCCGCAGCTGTTGAGCTCTCCAGAAGACTGGTGCCTCATATGCTGCCTCCCTGCGGATGCTGCCGGCGAGCCTGGCGGTCCGCTGCACACTACAAGGAAGTGTTGGCTCGATTCTACCTCGAAATCTTCTACCCCCACGACTCGGAACGCGAATGTGACCAGGACCAGCGGGTCCTTCAGCCACCAAAGCGAGATCACCCGAGAGCAGCTGAGCCTGCCTCTGGCCTCGCCTCCCTCTCCTTCAGGCAGTCGTGGCATCCTATGGGTTGTCCAGAGGACCTCTGGCGAGTCAGCCAGCCGCACTTTGAGGGCGCCATGAAGTACAGCGATCGCCATCTCGCTGGCCTCTCTTCGCAAGGCCTCCCGACCGCGTCGAACTCATCGACGCGGGCTCTCTCGGCTACGGGACCGGCCCCAGCTTCGGCTGAGGGCTGACAAGCTGCCGAGCCCAAATCACTGTGAGAGTCGTGATTTCTTGTTTTCCAAAAATCTCTCAACGCAGAGTACAATATGGATGGGTGGGTAAGACTCCTATATTAAGAAAGAAAATATACGGGAGACGCCCCACGCACACGGCTCTCAGAAGAGTCGTCCTTGCGCGAGGAGAGCTCGATAAACTCGAGGGGCCAAAATATGCCGCGAGCAGGGCAGAGCTGCGACGAAAGGCGAGAGAAGAAGCGAGAGCACGGGATCGGCAGGCGGCGGCGGCGTCGCAGAACGAGGCAGAGGAGAGCGACGCGAAACAGGAAGAAGCGACAAGAGAGAGAACGAAGAGAGTGGGACGACCGCGAGGTGGCAGGTGCATGAAGAGGCGGACGCCCAAGGGTGGGCGAGATGCCCCCTTATTGAATCGCCAAACACGCCCTCCGCCGCGCCCTCACACCGTTAGGACACACATGCGCATCGTCATAGTTCCCGGCAACGGCTGCGACAACATCCTCGACGCCAACTGGTACGCGTGGCTCGACAAGCGGCTGCGCGACTGCGGCCGCTTTGATGAGGTCGTGTGCGAGACCATGCCCGATCCGCATAAAGCGCGGCGGTCTGTGTGGCTACCCTTCATGCTCTCCACGCTCGGCTGCTCTCGGCCCGACACCATAGTGGTCGGCCACAGCAGTGGCGCGGTTGCGGCGATGCGGCTGCTGGAGGAGCACCGGCTCGCCGGATGTGTGCTCGTTTCTGCATGCCACACCGACCTCGGCGACGCTGGTGAGGCGGCGTCGGGCTACTACCCGCCCTCTGGAGGCGAATGGAAGTGGTCCCAGATTCGCAAACACGCCGCCGGGAACATCGTGATTCTCCACAGCGACAACGACCCGTTCATCCCGCTTCCCGAGGCGCAGCACGTGGCCGAGAGCCTCGGCGTCCCGCTTCGTGTGCAGCCGGGCCGCTCGCACTTCTTTTCGGCGGGCGAGGACCTGGTCGAGGCCTGCCTCGCGGCGGCGGATGCGGCCGTCTCCGCGGAGGCTAGCGGTTCGACATGACGGACGCGCAACGCGTGGGCCGTGGCGCTCGTGTCTCGTGAAAACCCGCTCCGGGCCGGCAAAACGCCGCGCCTGCGGCGGCGCATACATGGAAATCTTTGCGCAACATCGGAAGATCCTTGGACTGTAGATCGTAGATGCCTTTTAGAGATCTCTTAAGTGGCAAATCTCCTGCCAAGAGCTGCAGTAGATTGAAGAACTGGTGGAGGCAAATCTTCTCCGGTGTAGATGCTCGAGAGGAGTCTGAGATCTCGCGTTTGGTGCGTGCAGTCGCTTGAGATCTTGCGACAGAGGTGGAGATTCTGACTTCGCGCCAAAGGCGCCTAGAGATCGTGTGGGCCGACTGGAGATTGCAAAATGGCGCGAAAAGAGGGTGGAGATCCTTTTGCATTGTGAATGAGTCCATAGCGCATCTCCTTGAAGGTTTGAGCCCCCCTCCTCCCCCGGGCCCCCGAATCGACAGTGGAGATTGGAGATTGGAGATGGAGATCGGAGATCTGACTGAATCCGGCCTAAGATGACGACGTTGGAGATTGGAGATTGAAGATGGAGATCGGAGATCTGACTGGATCCGGCCTAAGATATAGCGACGCTGGAGATTGGAGAGTACTGGAGAGATGGAGATCGGAGCCCCCCAGCCCCTAGTGGTGTCTCATCGATTTTTTTGTTTTGTTTTAGATAAAGGTCTGTGCGCGGACGGCCCGGGGAGCCTGCGGCGCAATTTTAATCTGCGCTCCTCTTTATGGCCTGCGGCGCCTGGCTTGAGCTTGGAAGTGTAAACGAGTCCGCCAGGGCGGTCTGCAAACACGAAGCGCGCTGCGCGGCGCGCGCGGTCTACGCCGAACTGGGGGCGGTATCATGGTTCACGCTGCCAACTCGGCAAATAGGCTCGCCGACATAGACCGCGTACATAGACCGCGCGCGCAGCGCGCTCCGTTTGCAGACCGCCCTGGCGGACTCGTTTACACTTCCAAGCTCAAGCCAGGCGCCGCAGGCCATAAAGAGGAGCGCAGATTAAAATGGCGCCGCAGGCTCCCCGGGCCGTCCGCGCACAGACCACAGGGAAAAACAAAAATCTATAAAACATCTATCAACACCACTAGGCTCTAGGGGGTGGGTGGGCTCCGATCTCCCCATCTCCAATATTCTCTAATCCACAGCGTCGTCATCTTAGGCCGGGGATCCAGTCAGATCTCCGATCTCCATCTTCAATCTCCAATCTCCAACGTCGTCATCTTAGGCCGGATCAGATCTCCGATCTCAATCTCCAATCTCCAATCTCCAATCTCGATTCGGGGGCCCGGGGGAGGAGGGGGGCTCAAACCTTCAAGGAGATGCAATTTGGATTCATTCACACTGACCATCTCTCATCTCCAATCTCCAATCTTCTACTTGGCCACTGTCGCCGCCGGCAGCAATCTACGACCTCCATTTTCAATCTTCGATCTCACATCTGGGGCGGATGGCTGGGCGCTAGGATCTACAATCTGCATTCTCCATCTCCTATCTCCACATTTTGGCCCTGCTGCTGCTCAGAGCGATCTGCAATCCACAATCTCAATCTTCGATCTTTAGTCTTGAATGGGGAACCGGACAGGACGGATCTACTGGCGAGACTTGGGCGTGTCCGTGTGAGAGATCCGCTAGGATCTCCAGTCTTAATCTACTATCTCTACCCCAACGATCTACTGGTCTTGCGCAGAGATTTCCATTACTCCCATCGTCCCGCACCGCCGTCAGCGCGTCACCTCACGACCTCCTCAGTACACCTCGGACTCTTGGGACGGCACCTCTGCCACGCCGGGCCGCGGGAGGCACTCGTGCCGCGAGATGGACTCGAAGACCCAATTGGCGTGGGCGGGCGGGCCGAGGCCACTCTCGGCGCAGCGGCTCTGCAGCGGCTCGAGCTCGTCGTCGGGAAGGTCGCCGTACAGCACGAGCGGGTCCGCCGCGGCACCTGGTGACACGCGCAGCGGGACTTAACGGGACGGCGGGGCGGCGGGGCGCCTTGCAGAGGCGAGCGGCGACGCTGCGGGTGTGTTGGTGTTCGGCGCTACTGCCGGGCGCGCCGCGGCTGTCGGGCCACTTGTCCGCGGCGGCGGTGCCGCCTCCCTCGCGGAGGAGGGAGAGGAGGTCCTTCCGGGAGGGCTTGTTGAAGGGCCCGTGCAGGTGGAAGTGGAGGCCGTCGAAGAGGCGAGGGCCCCCGCCCTCGAGGTGGAGCCTGCGGGAGGGGGGCAGAGGCCGGCTCAGGGGCAGGCGGCAAGAACAGAGCGGCGTGGCGCCGCCCCCTCGCTGGCATCCTCTTCCCCTGGGGGTATTCCCCAGGGGGGGCCTCCGGTGCCTCGGCTGCCTCTCGGCTGCCTCTCGGCTGCCTCTCGCCTTCCCCTGCGAGGGCCTCCGGCGCCGAGGCCGCTGACGGCGGAGATGGACGAGTTGTCGCCGTGCACCTCGCGAGAAGAGCCCGAGGTGAGCCCGAGGCTGGCCGAGGCTAGGCGAAGTGAGGCCGAAGCTAGCCGAGGCTAGCCGAGAGGCCCGTACCTCGTGCTCCTCCTCCGCCACCCAGCCGGCCGCCGCCGAGGAAGCGCGGAGCCAGGAGGACGCGACCACCCACTGGCCAGACAGCACCGCAGACATGTACTTGATCGTGCGCCCGCAGAGGCGCTGCCTACGCCACGGAGCGCGCGCAAGCAGTGAGTGCACGCGCGCAAGCAGTGAGTGCAGCTGATCGCGCCCCCCCTCTCACGGCGCACGCTTTCGCGTCTCGCTCGGACTGCACGCTGTCTGCGCTTGGCATCTAGCCGGCGCTGCCCCGCGGCGGCGCCGTTGGACGAGCAGCGCGTTGTCGAGACGAGGTGCGTGACAGCCTACTCATTAACTACTCATTAACTACTCATTAACTAAGTAATGAACTAATTAGTTAATTAGTAGGTGCGTGACAGCCTACTCCCCACGCGTGCCGCAGATGCAGCCGAGAGATCGCGATCTCGACGCAAGCGAGGGGCTGCGCGGCTGCCGAGCTCCACTTCGTCACCACCTTGCCGCCTACACCTCGCTCACACCGCGGCTGGATCTCGGGTGGACCTCGCAACTCGGCCCGCCGACCGGCCGAGCACGCCGTGCTGTCGCGCGAGGGAGTTGAGCAGGCGCACCTCCTCCTCGTCGAGGGTTGTCGCCTAGTCTCGGGCCAACCTCAGCTGAGTCTCGGCGTCTCTCGGCAGGAGCCCGCCCTCGCGCAGAGCTCGTCGCCAACAGCACGGGGGAGAGGACGCGAGACCGCCTCGCCGCCGCCGCCGCCTCGCCGCCCCCACCCCCCCCTTCCTCCTCCTCCTCACTGGACGCCGTCTCTGCCGCCGCCGCCGCCGCGCAAGCACCCCTCGCCGCCCCTCTCGCCTCCTCCGACACCTCGCCGCCGGCCCTGCCTGCGGGGGGGGGCGCGGGATGCGGTGGTGGTGGTGGTGGTGGTGGTGGTGGTGGTGGTGGTGGTGGTGGTGTGTGTGTGTGTGTGTGTGGTGGTGGTGGTGTGTGTGTGTGGGGGCCTATTGGCGTGTG